ATATTCCAATACAATAAATAATACTTCCAGTGAAGAAAATTAAATTCACATATTGTCATGATTTTATAGAGTCTATAAATGGAAAGTTACCCTGCAGGAATGTTTGTGTGTCGTAACATATACGACCCTTACGAAACTTCCGGTTCGCGTGCACGTGGACTTTCGATATATATATATATATATATATTATATACGTAAAGTCCTCGCCGCCGATAGCGAGAAGGGTTCGCGGAAGCATGCAAAATATCCGGAAAAATGCTATGAAGGATATACGCGGAAAAAACGTAAAAACAAGTTCCGGAAAGCAATATATAGTACGATATATATATAGTATGGTGAATCGAACTTTTCATTTACAATAGTTGAGTATAATAAGGTTTCAAAGATAAAAATAACGTAGATAAGATGCAAAAGCTAATTTTTGCTTCATGAGGATATATTTTGAAAAAAAAAATTTATTTTTATAAATTGCACCTATTTTTGTGTCGGCCTTTTTCGATTCTTTTTTTTACACTTAGCTTACTAGACTGAAAAAACAATTTATTTATAATTCAAATAAATGGATACTATTATTAAATGAACATTTACTTGAATTAAATAATTTTTATTTGAACTATATAAACTGTATTTGAAACAAATAATAATTTCTGTATTTAAAATAAATAATAATTTCTGTATTTAAAATAAATACCATTTAATTGACTTAATAATTCATACAAATAAATATTTCTTTAATAATAATTAAGTAATCGTTTATTTGAATCAAATAAATTTTTTTTCAGTGTATATTTAAAAAAAATTCTATTATTCCATTGGAATACTCTGGTAATATTCAAATTTATTATTCAGGTAATATTCCAAGGAAATAATCTTTGGAAAGAATATTAATATAAATAAATAATAAAATAAATAACAATAAATAATAATATTCAATTGTAATTCCAATCGAATATTCCCACAAAATTCCATTTGAATATCACCACAAAATTCCAATGAAATATTATTCTATAATAATCCAAAGGAACGTTACAAAGATCGAACATTTTAATTATTTCTAAAATAGAGATAAAATATTCCAGGAGAGTGAATGGAATATTCCGTGATATTGCTAACAGTAAATAATGTTTTGCAAATAAAATTTTCATACTTATAAATTTCGATTTTCATAATATCCCTGATATAAAAATCAAAACCAACCTATACAAATCTATAACAATTTTTTTTTTAAATGTTAATACCAGACTTTGACTAAAATAAAAACGAGCAAAAAAAAAGTGAACAAAACAACCTATTTAAAAAAAAAAAAAAAAAAAAAAAAATAGTGAAACAGATCGTGTCCAACAAATCAGTTAGAGGCTTACAGAGGATTTTCTACTCTCGCTCCTAGAATGAGGGAGTTAATAGGGGGGTTGGGAAGGGCGGCAGGTAAGAGTAAGTAGAGGGCATTATATGCACTCGTTAACACCAAAGCATTGTTTTTAAAATGACGCCAGATAAAAGAGAGAAAGCAAACAATACAATAGTATATATATATAAATAAGCACTGAAGGATTTAAATTTAGTATAATTTATACAAGAAAGAGACGCAAGATTATTTAAATTTCACTAACGATGTCATTTCGAGAGAAGAGAATCACTTCAAAGTCTATTTACAATAGATACATATATATTTTTTTAAAAAATAAGATTAAGAGTGATATTCCCTTGAAATATTTATAAATATTCCAAGGAAATATTTTATAAAAAATATTCAATTTAAACAATTATAAATATTCCAAAGGAATATTTTTGTCAAAATTATAAAAGAATATTTATATTTATTTTAATGTAATAGTTTAAAAATATTCCAAAGGAATATTTTTTTAAATATTCAATTGCAATAAGTATAAATATTCCTTTGTTATTCTTATAAAAATATTCCATTGGAATACGTATAAATATTCCAAAGGAATATTTTTTTAAATATTCAATTGCAATAAGTATAAATATTCCATTGGAATATTTTAAAATTTTTTAAACTATTCCATTGGAATACATATAAAAATTCCAAAGGAAATTTGTTTTTGAAAAATATTTCATTAAAATATCTATAAAAATTCCTTTGGAATAAGAATATAAAAATTAATTCGGAGTATTAAAAAAAATATTCCCAGGGAATATTCCTATTATTTTTGAAAAAGAAATTCTAGTAGCGAGACCCTAAGAATATTCCAGCAATATTTCCTATTTTTTTTTATTTCGATATTCAGGTGGAATATTACTAAAATATTTTAACTCAAAAAAAAAAAAATATTTGTATGCAAAATTTGAAGAGAAAAATGTCAAAACAAGTTTACCGCAAAATTCGATGCATCTGGCGTTAAATTTTGATCCGCTGCAGATTATTGAAAAAATTTATATATATATATTTATTGATTTGAAGAAAAATTTCTATTTATCGTGAATAGACGTCTTTTCATGTTGATTTCTCTTTTCTTTTCTCTTATATTTACTCAGACTAGGAATTTTCTTTTTTTTTTTTTTTTTTCTTTTTCTTCATGAGAAACTACGTGATATTGAAAGTTATCGGGAATTTGCAGCATTCAATCTCGACGACACAACACGCCGGATATTTTGGCTTCACTTTAGATTAAAGCGCGAAGGAATGAAGTTGAGTAATCGCAATTGTATATATATAAAGAGAACAGTTGATCGAGTTAAGAAGAAAATGCAAAGATTGAATAAAAGGAAATTACGAGATAAAGAACAGGTGCTTCTCTCTCTCTCTTCCTACTTTTGTGTCCAAACAAAAAGACACTATTTACAATTATTCATTCTATGATTGTATTTTAATTAAAAAATTCATTTTACTTTCAAATTTATAAACTAAATTCAAAACTTTGTTTTACAGTTAAAAAATTAGTAATTTACAATTAATTAAAAAAAAATATAATTATTTTAATAATTCATTTAAAAATTATTTAATTAAAATTAAATTAATAATTTACAATTAATTAAAAAAATATAATTATTTTAATAATTGATTCAAAAATTATTTAATTAAAATTAAATTAGTAATTTACAATTAATTAAAAAAAATATAATTATTTTAATAATTCATTTAAAAATTATTTAATTAAAATTAAATTAGTAATTTACAATTAATAAAAAAATATAATTATTTTAATAATTAATTTAAAAATTATTTAATTAAAATTAAATTAGTAATTTACAATTAATTAAAAAATACTTATTATTTTAATTGATTTAAAATCGCCAATTTAATTAAAAATTAAAATATTTTTAAAATAAAGAGGTAAAAAAATTATTTGAATATTTAAAAAGAAACAATAAAATTTCGTATCTGTAAACTTTATCATTTTTCAAACGTCAAAAGCATCAACTTTTTTTTTGAATATTTTTTTATATATATAAGTGTACGTCAAGTTTGTGAGACATATGGCAAGACAAGTAATAATCTTTCAGCACATGGTACAATAATTCTTATATAAAGAGGTGAGAAACATGTTCTTTATACTCAAAATACTTTTGAAATTTTCAAATTACTTCCAAAATATCAACTTTAAAACAAAAAAAACTATCATTTAAAAAGTGAGTAAAAAATATTCAAAAAAATTCTCCAAATTATTTTTGCGAAGACAATTTTAAAATAAAAGAAAAGAAAAGAGAAAAGAAAAGAGAGAAGAGAAAATTTGTCGAATAAACAGAAATTGAAACACCTTTTCAATTTCGTATAATGTGAACATAATGGTCGCTTTGTTCGCACAGAGCAATGATGTTCTATGATATGATCATCGCGCTTAATAACATCCATTTTTCTCTTCTATATACCATTCGCGTGCAATATTGCATGACTAGGAACAATCACTTCAACAAATTTGAGTCAAACGTCGATAACTTGGTTAACAGATTAGCTTCGATTTTACCCTGAGATTTATAGTGTCACGTAAGGAGATTTTCTATAATAAACAATTTGCATAACATAAAATGACATAAATTGTTTACATTTACAATTCAATTGAGAAAATGTTATTAAAAACATTTTAATTTAATTAATTTTAATTTTTAATCGAATTTTTATTTTTCCAAATTATTATATTTAACAGAAATTCCATTTCATCGAATTTCTTCATTACATAATTATTATTTAAACGATATTCAATTTTTAAAAAGAATTATTTTATCGAATTTGAATTTTATTTCTTTGAAATTGACAAAAAATTATTAGCCGCTCTAATTTTTATTAGAAATAAGTCTATTTAAAAAAAAATTCTATAAAATAATTTCACAGAAAAATATAAAGAATTTTTTCTAAACCAATTTTTTCGAATTTGACAGAATTCTTAAAATAAACGAATTTTTATTTGTCTCCAAATAAATATCGGGCAGAAAAATGTGGATGCAAAATTTAAATATTGAACAATCAGAAATTATCAACAAAATTGTTTGGTCAAATTGGAAATTTGCGATTTTTTTCAGCTAATTATTTATTTAGACTAAAATAAAAATTCCGCGTTTTAGAAATTCTGTAAAATATAAATTCGAAAAAATGAAAATTCGGTTGAACAAAAATTCTTTCTATTTTTTCTCTATTCTTTTGTATGACTATTTTTTCTAATAAAAATTCGAGCAAATAATAATTTTCCCAAATTCAAATTTTATAAAATAATAATTATTTTAGAAATTCGATTTCATCAATTGAATCGAATTTCCATTAAATAATAATTTGAAAAAAAAATAAAAATTCAGATAAAAATAAACTCTAATAAAATTCTATCAAATGAAAACTCGAAAAAATTATTTTCCTAATTGTAAAATAATTATTTTCGTCTCTATTTTGATTGTCCAATCAAATATTGTTGATAGTTCCAAAAGAATATTCAAACAAAAGAAAAAATTAAATTTTTGAAAGGAAAATGAATGATTTTCTCTGGTTTGCAAAAAAAACCGTGAAAATTGGAATTTTGGAAAAATTGAAAAAATCTTTTGGTAACACTCACTTTTCTGCGGCCGCAGCAGAGCATGGCTGAAACGCTGCTGCTGCGGCGTGCCGTTGATGAGAGTTGAGGCTGATGACAGACGTAGCTGAGTCGCGCGCCCCTGTCCCGCTGCAGCTGCAACACGCGCACCTGCAGCTGCACTTGCTCCCGATCCCGCTGCCCTTGACCGACACCGACTCGACCACCGTACTTGATGCGCACGTGTTTTCGCCACTGCATGAGTTCGGTGCGTCATGCCCTCTTCCTAAAAAAAAATAAATATTAATTATCAAATTCAATTAAATATATTCCCATAATTCAATATTACTATTCTTCAAAAAAAATTTTTTTTTCTTTATTTTATAATATTATATTTTTTTGCTATTAACATTTTAATAATAATAGTAACAAAATAATTTTTCATTTTGAGAAAAAAAAAATTAGAATTTCTTTTTGAAATATTTAGAAGTAAATAATTAATAAATTATTTGAAAATTTACACTGTAAATTATAATTTATTAATTTATATTAAAAAAAAATAATAATCACACTAACTAAAATATCTCGACACAATAGTTGTCTGGGAATAGTTTCATTTAAATGATATCTACAATAGAAACAGTCTATTTAAGTCAGACAGCTTCATCCTGTTTCACATTATGGAAAATGTTAACTGGATTATTCTAAACAAAACTATTTACTTATGAATTAATGTCTAACTTGACATCGTATATTAGAAAAACAAAATAGTTAAGAAACTCTTTATCCTGAGATTAATGGAAAAAATTTTTTTGTGTAAATTGAAATTCCTTCAAACTATTTTTCTCTCTCTCTTTTTTTTTTTTGATTTGTGAAATTGAAAAATTCCAAAAGTGTAGAAAAAAAAATAATTTAACAATCCATGCTTATAAACATTTATAAAAGTACATAGTTTTGAGTACAAAGTTAAATTGAACTCTCATATTGAAACTTTGTAGAACCCGCATAAGTTTGCCTAACTTTATTTGCTGAACTAAATTTGCTTAACTTCTGTGTAGAAGTTGAGCGCAAAAAGGAAAAAAAAAACAAAAAAAAAAAAAAACAAGTAAATTTCAAACTCTAAAAGCCCCAGACAGTCTTTCTGAGAATAATAATTCAGCCGTACTTTTGTATAGTTGGGAGGAAAAAATAAATTTTTTTTTTTAAATTAGTAAAAGTGATACTAGATGAATTTATTCCTGATGCTAATTCCTAATAATAATTTAACAAAATGGAAAAAACCAAAAAATGAAATCCTAATATTCTAATTTCCATTTTTGAAATTTATTTGAAAATTTGAATTTAGGAAATATTCTAAGAATGTAAAATAAAAATTTTCAAATAAATTTCAAAAATGGAAAATTTAACCAAAAAATGAAATCCTAATATTCTAATTTCCATTTTTGAAATTTATTTGAAAATTTCAATTTAGAAAATATTCTAAGAATGTAAAATAAAAATTTTAAAACCAGAGATAACTATTTCCGAATTTGTTTAAAATTAAAAAATAATTTTCATTATATAACATAGTTTTCAACTGGGCTAAAATATTAAGAAGAATGTTTCTCTCTTTTTCTCTGATAATAATATTGGATGAAATACTTCTATTTTAGCTGGGCAAATATATAGGTCATCGATGAAAATATAATGTGAAATGTGGGACAAAAGCTTGAACGCAATACGTCTATATACATATTTATATATATATACGTATATAGTAGTAGAGTAAAAATTGAAATAATCACTCAAGTATTTGAAAATCGATTTTCACACACAGTTTATCCTTTTTATTTGAGAAGATTTATTAATAAATTCATTTCGTTAAATTTTTAAGATATTCACGACTGAAAATCTATATATATAAAAGAGAATAAATTGAGAAATAAATTTCTTGCTATATAAATTTATGATAAACTTTATATATATATAGTATATAAAGAAAAACTTAATGTAATTTATTTATATATTTAAGTTAAATGCTCATTTAACCAAAGGGGTAATTTTTCCGCGCAGCTTCTCCGATTTTCGCAAAAGGAGACCTCAACTAAATCATACTGCATCCGCGGATTCCAAGTTTAATTAATTCCCGTCTGCGGTCAAAACTATAAAGTACCATAAACAATTTTTTCGAAAAAAAAAATTTATTTTGTTTCTCAAAAATAATTCTTTTCAATTTATTGCAATTACACAAAATATTTCAAAATGTATTTTGATTTTTTATTATAAAAAAATCATTCCATTGGAAATATTTCTAATATTCTAATTTACATTTTAAAAAATTACTAAAGAAAATTGTCATTTTTTTATTTCCAAAATTTTAAGAACCAAAGAATTTGTTTTTGTATCAACTTATTTTTATTAGTGTTATTTTCAAATTAATTTTAACTCCAATTAATTAGAATTTTCAATCTTAATTTCAATGAATTATGAATAGAAAGGGAAAATAATTTTTGTTATATCAAAAAGTTACAGAAATTGATCTTTGACAATGTGACATTTTACGGATATATATATATATTTGAGATAAATTAACATCAGTCTATAAATGATCTGGTTATAACTTACAAAAGGACATAAATTCTATATATCACTGAAACTCTATTGCTTTAAATACTTCCGCTTGAATCAGACATTTTGATTAAATAACATCAATGAATTTGCTCACTGAAGCGAACTTTGAATAACAGAATGGACAACAATAATTGTTTCGACATTTCGTTATTTCACTTCAATCCGCAATTCAAAAAAAAAAAAAAACTCAACAATTACGTAATTTTATTTTCAATAAAATAAATATTTTTAAAAAATCTATTTTATTTTAATAAAAAAGTAAAAAAAAAATTAAAAATTATTAAGTAAAAATATTTCTTTTTTTTCATATTAAAAAAAAATCTTGTTCAATTCTTTAGGGATCGAATTATCAGAGAAAATTAAGTTTGAAAATTTACACTAATTCCAAATAATTTTTTTTACAAAAACAATAAACTTATTTTCTCGAAAAACTTTTTCTCATTTTCATTTATTACATTTATAGTATAATAAAGACTAATTCCCATGATCTCAGGGGGAAAAAAAAAGTTACGAATCGAGAAAATACTTTTCTCGAGTAAAGATTGTTTTTGAAAAAAAATACAACAGAGAAAAATATAAAAGAAAGCGGGAATAAAAGAAAAAAGTTTTTCAAAAAAAAAAAAGAAAAGAAAAATGTGTGAAAAACAGGAAAATGACATGTAAGTCAAAGGAATGAAAATTATTGTTCCTTAAGGGATGAGGGTCGTTACTTTAGAGTTTTACCCATCAGCAAAAGTTACGAAACTTTTCATTTAAAACTATCAACAAGTTGACAACAGCTTAATTTGCTCGTATGTTACTTTGAAAATCCTTATTATTTAAATTTTTTCCATTTATCTTTTAATGGCAAAGACAAATTTTTTTTTAAATTTTTTTCTTTCTTTGTAATTATAAACTAAATTTTAATTATTTTCATCTAGAAAATCCAATTTTCTTCCCAGTAAAAAAGAATTATATTATTAAATTATTATTTTTAATATTATAATGCAATGAAAAGTTTCTTAAATTTCATTTTGTCCTCTCTTGTCACGACATTTTAAAATGTTAAAAATTGCCTGACTAACTTTTTTTTTTTTTCCAAAGATAAATCTTAAATGGAATTTCTTGAAAAGTTTATAATACAAGAAAGTTTTAAAGTGTCACAAAAGTTTTTCGATTACCTTCTAAAAATCATCTCTTATTTGATGGGCCGATCGGTCCCTGCTCGTCCATTTTTCAACAACCATCACCTTCATTCTGCAAATCAGCTTCTCCACACCTAAAATGTATACAATACAAAATTAATTAATTTAATTTTTAAAGAATAAATACTTTTTTAAAAAATAGTTGTACATTTATAAAAAAAAATAATTTTCCACCTAAAAAAAAAAATTTAGTGTCTTTTTTTATTATCTAAACTTTATAAAGGACAAATAAAAAATTCTTATCAATTGCCTTTTCTCAAATTGAAGTTAAATATTTGAAAGAGAAACAAAGTTTTAATATATAACAATTTTCAAAATGCAATTAAAAACATTTGCTAGTATTTGAAAAGTCTCTTTCTACTTAAGAAAACTTATACAAATGTGTATGAGTTTTGAAATATTTATAATTGGAAATAAACTCATTTTAAGTAATGTCAGAGAAAAACTTTTACGTAGATTAGTTTAAACTTTCAGCAATTTTCGTAAAATAATTATAAAAGCATAAATGAAATTACAACAAGAATTCCTTAATGGAAACAACCAATTATAAATAATATAATATGCAAATGAGAAAATTGGGCATTTTTTTTTCCTTTCTTCAAAGATTTTTTTTCTCCCTATCTTTTTTTCTTCTGAATAAAAATTTTTTATTTGTACAATTTTTTTTTTCAAATGTTATAAAAATTTCCGACAAAATTCTTCTTTGTAAGATACTAAAACTAAATTTCAAAAATATTTCCGGAATATTTCAAAAAAAAATTATAGAAACAAAATATTTTCAGAATTTAAAAGGAATATTTTTTAAATTTTCAAAATTTCAATTTAATATTCCACGTTGGCAAATAGAATAATAAATAATAAACAAAAAAAATTTCACAAAGCAATAATAAAAAAAAGAGACACTTTCAATATCCAAAATTAGTTTTTTATAATTCCCCATTGCGGAGATAAAAAAAAATGAGATAACGCTGCTGATAACACTAGATATAAACCTACAATCAATTTAATCTAAATTCTATTATCACCTCCATTAAAAAAAAAACCTATTTTTTTTTTTTTTGAAAATAAAAAATAGCAACGAAATTATGAAAAAAATCCGTTTGGAATAAAAATTTCAGAGATTGCTCTTTCATTTAGGATTTTTTTTTCTTTTTTTTTAAACCCTCAAGCGTCTCATCAACCTAAATATCTTCCGGAGAAAGGGAAAGTTCGTTATCGGTCTTTTCCTCTCGATCTATCCACGTCTCACGTGTGGTGATATATATACCTTTTGGAGCCAAAGAGAGGAGAGGTTGTACATATATAAAACCAGGAGAGGGATAGTGTTCTAGACCCTGAAGCTCTCTTTTAATAAAACACACATACATACAAATATTTCCCTCCTGGCAAATATAACCCTGAGGGATTCGGACAGGAGGAAAGAGAGAGAGAGAGAGAGAGAAAGATTTTTTCCAAACGATAAGCCCTGGCATACAGAATTATATGTATATATATATAGTTATGTTCAGACACACACACACAGGACTGGTTTCGGTCGGCCGGAAGAACCAGCTCAAATCGATAAGACAGATACGCACGTTAAGGGCGGCCAAGAAAATAGCCGCCATTCTCAACGACGTGCAGAGGCCCCCATAAATCCCAATCGAAGCAGCCACCCCTTTCACGCATCATCATCATCATCATCATTATCTATCAGAAATTCCACAGAGCCATTAAAAAAAGAGGGAAAAAGAATAAAACGAAAATGAAAAAACGAACGAGAGAAAAGGAAAAATATTCTTGTATATAAAGATAAAGAAAAAAAAATTGTATCAAGATTCAAGAAATCAGCAAAGAGGAAAATTGAAAAGCAGAATAAAAATCTCGCGATGAGGGGGAAAAATGAAAAAAAAATTTTTTTTTTCGGAAAATTGTCACCGGCGTTCCAGCCAATGGTCCCGGACTGGTGGATCGATATCCTCTTTTTTTCACTCCCCCTCTCAAAAGAAGACAGACTAACAGAGAGAAAAAGAGGTTTGAAAGGAAGGAGCAAAAGGGGTGGTTTATATAGAGTGGCACTAGAGAGAAGCTGAGCGAGAAAGAAACAGAAAAAAAATTTTTTTTTTTTTTCTAAAAGAACCGAAGAAAATGGTACATACCCAAAATTTGTTTCTCTTTCAATTTCTTTTTTTTTCGCTCCTTATTGTCACTTTTTCAAGTCATATTACACACATTTATATATATATATATATATACATATATAAACGAGGTTTTCGGATATAGCACTTCCACGAGTCACGGTGTTTCGCCGTCAAAATCAATACGACCCACCTCGCTGACCCTCTCCAATCCCCGTTTCGCTCACTCTCACTCGGTGTTGCTTTTTCTATCTCGTTTTTTTCTTCCTTTTTTTTACTCTTTCCTTTTTTCCTTCCTCTTTATTTATTTTTTTTTTGTTTTCTATTTCGAGGTTCCACTCCCGCACACAATCAAATCCTAGTTTGGCCCAAAGCAAGAATAGAAAACAATTTCACTCCGAAAAATTTCTGGAAAAAAATTTTTTTAAAAAATTAATTTAAAAAACAACCACCGTATAAAAAGAGTGAACAATTTTTTCCTATATGGCAAAACAGAAAAAGACGGTCACGATAGTGCGGCGCTATTCCTCGAGGTAGTTCCCTTTTTTTCAAGGCGGTACTTTTATTTAATTATTTTTTTTTTTATTTTTATTTTTAAATCAAGATTTATCGCGGGCGCGTCGATGTAATTTAAGGTACCACGATGGAGCGCCGCATCCCTCAACCCCAAAGACCAAAGGCGGACATGTTGTATTGTACGAGGGCGCAGACTCTAATCGTGAATTTCACCCTCCTGGAGTAAAGTGACTCCCACGCAAGCGCTTTTTACCCCCCGCGAAAAGAGAGAGAGAGAGAGGAGAGAGGTGTGAGGTTCATTCGATCCTAGATGGGTTATATGGTTGTGCGTGCGATAGTAAGCGCGTATATACAGGGCTGTATAGAAACATTACGATTAATTGAAAAAAAAAAATTCTCCCCTTTTTTTCCCCTCATTTAAAATTTGGAAAATTATCCCCCCCAAAAAAAAGAATACTTTTTTCGATATTAAATTGCAAAAAAATATATATTTTTCATCAATTTCTTCGAGACAGTATATATACATATAAGATTTCAATAAGTGAAAATCCACAGGGAATCAGCCGCAGAGTTCAATAAACTTTATATTCTCGCTGGATAACACAGTTTCTCACTGATAATTTAATTAGAAAATCAGTTTTCAATATTAATATTATTATTTTATCGAATTAACAAATAAAAAAAAAAATTATAGAAAATTATCCGTATTAAAAATTAATTGAAAAATTTCGAAAAAAACTAAAATATTACAAAATAGTTAATTTTTTTACATATCAAAATAACTAAAATTAAAAACTAATTAATAACTAAAATTTCTATTAAATAATTCTATTTTTTTTAATAAAAATTATTTATTCAGAAAAAATAAATTCCTTTTTCATAAATTGATACAGTTTTTTTAAATCAAGATTTTACTAATTAGTTTTAGCTAATTCAAATTAAAAAAAAAAAATTTTAAACTAAAAACTCTTGACAAAAAAAAATTTATTCGATTCGAAATAATTTCAACAACTGTTAAATAAATATTTACACGAGACCAAATAAACATTTATTCAATTATTATACGTCAGTGGAATACAGTTTATTTGTCAAAAAAAAATATTTATTTTATTTTATACCAGTAAATCATTTATTTAGTTCAAGTAAATATTTACACAAAAATTTATAATAGCGGATAATTTCTATTCATTTTTTTTAAAATACTTTTATAAATTCTATTTTCATTATATAATTATTATTTTAAATTATTATTTTTTTGTAAATTATATTAAAAATTAAAACCAATTCAGATAAATAAAAAAAAATTAAATCTACCCCAAAGAAACTTTTATATCGAATAAAAAATTATTTACAAACTCGCGAAAATAAAAATGATTTATAGTATCAAGAATGTATAAATATTAAAAAAGGGTTCAAAAAAAAATTTTTTTTTTTTTTTTAAGGGAATGCGACCCTGTGTCTAGGGTTTCTTAAGAAGGGTTGCAAGGGTGCATCAGAGCGTTAGCTGTCACTTGCTCCTATTTCAAGCCATCGAGTATATCATCTTACGTTTTCCGGAGAAAAAAAAAAAAAAGGATGGGACCTCAAAAATAATTGCAAGGGTTGACTGACTGAATCCCGCAAGTGCTTTTAAGTGCACATTTAAGGGTAAAAATGTGCGGTTTCAGAAATTAGAAGCTTTACTTTCAACTTTGCAAATACCTTTTATGCGCACAAAAAAAAAAGAGAGAGAGACAAGCAGAATATTTACCCTTTCCCATCCCCTGAATCCTCAATTTTTGCCAAGAAACAAAATTTTTTCATCATATCAAATAAATTATTAATTATTTATTTATTAAGCTTCAGCCTTTCGGCTCAGAAGTGGACTTGGTTTAATACAAAATTAAAAAAATGTATTAAATAAATAAATTATTAATTTAATTTTAATATTATTTTGAAAGAAATTTTTTTTTTTCAAAAAAGTGAAAAAAATTTCAATTTATAATAATATTAACAATAATATTGAAAGTGTCTTTTTATAGTAAAATTTAAAAAAAAATAAGCACATGAATTTTTTTGTGAGTTTGATTTTCCTCTTTTATGATTGAACAAAAAAAAAAAAGAAATTGTTTCTCACTCGATAATTATTGAAATGAAAGTATTGTAACCAATACATACCTTTATGTATTGAATAGGAGACGTTTGAATTCTGTCGATGGTCCCGCACAGTATATATATATATATATATAATGTAAATTGTTCAGCAGATAAGAGCAATTATAGGTGATCGTTGAATCGAAAACGATGAATTTCACGGGTGAATTATGGTCAAAAGCAAACGATGCCCTGAGGTCCACAACTGACTGCCATTCCTCTCGTGATCGTCATTAATGGTCATTCTGTTTCTGATCTAAACAACCATTCGACTCAAGCTTTGCTCTCCCATATCGTCTAAATTATCCCTCAAATCTGTTTATTATATCGATACATTAATTGTCCCAATTCACTCTTTGTTTCTCACATTTATCATCTTCATTGGCAATCTTTAAATAAAATTTTAATAAATAAAACTTAAAATAAAAAAAAACCTTATAATAAAAATAAAAAAAGTTGAAAAATTCATTAAACAGTTAAATAGTAAATATTATCCAGTAATACTCACATTAAAAATCGTGTTATTAAAATAAAATTGAAAATTGATCGAAATTATAATTTTATCCATTTTTAATTTCCTGTAGTTTGAATCTTTAATTTCAGAGACAGATATAAATTCTCTTTTTCTATTTCAAAGATCATGGCACGTTAAAATTTCACTAAAAGGTATTCCTCAAGTTTTAAAATAATTCTTGTTAAATTAACTTTTCAAATTAAATTCCACGATTGATCCAAGAAAAGAATTAGTTTTCCCAATTTCTGTAAGAAAAAGAAAAATTAATAAATAATAAATTAAAAACATGAAAAATTTTAATATAATAAATAGATTTAATTTATTTACAAAATAAATTTAGTTTCAATAAAATTGAATAAATTATATTGAAAGTAAATTATATTTATTTAAATTAATAAAAATATTTACAATTATATATTAATATTATAAAATATAACAGGGTTTTTAAACGATTCTATATAAATGATTTCATGTCTTTTTTTATTGTTTTCAAAAATATTGTCTTTTCAGGAACTTGTCGTATCAAAATTTCTAAATATTCCAAAATTTTAATAATCTATTGGAACACTGTACAATTTTATTTTAAAACAAAAATAAAAGTGAATAATAATTTATTCATATGGAAACAAACCAAAATTTTGAATATTCAATTATTAAAAAAATTTTATTTTAATTTTGAAGCAAAATATTGAAATAGATTTAATATTAAAATTTTTTTTTAATATTTTTAATTGTTTTTAATAATCCAAAATATTTATTCAAAAGCTTAAAATACTTAAATTTAAAATAAAAATATTCTTTATTTAATATTTTAAATATTCTAAATATTCAAAAACTGAATACTTTTAAAATATTTGATTTAATATTTTGAATATTCGAAATCCCAATGGAAATTTATTGTAATTGTTATAAAACTGCAGCAATTTCATTTTCTAATAACTCTTTCTTTTAAGTTCCCATATGAATGAAGGAATAAATAAACTGCGGTAAGGTGTACTTGCCAATGAGCTAAGAAAATAAAGAGAGCGTGGGGTAAAAGTTGTGGTTGAAGAAAACAGACCTGCGCTTCTCCACACCTGAGGGTGTATAGTGCTTAATTACTCCCGTATCACAGAGCGTAGTATTTCGTAGTAAGAGCAAAAGGGAGACAGATATATATATATATATAGAGAGAGCACATTATCGCTCATCTCGTTTCTTGGCCAACACGCATAGCTGTAAACTATACTGTCACACACACGCATCATGGTCGAATACATCTAGTTGAAATGTGCGGTGTGTCAACCACCCTTGACACACCAAGTGACTAAAAAAAAGAGGGGTATATTTCTATGTGTTGAGATGGTTTGCGGTGGGGAAAAAAAAAATCCTTGAATGTCGTCCGACGTTCATTCAAATAACGTCCAATCACACTCACGACTGTAGGGTTACGTTAAGAAGCTTGCCACCAACATTTTTTTTTACATTTATTACACTCCTTAAAAATTCCAACTTGAAAAAATATTTTAATCATTTTTGAAAAGCCAATATTAAAAATTTTGGAATTTTTCTCCATCTTCAAAAAAAAAAAACCAATTTCTTCTCCATTCAACATGAAATTCATGAACCTAGAATTTGAAGTAAATTCATATTTTATTCTTATTATGTACAAACGATTGAAGATAATTGAATATAAAAAAATAACTATATATAGTTTTGTTTACGTAATTTCAATAAATTCTAAGTGTCCTTTGTATTTATTTTCCTTTTCTTATTTGGACGATTAGGTAAATCGTGCATACTTTTTTTATGTTTTAAACTTTTTTCATTCACTTCCTCCGTTTCATTTTCAATGTCCATTTCTTCATGTTTACCATTTGATAAAACAACTGAACTAAAATTAACATCTAAACCTTCGCCCATTACTTCAGCTCGTAATTTACGAGCTTCCTTTTTCAATTTTTGTTTTGCTTTTTGATTCTTCTTTTTCTTCTTCTTTGAATTCGCCAATTCCTCATCTTTATCATCATCAGAATTATGTTCAACAATTGAATCCTCATGTTTGCCATTTTGCAATTTTACTCCATTCACCGGCTCTGGTTTTGTTTCCTTTTTCTTCGCCGATCTAAAAAAAAAAAATTTGTTTTTTTATTTCTAATTTTCAAAAGAGAAAAATAGTTTAATTTAATTAAACTTACGACACTGTGGGAGCTCCAATTTGTGATGCCAATTTATTGTAACAAGATTTAACATCTTTCGTGAGCGATACATTTAATCTGTATTCTCCCATAGTTTCTGCTATCAATTTCCAATCCCACGCTTCCGGTAAATGATGAGAACGAACTGCGTGCAACAATGTAAATAAATTGACAACAAATTTTTGCTTAATTTCCTTTCCAATCACTTGTTGTTCATCTCGTGAATTTTCCTCACGAATTTGATTTTGCGCAACATTCTCCTTTAATAGTTTTACACTCTTTTTAGACAATTTTTTCTCAAGTTTCATTCGCCTCTCTTTATGGTCGTCGTTCTGCAATATTCTTGCATTCCGATAGAAAACTAACAAAAGTTCCAAAGCCTGACTCCTTCTAAACGATCGAATCTCATTGTCGAAAGCAAATTCCACCTGTTAAAAAAAAAGTCCATCAATTAATAAACAAAAACAAAAAAAATTCAAATTACATTTTTGAAAAAAATAATTTACCAAAAGTGGAACAAGCATCCAGTTGCCCTCCCAGCATAATTGTAATATATTTTTAAAAAAGAAAATTGAAAGAATACAATCTCTTTTCTTGAAGAATGCTGTTAAATTCTCAACATAAATTTTTGCCAAATCGTCCATTGGTAAATTTGCCTGTTGTGAACATCTTACCAATAATATACAACATTTTGCCAATTGTTCGCCCATTTCTTGACAAATAGACGCTGATCGTTCACCTTTTTCAATTAATATTCTCATTAATGTCGTCAACAATTCATTGTCCACATTATCGGTATCTTTGAATTTTTTTAAATTTGCCAATTTTTTTAAACAACCTTTCACTTTATTTTCAAGTGGTTTTTGATGTGGTTCCTTGATACAATATTCAAGTAACATAAATAATGGAACAATCATATCAAGAGCCAATGCCATCGATGGACAAGAATCCAAATAACATTCAAGTAAATCAATAACACGAATACGAAAATGCGTTAAAGTCTCAGCTGATTTTGATTGTTTTTTCATTTGTGTTTTACGACTTTCACGAAGTATTTTAAAAGCCGCCGCCAATGATGCATCAAGACGTTTTCCTTCTTCTTCATCAATTTTATCAACGTCAATTTCGTCATCGGTTTGAGCGGCCGCATCACCAAGAGCTTGACTCACTGCCAATCGTAATCGATCTGTTACAGTTTCATCCTCATCGTCATCATCAGGATTGTCATCGTCGTCACTATCATCCTCATCGCTATCAATTTTATCTCCTTTTTCTTCTTCTTCTTCGGAATTATTTCCCGAATCTTCATCGTTATTTTCTTCGCCTTTTTTAACACCATTTTTACCTAAATTTTCTATTTTCAGTTGTTCACTATCATTTTCTTCATTTTCTGATTCCATCTCAGAATCTGAAGAATCATCCTCAATTCCTTTTGCGCTTAAAGGTCCCTTCGTATTCTTTATATCTAATACCTGTACAAATTTTTATTTCCAATTAGAAATTATTATTTATCTTTTAAAACAGTAAAAAAAACAACAATTTATAATAAATAAATATTTACCGCCAAGATTTGATGTAACGAAACGCTGGTGAGATGAGGGCAAATATGTGGAAAAACACAGCCAACAACAGTGCGAAGTAAATGTTCATTTCGTGATAAAAGTGATAATAAAAGATCGACAACAACTTCGGTCCATTCGGGTTCATCAGTGTCGCTTGTCCCTTTTGATTTACGCGATTTCTTCTTCTTTTTCAATCTCTCAAAACAATTGTGTAATTCATCAATTGATGAAATTGCCATTTCTGGATCGGTAAATAATTGTAAACCCATATGTAAATCCATTGTATGAAAAAATGCGGCAAATTTATCATTATCATCCTCCGATTTTTTAACAACATTCATCATTTTTTGCCATGCCTCTATACCCGTTTCTTCAAGAGGTATTCTTAATTTTAAATCATTATTTTTGACAAATAATTCTTCATTTAAATATGAAACCATATTACTTAAAATTGATCTCAAATCATTTAATTTTGGCAATTTATTGTCTAGTGCACGATAGAAACTGACTTTAATTTTATCTGAAACAATACACAAAATAATAATTTTTAATTAGATTTAAGATTCCAATTTTTTAAATTCAATAAAATAATTTATAAACATGTAAATAATAAAATAAATAAAATAATTACTTGCTAAATCAACTCCAACATTCTCAGATTCACAAAGACCAAGTTTAAACAAATATTTAAGTTGTTTCAATCTCCAAGTTTGATTTGATGTCATTTCCGTGTGACTTAATAATCTGAAAAATAATTTTTTTAAAGAATTAATTAATTAAAATTCAATAATTCTAATTAAATTATTTTTTTTTTAATACTTACTTTGTCAAAAGTTGAACTGCATAAATTCTCTCGACATTCGTCCAAGTTTGTGCAGTTTCACTATTATTACTCTCTTTTATTTTTGAATTGTCTATTATTTCTTTGTAAATTTTTGCCAATTTTTTCACACCATCGCCATCTAATGTAGCCGTAAATAATTGAATAATTTTCAAGCCAGTCATTTTTTCAATCATTAAATCACCTGGATATTGAATTAATCTCAATAAAGTATTAATTTTAATTTTATTATCAGCATTCTCGGATAAAATTGTCGTTAATGATGATAGAATATTTTTAAAAGCAATTGTAACTTCATCCTTCTTATTTCTTTTGTTAAAATTACATTTTCGCAACATAAATTGAAGATATTTTTCCGAGAGTAATTCAGGAATTAATGATTTGTCTTTTACATTTTCAAGTAAAAGTCGTAGTAATTCAGTTGCAAGATATTCGTCAGTTTTTGATGGTTTCAAAAAACGTTTATCTATCGCTGTCCAAAATAATTCAACATATTCAGTTGTTGACAATTTTTCAATAAATAATTTATAAATTGGATGTCGATAACACACGATTCGAGGTATTTCCTAATAAACAAAAATGTAATTATTATTAATCAATTATTTTTGAAATCTTTTAACGATTCTTTCAAAAAAAAAAAATACTCACAGTTAAGATTTTCGTAATACTTTCCATGGATTCGACATTAATAATATTTTCAGATCCAAAAGTTTTTTTGTAAATCTTCTTTACGACTGATGGAAATTTCTCCTGAATAATCAATAATGTATGTAAAGTTTCCAAATTTTGTTCTAACAATGGTTTAATTAATTCTTGTTGAAGTAAAGGCCAAACATTATTGACAAATAATGTCTCATCGATTTGATTTAAAAAATCAATAATAAATGAATATGCAACAAAAGAGAGATAACTGCGTTTTTTACTAGCAGCAATTAAAAGTTCCAAAACTTTTACTTGTTCTTCTGCTGTACATTTTTGAAGAATTTTTGAACGCACTAATGATCCGCATGTTAATATTCGACCAGTGTAAACTTCTCCAACTTCCTATTTAAATTAATATAAATATTTTAAAAAATTTTCAATTAGCAAAAAATAGAAAAATTTAGTAATTTAATTTACTTACACTTTTAAGTTTATTGTTAACGGGTTGTAAAACATTTTCCATAATTTCTAAAATTTTTTCGACTGGTGTCTCTGGATTTGTAGTCAAGTACCCAGTTAAAGTTATATAGAAACTTTTTCTTGACGTTATATTAGAAGATCCAGTACCACGGATCAATCGTTTTAATGTTAAATTTAATTCTTCAGACGTATCATCATTCTGGAGAAAATATTTTCAAGCTATTAGCTAAATATATTTAAAATCTTAGGGGCGATAGATTTCTCAGGTGAACAATAATTTCTAAAACCTAACCTCAAAATTTTATTCTCAATTTCAAATACCATTAAAAATAATCATTATAAATTAAAATTAAACCCCTATAAAAATTTACTAATATTTTCTTTATTAAAATAAATAATTTTTTTCAACTAAACTTTTTATAATCTAAAGATAGAGTTAAAAAAAATATCTGACGCATGTTTGTGATTTTAGGTTAGAGAGGCTGAACAATTTTATAAGTTTTACAAGTTTAGTTAAATTTTAGATAAAAAAAAATTCTATATAAAGAAAAGAGAATAAAATTCTTACCCAATTTTGTTCTGAAAGATATTTGACTAGTTCAACACCGCCAGCAATTCTCTCCTTATCGGATCCTTTAATGAGTTTTGGAAAAGAATCAAGAACACCTAACTTCGTTTTCTCCATTTTTTCATACGAATATTTGATAATAACAGTTAAAACTTTTTACTTGCACGATATTTTCACTGTTTTTTTCTCACTCTACACAATGTGATCATAAATCTTGTATAAAATTGACCGCAGGATAAATAATCCTGGGATATAAATAAAAAAAAATTACAAAACAATTATTTTGGCCATGCGGTAGACACGCAAGAGGCTTTTTAAGAAGTTTAATTTTATATCTGTAGAGGGAGCTACTATCCAATCACGGTTGGGAATGTATTAAAAAAAATGTTGTAGAATACGTAAAACACTGTATCTACGTAAAATACTCTATTATCACTAAGTTTTGAATAGATTAAAAATTATACAATATTTATCTCTTTCTGTAAAAAAATGTAAAAATTTGATTATTAATAATTGAAATCATGAAACAAAAATAGAATTTTTTAATAAAACAAAAAAAAAGGATACATTGTAGATAATTATCTGAAACAAATAAATGCGAATTTAAACAAGTACGTATAAATTAAAAAAAAAAAATTAAACAATTGTTATATATTTAAAACAGTAATAATAGAAAAAGGATACATGTTGAGAAAACAATTTCTGAAACAAATATAAAAACAAACACCTTTTAATTAATGCAAATAAAACATAGAAATTAATAAAATTAAATATTTCTCAACATCCTGTAATTTATGAATAAAAATACTTATCCTTAAATTTATTTTCCTTAAACTTCAATCACTAAAATCAACACTATAAAATTGTTCACTCACTGAATGATTTAAAAAAAAATCGCGACGTAGTTAAAAAGAAAATAATTATTTAATTAGCGGAAAAAAGAGAATAATAATAAACAAATTTTAGTGTTGATGAAATAAAAATTATCAACACAAATATATATTTGTCATGGGGCAATATTTTACGCGATTTTTAAAAATGATTGTTAAAATTTAAAAAAATTTCAATATCTTAATACACAAATATTTACAAAAAATATAACATTATAATATAGAAAAGAATAAATAAAATATATCAAAAAGTATAAAAATATATTCTCTCTTTATACTTTTTGATTATATTATCCAACAATGTACAAAAATATAAAACATCTGAAAAATAAAATAATTATATTAAAAATTTAAGAATATAAAAATTCAGTTTCTCACCACGATGATTCAACTGAAAAAGAATTTTCTAAATTAAATTTGAACATATACAGTACATGGAAATACAACATTGTAATATTTGTGTACAAGATAGTGACACAAAAAATACACACATACAAAATTATTAATATTTTTATTATTCTTACCAGAATAATATTCCTCCCTAGCTATATTTAAAAGAAATGGTATCTCACTCACACTTTAAAGAAAACCTATCCTACCTATAGCTATATTTAAAAAATCTAACAATTCATTCCGCAATATACAAAGTACACAACAAACATTGCCAAAAAAAGAATATTTTTTTTTTGTCAACGGTGTCACTATGTTGCTAAAAAAAAAAATAAGACTCACCGGTCGTTGATTTCCTCCTCAATGTGCCATTCATCGTAGTAGCTCTGCATCGTAGAAGCTCTGCTTTTTTTTCTGAAGCTGTATATGATCTCCATCCTGAAGCAGCTCTGCTCCGCCTTTTCTTCAAGAGTACACAAACACAAACTCACAATCACATTATTTTAACGAACTGAATTTAACACGTACATTTTAACAATCAAATTTACTTTCTTTTTTTTATTAATATAAACGATTTTATTATTAGCACGATTAGACACGAAATGCAAAAAAAAACACACAATTTTGGCACGTGGTCGACACAATGTATGGCAGCCATTTTGTCCTTCTATATTTCTTCAACTTTCATTGGAGAATTATACCCCCCAACTCAATATATTGCAACAATGTTGGAAACATTACTACAATACATCTTAACATTGTAACCGTTATGCAACAATGTTTAAAATAAAGTTGTAACATTGGCAACAATGTTGCAAATATATTGCCGCTGTACAGGGGTGAAGAGAATAAAAAATGCCTATACCAAAATGATTTCAGATCTCGATAAATTCGATAAAAATCCAATTTACTAATACATCTTTCGATTCTCATTTAATAATATTTGCAAAATCAGAAATACTGTAAGTGCAAAAATATATTTGTTCTTTGGAAATTAACTACGAAAACGACACTCACCACGAGACCTGTATGCCCGGTTTTATACAAATCAAGTTTTTTCCGAAATAAATATCACTTGTATCATTTAATTACACGTTAGAAGTTAAAATTTGATTATAATAGAAAAGTTTAATCACAAAACAATGAAAACGAACAAAATATTATTCGACACTTGTCGAGAGAAGCTGGAGCAACACGCACAGACTTGTTCTACCGTCGCCATATTGCCAAATGGACGACGACCAATCATATTCCTGCCTTTAATATATATTCAATAAAACAAAAATTTTACATTACGAATAACTATTTCATTTAAATAATTAAAAATATTTACTAATGATTTAACAAAAAAGTGCAAATTGAACTAAATTTCATTCGATCGTAGCGCTACACTTGCCGGAAACAGTTTTAACATGAAAATCAGTGACACCAACATGAAACGGAAACGGAACGTTCCCATCAATTTTGATTGGCCGGAATGCGCGCGCTAATTTAAAATATACTACATTTCAAATTTACCCGCTTATTTTTAACCAATAAAAATTTATTGCAAACGCTTGCGTAATTGGTATTACTGAATCAAAACAAGAGTCATCTTTCTTGATTAAAACGCATACTTCATTATTCATCACGTTTTTAACAGAATATAAAAAAAAATCTCGACAATCCTTTCTTTTTCATTGTCATTATTAGTTCATTGTTCTTTGTGATACAGTGTCGTAAAACAACGGTAGTCTTTAGAATCATTGAAATAATAAAATAATTGCAAACCCATTTACGCGAATGGAAATATAATTGACAATCGATTAAATCGGGAGTGTCGTTGACTGCAATTTTTCAGGCTTTACGTTTTGCAAATGTTTTATATATGCGAAACAAGAGAATTTTCAATCAACGTAAAAATAATTATTTAATAAAAATTGTGGAAGCATGTCATCTGATAAAGTTATTTCGCAAACGGAATTTCAATTATCCTGAGTTTTTTCAGTTCACTGAAGCCATACGTTTTCGTAAGTTAAATGTCATATATTCCATATGATTATTTAATATAATTTTTATTTTGTACATTATATTTTATTTGCATAAAATGGTGTAAATACAATGACAGTTATTGATTATTGTACATTATTAGCTTGAATAACTGGTTAAATCAATGCTGTTATATACATATATATATATATTGTACACTTGTATGTATATTAAGGGTGGAAAAATGTTACATTTTATTTATTTTTTTTTTTATATTATTATTTAAGTGCTTTACTTTGTTTTAAAAAAATAGTTTTTTTTAAATTACAAAAAAAGTTAAATATTTGTACAAAATGTACAATTTTGTATTTTTAAAGAAAAATTGCTTTTTTTTTATTTATTGTGAAAGTATTTTTAGAAATGTTGATTGTTTACAGTTGGCTTGACATGTCATATTCTATTGAACGTCTAAACTATATGCAAGACAGCAGCAGTGACACAGAAACAGATTGCAAGGAAACTGATGGGCATGGACGGAATTCGGCTTATAAAAACAGATTGAGGTGAGACCAATTTATATAGATGATTTTTTAATACTATTTTTTTTTCACAAAAAAAGCTGTCTTAGATAATTCTCAATTTTACCTCTTGTTAATTTAAAAAAAAACAAAAAAAAATCGCATGTTTCCCGAAAAAATTTTTTTCAACATTTTTATTTATTGTAACAATAATCGAAAACAGCAAAACATTTTACTGAATTGGTTTTAAACTCAGCTGAAGGAGATAAACTGACTAAAAAAAATAGTTTTTTACTAAACACTCACTCAAATTCAAAATTTTTTTAAAACTTGAAAATAAAAATACACTTAATTAATGTATATTTTAATTTTTTTGTACATACTTCTTGCTTTTCATTCCTGCTTGTCATTTTTCTTATAATATATATTATATATGTATAATCAATATATATATTCTCAAAACATTTTCATTAAATCATAAAGCACGTTTGCTAACGACATTATTTTTTATAATTAAAATAAATTTTTTACGTGTTATTCGCTCGTATATATATTATATATATGTTGTCACTTTTATTCTTGAAGTACATCCAAGTGGTTTTCTGTTTTCAGGTGAGTTCGAAAAAATTTAGATTCTTGTTACTTAGTTATGTTCTAATGCTTAGATGCAGCATTGGCACCAATTTCTTTAATTAATTTTTTATTAGTAGATCACCCATTTTTTCTTTTTTAGTTTTTTTTTATTTTTTAAGACAGTATTTTATATAAAAAATATTATTTCTCTAGGTAAGCGTTATTATATTATATATATTTATACAAAAATAACAAGAGGAGTCAGAACAAAAGTATGATCAAATATATATGTACATGGAAAATCTACACATTTCTTGGAACAATACCAAATAACTAATTGTAACTTCCTATTTTATATATATATACATTTATATATAAATTATTTTTTCTTATGAAATTCACCAATTTTTTAACTCATATTTTCATATCGTTGACTCTTTGAAAAAACTATTTTGTAATTATTTTAATTACAAATTATTTTTTTGAAAAGAATTTGAGATAAATTTCAATTTTGTTAAATTTTTACAAAGAGTCAATAAATCATCGAACATTCTAGGATACGTAGATATCCCAAAATGCTTGATTTTAGCTGGAAAGTTAGTAAGGAAATGTGGTTGTTTTGCATGTAGTTGTGGTGGTTCGTCCAAACCAAAATCTTGTCTGGTTCAGAGGGATGGAAGCATCGAACAACATTGTCCTCCCATCGAGAAAAGCAGACAGAGCACAAATTTAGGTCAACTAAACAGGTAAAAAAAAAAAAAAAAAACTCAATTCAAGAAAAAAAAAAGAAACGACTGAATGAGTTTCTTTTACCACGAAAAAAAAATTCATTTTGACTAACAATATAAGGATCTCTTTTCCCAAGAGATTGAAAATTCATTATTCACCTAATAATTATTATATTGAAGAAAGAGGATTGCATGGTTTTTAGAGATATACACTTTTTTTTTTAGAATAATAATTTTTCTACGTTTTTTTTTTTTAACTTTTATATATTATGAAAAAAAAATGAAAAAAAGGAAAATAAAGTAGTAAGTAGATAGAAGCAGCTTATGGCCTCGTTCTTTCCTTGCGGCACTTATTCTTAGTTTCTTTGTTATAAGACCTGGATCCTTTCAATGTGAAAACGCTATTTGTGTATAAGGTAATACAAATTTTCAATAAGACTTTTTTTTCATTCGCAAGCACTTCATCAAACTTTTTTGTTTTTTTTTATGCCGAATAAATAATAGAAAAAGAAAAATTTTTCCCTTGCATTCCTTTTTCTTGATTATTTCCCCAGACAGAGAAATATAATAAAATATATAAAAAAAAATGAGGACTTTGATTATAAAAATAAATTATTTTTAGGCTTCGTACAGGGATTGGAATAACGAAAAGTCCACAAAATCAAAATCGAGAAAGTTGTTCGTCGTCAAATTTAACGTCAGGAATGAGTCATCAACAGATTAGTGACGAGAGAATTACTCTCATTGTTGATAATACAAGGTTGGCAAATAAAAAAAAATTACTATTTTTTCTAAAAAGTATTTTCAAAAATTAATTATTAAAGAAAAAAGAGTTTAAGATTTAATTTTTTCTTTTTAGATTTATAATCGATCCAGCACTTTTCACGGCCCATCCAAATACAATGTTGGGACGAATGTTCAGCTCTGGAATCGAATTTGCACAACCGAATGAACGCGGTGAATACGAAGTGGCGGAAGGAATATCTGCAATGGTTTTTCGTGCTATTCTTGAATATTACAAAGGAGGAATCATTCGTTGTCCACCGACTGTGACGGTTCAAGAATTACGAGAGGCTTGCGATTATTTACTTATTCCCTTTGATGCCAGTACTGTCAAATGCCAAAACTTGAGTAAGGATTATTTTTTTCCTAAATGTAAAAAAAAAAATGGCTAATTTTTTCTAATTTTGAAAATTAATTCCAGGAGGATTGTTACACGAATTGTCCAACGAAGGAGCGCGTTGTCAATTCGAAGTATTTCTCGAAGATTTAATACTACCCTTAATGGTGAATAGTGCACGACGTGGTGATCGTGAATGTCACATAGTTGTTCTATTAGAAGACGATGTTGTCGATTGGGATGAGGATTATCCACCACAAATGGGAGAGGAATATTCGCAAAGTAGGTATCAAAAATTAAAATTTTTTAAAAAAATTTTCGAAAATATTAATTAAAAAATAATAATTACAGCCGTGAACAGTACAGCGATGTATAGATTTTTCAAATACATTGAAAATCGTGATGTTGCTAAGCAAGTGATGAAAGAACGGGGTTTAAAAAAAATTCGTCTTGGAATTGAAGGCTATCCAACTTATAAGGAAAAAGTAAAAAAACGCGCCGGTGGCCGTGAGGAAGTAATTTATAATTATGTACAAAGACCATTTATTCATATGTCATGGGAAAAAGAGGAGGCAAAAAGTCGTCATGTTGATTTTCAATGTGTTAAATCAAAATCAGTGACAAATTTAGCAGAGGCCACAGCTGATCCTGTATTAGATGCAGGAGGAAATCCAATAATTGCTCTTTTACAAGCTGCGGAAATAGTACCACAACCGGAAGCTTCACCGCCAATGGGACAGGATATTGATGTTGAAGGTGCACCTGGATTAGCGCCTGATTCCGATGCATTAGGTTCAATACCGCCTGATGAGCAAACATTATAATCGGATAAGAATAATAATAATAATAATTATTATTATTGCACATTACGAATAACATACTCACAAGCGGCTGTTTACTTCAAGAGATTTATCAAAAGTATTAACGTAATGTTTCTCCGAATTCGAAGTTGAGAAACGCTGGGTCCACCGATTCGAGAGCCCATTATTATAATTATTAATAATAATAATAATAATAATAATCAATTATATCAATAATTAGACTTGATTGAAAGTACTCGAGTAAAATGTTCGCTTTTACTTGTTCATATTTATATTAAATAATATTATATAGATATATATGTACGAAACAAGAAGACTTATCTCACAAAACTGTAAATTTTTTTCAAGTTGGTCATTTTGTATCTCTTTAAATAAAATTTAAAATAAGCAAATAATTTTTATTTAAATATATTAGAATTCCCTTTTTAAATCTTCGGTCCATTTTATTACTAATTCCCGTTTTTTTGCTTCTATTTTCTTTACAATTTGCTTTTTAATACTTTTTCCTTTATTTTAAATAATTTTATTTTCTATTTTTAATATTTCTCGAAGCTGGATTATGCGTTTCTCTCCTTCCTTCAACATTTATTTTCATTTTTTTTTTTGAATTTTACTTTTATATTGTTTTTTTTTCAATTTAATTTCAAGCTCCTTATTTTCAGATTTTTCTCAAAAAAAAAACGATATTTCAAGTCACGAAAGAATATTTTTTTCATTTTGAAGAAAAATTGTTGAAAAGAAGACGGAAAATAGTCGATGAAAATTGAATTTTTGGGATTTTCCACCTGTCGACAATATCGGCGGAGTAAGGGTGGTTGAAGAAGAGGATCTAAAACGAGGTTCATGTAGAACCCAACCCCCAATTGTATTTTTGAACGAGCAACGAGAAACGCAGGCGCTACAACGATCAATAAACACACGAAGTCGAGGGCAAGATAACAGTAGCTTACAGGTTCGCAGATAGTAAGCGTATATTTTGGATAAAAAAAAAAAAAAAAAAAAAAAATTAAAATCAGGCACCGGCTCAACTTGTGAGGCTGCAAAGCAGCTCCTGCAGCATGCAACCGCCTCCAAGAAAAGTAAGTCTAACATACTTCAGGATGACATCGTTTCGTTATCGAATTCTATTTTTTTCTTTAAAATTCCTCTATACATATATCTATTGGAAAAGTCGCGCGCGCTCCTGTCATTTTTTTTTTTTATTTTTTTTTTTATTTGTAAAACACATCGTAGGTGTTCATCAATGAAATACTCTCTTCTTGAAATCGATTTTACTTGAGATGATTTTTCATAATTTTGAAAATATTCTCTTCTTTTTTTGTCACGATCTCGCACGAAGAAATTTCGGCTTTCAATCGTCCTTTTCCCGAGGACCCCATCACCTTTTAAATTGCCCTATTTAACAGAGAGAGAGAGAGAGACCTAGATTTCAATCATCAAAAAAATTTTCTCCCGGAAGTGGTTTCGTTATGCTCATTGATTTTCTTTTTTTGTCTTTTATAGATTTTTTTTTTTGGGAAAATTAAATCTTTTTCTTTTTGCTTCGTCTTCTTCTTTTTTCGTTGTATAAAAAGGTGGCTGTAGAAAAGAAATTGCCTTTTAACCTTTAGTAAGTGGACTAGACATTCGTAGAACATTGATTTCTTGCTAACGACATTTCAGTTTAGTTAGACATTTACTACTTTATAAAACTGATAATCATAATTTTATTACATTGTGTTAGTTTCCTTTCTTTTCCGGTCTCATTTTCATCGATTTTTTATATTTTAAATTTCTTTACACATTGTATTCTTTCTAATTTAATTTTTCAATTTCTTTTTGTTGTTCATAAATGAAACTTTGAAATTGAAGTTTATTAACTTCTCTCTATACTGTAAATTGTTAACTTCTGTTCTTGGAAGTTTTGAGAGTTTGTTAACTTTTGTATTTTCACACGTTTAACTTTTGTGTGTTTTCGAGTTTGAATTGTCACGAGAGAAAGTTTATCAAAATATTGAATTTTTGGCTTATTGTTCTTATACTTAAATAGAAATGAAGAAAAGCTGAGGGAATTTTTTTCAAGTCACGCGAAAATTTCTTTTTCTTCTTTTTTTTTTGCTGAATTGAGAATTTCTTGATGATTTGTCAAGGGCGAGCTCTTTACAAGGACAATTAACTTCCAAATCAAAAGACACTAGGCTATCGATTTTTCGATGCTCCTCAAATTAATGTCAGGGAATGGAAATTGATTTTTTTGTTTTTGAAATATTTTCGACAATTTTTGAATATCAAAATTTAAAAATTTTCAATTTGAAAAAATTGACAGTTTAGAAAATTAAGATTAATTTCTTTAAATAAATTTAGTTTTATTGGGAATTTTGGAGATTCCTTTTTCTTTTTTTTTTTTGAACTCTTTTGAACCCCGTTAAATATAGTTTCAGTATATTCATTCTAGACTCTCATTTCAGGATCATCGAACCTTTCTTTGCACATGCATAGGCTCGCGGTCCTTTTCCAATCGATTTTCTTCTTCGCTTATTTCATTTTAGCCGATGCAGAATATCCGGCTAAATTCCTCGGGCAAATAGATTATCAACGCAGTTACATTTTCCAATTATGCAATTCTTAATCGACTATACGATGAAGTAATTAAACGAGTACAAATTGTCGCCGTTTTTCTTTACTTTAATTAATTTTAATTAATTAATAAATCAATTTTCATTTTTTGCTTTCTAATTTCTTTTTTTTTTTTGGCAAGCAAAATTTTATTTGCAAAAATTAAAAATGTTTCCCAGAAAAATTATTTTTATTTTCTTCTTCTCTTTTTTTCTATTTTTCAGGGAAATTATGCAAAGTTTCTCAAAAATGTACACGCAGAACAGGCCGCGAAATTGCAGGCCAAGAATCAACACGAGTGCGACCTGTTGGAGGATATCCGGTGAGATTTGAATTTTACATTCAGTATTTATCTAAATCTTCATTTTACAGTAATAAAAAAAGAATTTTATTCACGTGAATTTGTTTTTTAAGACAAATTCAAATTAAATTCAGTGACTAAAAAAATTAAAACAGGGTGTGGTTAATTGTTCGGTAATTTCTAAAAAAAAAATAATTATTTTTTTTTAATTTTAATTTACAATTTTTTTTGTAAAATTGAAGAAAATAACTGAAAGCGATAAAAAGGAAACGTTATCCTTGGCTATTTGTGGGAAATTATTTCGACAATTAGAGATTAAATATGTAAGATATCTAATAATTTAGGGTATAAATAAGTTTTTGTTAATAATTAGTTACATCAGACGAAGCCTTCTTCACTTCAATTCATAAATCCTATACATGTCGACCTTCACATTGGATATCGATCCATTTCTAAGTTTCATAAATTTTCCTCAAAAAGATCGCCACTTAGATTCAAATCATTTTGTCCTCGAAGACAAAACTGTCGCTTCATTTCACTCTAATTCAAGAATTTATATAAATATAGTCCAAAATTTAGTAATTCTGATTACAAAAGGTCATTTATTTTTTTGTATAAAAAAAACCTGTTTGCATGTTAAGGCATTAAATTATATTTTTTTCAAGTTTAGTGAAAATTTTCCAAAAAAAAATTAAAAACTAATTAGAAAAATCAAAATTTATGAAAAAATAGTTTATTCGATAGTGAATAATAGAATAGAATCATTAAATTTGGTTCAATTATAGTAATAAACTAAATGAATATTAATTATTATTACCATTCTATTAATAGTAATATTATTTCCATTTTAGTGAATTCAGATATTGTTAAATGTAACTATTTTGATTTTACGTCAGTAGATTAATTAAAATTTTAGGTAAATTAAGAAATTATACACAATGCGAAATAGACTGACTTCCGGTACATAAACTGGGGCGGTGGTGACGGTAAAAGGGGGTGGGAAAAAGAGGGTGATGATCGAACGTCCAAGTGCATTGCGCGTTACACACGTTGCGCTTTAGTTTAAAAGACTTTTATAATTGTAATAAAAAAGAAAAAAAAAATAATAAATCTCTAAATGACCTTAATTTAAAATAAAATCAATACCTTTATACTACAAGTGATTAATTTTTTTTTGAAAATCACTTTATTTATATTTTTTTTTTTAAATAATTGTAGAAAATAAATTTCCAATAATTTTGATTTTTTTCTTTCTAAAAAAAGGTGTAATGAAAAATAAAATCATTTTTCTTTACGTGAAAAAACAAGGGAGATTCGCAAATGAATATGCGGAAAAAGAGAGGGTTTAAAGAATAATTTTACTAATGGGGTCAAGAGAATACTCGAGAGTTTCAATTATCAACGTTTTCGATAAAACATCTCTGAAGACTTTAATTAACCATTAATTGATCGCTGTATTTAATTACTATACTAAAATTGTTCCATGAGAAAAAAAAAGAACTTTCTTGGCAGATAAGTTCACTTGTTGACAGATCTAATTTGGATTTTAAATCCTAAACAGAAATAAAAATTTCAAGTTAATTAAAGTTTTCAAGCTGGGAATATAAAAAAAAAAAATAATAATAATCTAGATGAGTAGTGATAAAATCGTTCATTCGCATCTTAGAAAAACCATATTTTTGATATTATTTCAGTAATTTCACCATAAAAAAGTCAGCCATTGAAAAATCCTACTCTGAGGTGAGTTTTATAGATGAGAGTTTTTTTCTTTTTTTTTTTTTTAATTATCATTATTTCTTGAAAATTAATTTTGATTTTTCTTTTTTTAAGGCGTTGCTGAAGATATCCTCGGCATATCTAAACAAGAAGATTCCAAACATTCCTGATATTAAGGTCGATGGAGCAGAGGAAAAATGGTATATAACAAGACCCTTTTTCTCTCAAGCTACATTATTTTATATACACCATATAAATATCTGACAGTTTCTACAATTTAAAAAAAAAATAACTGAGATATAAAAAAAAAACACACACACAATCAACCACGTGAATTTTAGGAATATGTGGAATGTCTGGAGAACGGTCCTGGAGGAAAACGAGAAACTTGCTCGGGCTCGACTCGCTGCCGTTGAAGTTTTTCAGCAACAAATTGCTGACGATGCCAAGGTCCTGCGAATGCACAAGCTTCAAATTTCCAAAAAGGTATTTTTTTTACTCTCACAAAATAATAAAAAAAAAAAAAATTTTATAGATAAAAATTTATTTATCTCAATTTGTATTTTTTAGAAAAAATTGTTTGTATCCGATTTATTATTCTCAATAAATATAGAGAAGAAAATGGAAATTGAAAATAGATTTTTTTTTATTGCAGGCCATCGATCAATTAATGATAGTACAAAAGGAGCTGCAAACTTGTGTACAAGATGTGGATAAAACGAAAAAATTGTACTTCGATGAAGAGCACTGTGCTCGAGATGTACGGGACAAGGCAAAGGATATTGAAGAAAAGTGAGTATAAAATTTAAAAAGAAAATAAAAATTGCTATGCAAATAAATACAATTTAGTTTTCGAAGTGTAATAGCGATACAAAAGTTTTTTTTTTTTCAAAAGTTGAAATTTATGGAAATTGTAAAGATTTACAAACTTCTCAAAAAGCTTGTGCGACGATAAAAAAGAAATTGTGAATAAGGAAATTTATAATATTTAGAAGAATTTTCTGTTTTGGAAACAAAAAAAAAAAAACTGTGTCATTTTCAGGCTCAAGAAAAAGAAGGGTTCGTTTTTTCAATCAATCACGTCATTGCAAAAGAACAGTGCCAAGGTAATTTTCAGTAAAATTAAAAAATAAATTTTAAAGAAAAAATGAAAGAGAAATTAAATTTTTCAGGTGAGTTCAAAACGAGATGCTTTAGAGGAGAAATCGACAGGAGCACGTAACGATTATTTGTTGAGTTTGGCTTCTGCAAATGCGCATCAGAACAGATATTTTGCAATCGATTTGCAAAATACAATGCAGGTAATATCACTTAATTCAAACATTTTATTTTAAATATATATTTACTATTTCGAAAGTTTAAAATGATAATATATTTTTTTTCGGGGTTCGGGTGGATTAGTATTTAGAGCAAGGTGTATACGACAAGGTAGCCGAATATTTGACACTTATGGGCCGTACAGAGCTTTTAACTTGTTTGGCAAAACAAAATAGTTATGGAATAATTCGCGACCAAGCACAACAGGTTTGAAACAAAAATCGTCATTTAATGCAAAATTATTAAAAACAAAATGACGAATTTTAGATGAAATAAAATTTTGGTTATTTATAAATAAATTGGTAAATTGTTTTTTGGAAATATTTTGGTAAGTGTAAATAAAATTATTTTCAGCTTACCAGAGAATACAACATTAAATGTTGTTGCTTGTATTATCCTGTTTTGAAGCAACACATTCAATATGATTACGAGCCATGTGACAACGATCCCTTTGACAAGTAAATATAGAATTTTTTAATTTTCTTTTCATCTGAAGCAAATTTTAGTTTTTTTTAAAAAATTAAAAACTTGTTTCTTTTTTAGAGTGACTGCCGATCATTCAGCTGCATCATCCCTAGGAAAAGAAGCTCGTCGTTGGGCAACGAGAATAGCTCGAGAAGTTGGCAGTATTAGAGAAAATAATAGAAAATTACAAGTTCTTTTTCAACTTAAAGAATCGGGTCAAAAGGTACGCGTTTATTTTTAAATTAAAAATAAATTTAAATTTTTTTAATTTATTTACGAGGAATATTTTTATTCCAGACCGATCCAAATGATCCAAATGGCCCTGACATTGACACCAAGATAGATGATGTGAAGCACAATATCCGACGTGCCGAGGTAATTATTATTATTATCACCGTATATAGGGGTGAAAAATAATTTTTAAATATAAAACTAGTTGTATCTTTAAATAAACTCATTATTGTCTCGTCTCGTTTATTTTATAGACAGCAAAAATGAAAGCAGAAGCCAGATTAGAATGTCTTCGTAATGGAGGAGGTAATTTCAATTTTTTTTTAAATTCAATTTAATTTCAATTTTTTTTTAAAAAAAGTGTGAAATCAAATTTAATTGATTTTTAATATACTATGAAATTTTCCAGTCAACGTAGATGAATTCATGCAAGAAGTGGAAACACTAAATGTTCAAGATATTCCCCGGTCAGCGAGTTCCCTTTCAGTACGCACAGACGCTTCCGGAACTGCGGTAAATATTCAATAGATGTTGAAAGATATATATATATACATATTATAACAGACTCGCGATCAATGTCGAGACCGCGTGGTATATTTTTTTAAGGTCGTTCTACTTTAAAAAATAGGATATAAATCAATGATGAAGAATTTAAGATCAATCAGGGAATATTTACTAAAAAGAAACTATAAACCAAAATTTTACCAATTTTCCAATTAGGGAATAATAAGTAAATTTTCATTTATACAGAAAAAAATCAAAGAAACAATTTTGAAATTGCATTTTTTCAGGAGCATCCATCATCGGATTCATTTTACGATAGTGACGGCGATGGTGGAAGTGATTTAACAACTGTCGAAAGACCCGGAAGTGTGCGCACTTCTTTGCCTCATGAAGAAGACTCTGGCGAAGATAGACAGAGGCACGACAGTTCGGAAGTTGATGGTAAAGAAACAATAAAATCATTTCTTTCCAACAATTTAATTTATCTAAATATATTTTTAGCTCTATTGGAACAAGAACAGCAACGAATAGAAGATATTACCGCTGGTTGGGATGATCCAGCGAATTTAGATTGGAGCAAGTTGGATGAAGATGAATCGGCCATAACACAAGAAACAGCCGATGTGCCTTCTGATCAACAAATTTTCAAGTGCACAGCTCTTTACTCGTACAATGTAAATATAACATTTTGTTTTTCATTTCTTCAAATTAAATTGACAAAAAAAATGAAAATAATTTTTTTTTTTTTAGGCACAAAATCCGGATGAATTGACTATAGTTGAAAGTGAACAATTAGAAGTAGTTGGCGAAGGTGATGGTGATGGTTGGTTGAGAGCAAGAAATTATCGTGGCGAGGAGGGATTTGTACCGCAAAATTATCTTGACGTTGAAAGAGAAACAGAGACACAAAGTAATCTTGTTTCACATGGACCAGGATTGGTACAGCAAATTTCATTTTCATCTGTTGATTATACAATTGATGATCATGATGCTGTTGATCCTGATGCACATATACAGGCAACTGCTCAAGATTCGTTTGTACAAAATCATATAGGTAAGAAAATTTAGAAAAGGATTTTATTTAAATTCACAAATTAATAATAATATTGATTTATAATAAAAATTATTCAAGGTACTGAAGAGTGGTGCATTGCTCTGTATGATTATGATGCTACTTGTGATGAGGAACTCACTTTTATTGAAGGGGAAATAATTAAAGTATTGAGGAAAGAACCTCATGATGTTGATGACGGTTGGTGGGAAGGTGAATTACGAGATCAAAAAGGCCTATTTCCATCTTTAGTCGTAGAACCTTGCGCACCGGACGGATCACCTTTGTCAGAATTAGAGGTAAATTCACTAATAAATTACTGAAATAAATTATTTAATTTATTTTAAATATTAAATTAATTTTATTTTTCTCTAGGACGATGTAACACCACCTAGTTTTGCACCTCCTCCAGAACATACACCACCTGAAGTTCCGGATTATGTCTTAACCGATGAATTTGAACACTCGGAATTGAATGGTACGGTTTTTAATTTCTATTGCGATAAATTTAATTTAATTTTTTAATTAAATGGAAAATATTCAATAGATTCAGGAGGAGATAAACCAGCTTTTGTAAGTGAGAGATCAGGTTTTGCAATGAATCTCACAAGGAATCAAAAAGAACAATACGGTATGCAATTTGATGATGAAAATAACGAAAAAGTCGAAGCTCCGGGAATAACAGGTGAGTAGGAAAATTTATCTATTAATTCAAATATTATTATTAATATATGAAAATGCAATTTATTAGTTTCCATTATTATTCGACTTGTATTTCTAATGCTGCTCAGTAGAGGAAGCTAAAGAGGAATCAAATGCAACAGTTGAAGTAAGTAAAGACAAAAATAATCAAATTTAAATTCCTTCTATTATCTAATTTCCCTTTTTTCTTTAGAAGGCGAAAAAGAAGACAGCAAAAAAGAGCGAAGACTCCAATAACATTGGTCTTGGTGTAGCACAAATTGTCATTACAGCTGCAACTCCAATGGAAGAAATAGAGCATCCTTTCCCAGGCGAAGAAAAAGATGATGAGGAGAAAAAATCTGATGAAGAAAAAGACGACGAAGAAAAAGAACAAGACACAATCGTGGAAGCTGTTCATGAAGAGGAAATGGAAATAAAACCAGACGAACCAAAATCACCACTACCAAATGTTCTCGAAGAAATTGAAGAAAAAGTCGATGATCTACCAGCCGATTCAGGACCATTTCCAGTGAGCAGTAGTTCAGGTAGCGATGGTGCTGAATCAATATCAGGACCTAGTACAGCAGAAAATTCACAATCACTACCTGCTCGCGCTCCTTCTGCTACTACCACTGCTACTGTTGTTGAATCCGAATCACAAGCCGAAAATGAACCTGAAAATGAACCCGAATCACCGGAAATAATTCCAAATAAAATGCTCGTTGGCGGGAGAGCGAGTATTCCCGATGAATTACAACCCGATCAATTGGAAAAATTACAAAGCCTAAAAGAGTCTAACGCCTAGGATTGACAAAACCTCGGAGAAATAAATGACGACGACGACGACTGTTATGCCTTAACAGATAAATGGGCTCTTCCAATAAATCATCGGAATAAATTCCAACATCTTTTGGAATTTTGGAATTCTCCTGAGGTCATCATTGCGAAAAAAGACTAATACTTGCTACATAATTAAACTGACAACTGGATATTTTTATGTTAATATTATTATGTACACAATTTTTGCTAGGCAAATTAACTTCTAGTAAAAAAAAAAACTACCTAAGTAAGTTGCGGTTTTTGCAACAAAATTTACAAAAACAATTATGTACAGCCATAGGGTAAAAAAAAAACAACAAAATAATATATATTAAAAAAGAAGAAAAAAAAAACGACTCGTCGATACCTGTAATAGCGGAACTTGCGTCGTTCATGTAAATTATAGAGAATTACAAGAATGTTGCATGGAAAATGAATTATTTTCTTTTATTTCCAAATTTCCCGATCATTCAATTATAAATTAAATTCCAATTAAATAATTATTTAATTTACGTAAAAAATAAGATTTCTTTTTAATTGTATTTAAAATAAAATACCCCATCATTGGAAAAAAGCGGGAATTTTTTTTTGCAGAACTAATTTTATTATTTAGAAAACGCATTTTACTTTTTGCGCTATTTCTTTCTTTTTTTTATGAAAAAATATTGTCAATAAAAAAAATGTTTATAAAATGTCGAGAAAACTGTTTTTTTTTTTTTATGGTTGCATACGTAGAGCACCGTCAAGACGAATTGTCTCTCCATTGAGTAATGGATTTTCAACTATCGATTGACAGAGATGAGCATATTCATCGGGATGACCAAGTCGTTGTGGAAATGGTACTGTTTGTGCGAGAAAATGACGAACTTTATCTGGTAATGATTGAAGCATTGGTGTATTAAAAAGACCTGGAGCAATGGTACAAACTCGTATTCCAATTGATGCCAAATCACGTGACAATGGCAATGTCATACCAACAACACCTGCTTTACTTGCCGAATAGGCACATTGTCCCATTTGTCCATCATAAGCAGCAACACTTGCAGTATTAACAATAACACCACGTTGTCCATCTTCGTTTGGTGTATTTTCCGCCATAATTCCAGCTGACAATCTTATAACATTAAATGTACCAATAAGATTAACATTAATTACCTTTGCAAAATCTTCCAATAAATGATAGGTCTTTTTATTATGATTGTAAACTTTGAAGGCAACAGCAATTCCCGCTGCATTCACAACACCATCGAGTTTGCCGAATTTTTCTTTTGTCATTGCCAAAGCTTTCTTTACATCATCTTCGGAAGTTACCTAAAAAAAATATTTCTTTCTAAATCCATTTTCTTTTTTTCTTAATAGAATTTCAAGCGTATTTAAATTAATTTTCGTATTAATTTAAGATGATATTTTCTTTTTTTTTTTGGAATGAGGAGATTTCAACTTACATTCATAGGTGCAAAAATTGCATTTTCACCCAAATCGGAAGCAAATGTAGCACCTGAGGAAGTTGGCAAATCAGCAATAACAACTCTCGATCCTTGTTTAATGAATCTTTCCACTGTACCACGACCGAGACCTGAAGCTCCTCCAGTGACCAATACAACGAAATTCTGAAAAAATATTTCAAAAATTAATTCAATCTGAGAATAATAAATAAAAGAAAATTAAAACAAAATATTATTAGAAAAATGGAATTTATTTTTAAAATTTCATTTGAATTTGATTAAAATAATAAAAATAAAGAGTACTTTAAATAAAAATTATATATGTATTATGTATTACGATGACTAGGTAATTTTTAAAATAAAACCTAAATTAGCATGTGATATTAACAATGTATTATGATAAAATTAACAATAAGAAAACAAAAGAATAAATCAAGTGTTTCAATCTAAAATCCCTACCGAAATATTAATAACATAAAAGGGTTAAATTTAAAAAAATACCATAAAAAATAATACACATTATCCTTGAAAAAGTTTAATAATTAATAAAACTGGAAATTTTCTCAAAAAATGGAGCAATATATACGAACCTTCAACATCTTGACTTTTCTTCAAAAATAATTGACAAAATGGAAAGTTCCCTTAATTAAAGTTAGTTATTCACTGAACATTGAACTTTAAATGATATATTTTATATATGAAGAAGGAGATTGTACATCTGGACTTTGAACCGATTTTTGTCTGCAGAAAATATAGGGACACGTGGGAGTAAAATTTTAGTGGGGATTGAATTATGAATAAAATTTGTTCTTCTAGTTTACTTATTTATATGTAAATATTAACAAATAAGTAGGATAAATATTAATAAAAATCTAAATAAAATTTATACTATGTGCTAGTACAAAATAGTACAAACAAAAGTACTTCAATACAAAACGTAAAAAAAAATAAACAATTGACATAACCTATAAAAAACTGTATACATTAAAAATGTTACTTGCGCATGCGTCGCGAACACATTTTGATTGGTCATAGATCTCGCGCGTTTATTTAAATTTAAATAAAAATTTTCTAATTACATATTTTAATTAACTTTCCCATGTGATTTTAATTTAATTTTCAAAACGTTCATTATTTTTACTAAATATATTAATATTAAAATTATTTCTAATTAAATATTTTTAAAAAATTTCGTTTCATTTATTTAATAAAAATTATTTTTCTAAAAATACATTGTCTTTTTAACAATAATAAAAAGTCATTATAATAATCAATGTTATCTTGTAAAAAGAAACTATATTTCTTCTGTAACAAGCGTATTATCAATTCTAGAACTTTTTAAGGTCAGAGTTATACATTTTTTTAAGTTGTTGATAACAATTGAACCTTCAGTTTTACTCTAGTTAGAAAAATAAAATCAGAAAAAAAAATTTTTAGGCAAGATACAAAACTATAAACCAAAATAAATAATAAACAATTTTTATCAAATTTGAATTTAATTTAAAATCTTGATTTTTGAGGAGAAAAAAAGAGAATAAAATAAAATAATTTAAAAAAATTTTAATTGAAAAATATTAATTTTATTTGAAAGTAAAAAATAGAAAGAATTTGAATTTATTAATTGACAAACATTGGAATGGATTCCGTAAGTGTTTGTTATTTTAAGATATTTATTCAGTTTTTGAATAATTCTAAAAAAATTTAATTAAACGTTTTTTTTTTTTTTGCAGAAAACTATTTCTTGTATTATTGAAAATAATATTGTCCGAGCTGAAAAATTACCTCCACTATCAAATGATAAACGTTTAAATGATTTAATATTAGAAAATTTTAACAATAATCCAGATTTCATTGGACTTGTATGACTGATGGATTTAATTTAAAAATATTCTGATTAATTTAGAATAAATAATATAAAGTATTTAAGAGTTTACTTACAATATTTCCTTTGTAATTTTCCAGATTGACGCTTACTCAGGAGAAACTTGCACTTATAAAAAATTAAGAAACTATAGTATACGATGTGCTCTATGGTTGAAAAAACAAGGAATTGGTTCAAATGATATTGTTGCAATTTGTTCCGATCATAAAATTGCAATATGGATTCCTTTATGTGCTACTTTCTTCATTGGAGCGAATTTGAATATTTGGTACGATCAATGGTCACCTGGTAAGATTTTTTTTTTTCACAAAAAAATAAAATTAATAAAATAAAAAACATAATTTAATTATATTAAATAATATAGAAAATTTGTAGATTTAAAAATATTTTTGAAACTAATTATTAAAAAAAATTTCAAGAAACATCGAGATATTTTGCAAAACTTACAAAGCCAAAAATTATATTCGCCAATGAGAAAGCGGGAATTATGCTTAAAAAAATAATCCACGATGAAAATATTGACACAAAATTGATAACATTTCGTGAAATTATTGGATTTGTTTCACTTGACGATATTATAAAGGAAATTATAGAAATTTCAGAAATTGATAATTTTCAATGTTATCCAGTGAATGATGATGACAATGCCTTAATGTTATTTTCTTCTGGATCAAGTGGAATGCCAAAAGGTGTTCAATATTCATATCGTGGAGTTCTTTACAATACGTATAGATTTTATAATGCTTTTATGAAAAAAGAAAAATTAATCTCTTCCATCACAACACCATTATATTGGATTGGTAGTTCATTACAAATTTTGCGATGTTTATTATTGAATTATCCAGCAGTTATTGTCGATGAACCAACACCAGAAAAATTTTGTCAAGCTGTAAAAAAATACAAGGTTATTAATTTTATTTTATTTTACGAAATAAATAATAATTAAATAATCACAATTTGATAAAGAAAAATGTTAATCAATATATTATTTATAATTTTTTATTGAATTGTTTAAATTTTAATTAATTTTCTATTTATCATTCAGATTCAGTGGACAATTTTAGGAACTGGATTTTTAAACGAATTATTCAAGTCAGGACTTTTAGATAAATATGATTTTTCATTTATCGAAGAAATTGGAGCTGGTGGTGCAAAAGTAAGATCGGAAATTTTGAAAAAAGTCGACAGTGTTTTGCCAAATGGACTAATATTACAAGGATATGGTAAATATATTTTTTATAAATTTAAAATAATTTTTTTTAAATATTTCGTTTGTTACACATAATATGATAAATAATTTAAAAATTAATAAATTATTAATTTGAGAATAAAATTTTACAATTGTTTTTATATAGGTCTCACAGAATTTGGCGGTTTGGCACTATTACAAAAAAGAAGTGACAAAAATTATGAATCATCAGGAAGATTAAGTTACGATATAGAAATGAAAATAATTGACACAGATGACAATAAAAAAATTTTAGGATCAAATGAAGAAGGTGAAATTTGTTTAAAACAAACGTACATTATGAAACATTATTTTTCTAATCAAAAAGCAACTAAAGAAGCAATTGATCAAGATGGTAAATTAATTAAAAAATAATAAATTTAATTCTTAAAAGAATTATACAATTTAAAAAAAATAAAATAAAATTTTAAAACTAAAAAATTAATTTTTTTTACTAAAGGTTGGCTTCACACTGGAGATTTAGGATTTTACGATGAAGAAGGCAACATTTTCATTGTTGATAGAATTAAAGAAATGATTAAATTTAAAGGCCATCATATTTCTCCAAGTGAAATTGAAAAAATTCTCCTACAGCATCCAAATGTTTTGGAAGCTGTTGTAGTTGGAATTCCTCATTTAATTGATATCGAGCATACAATTGCATTTGTTGTTGCAAGAAAAAGTTCAGAGGTTTTTATTTACTTCAAATATTATTTTATTAATATTAAAAATTATTATTTTTATTAAAAATATATTTATAAAAAATTCTAGGCAATAAAAAGAGAACTATTTGAAATGGCATCAGTTCTTGGTGAAAAGAAACGTCTCCATAAAATAGTATTTTTGAAAAATTTACCAAAAACATCATCAAGCAAAATCAACATAATTGAATTAAAAGCAATGGCTAAAGCTTATGCTGAATAATTAATTAATTATTAATTTATCTGTATTTTTCTGTTATTAATTAATTTGATATTTAATTTATTCCATTAATTCAAGTTATTAAATTTAAATATTGAATTTCAAATTGAAATTGTTATATAAATATAGAAGAAGTCTTTTATTAAATTTTTTTTTATGAAAAAAATTGCTTTCATGAATATGAAAAGTTTCATTCTTCATGTCTTAATGTCTTCATTTTTTTCAATTAAACTATATATAAGATTTGTATATTCACGATCATTTTAATAAATTGGTATAGTGTGATTTAATTGATTAGTCCTTGTTTTATAATAAGATGACGTAGGATTATTCGCATACAATGATATTTATAACTATTGCAAAACTGATAACAAAATATCCAAGTCATACAGTAGGGAGTCTCAATGTTATAAATCTCAAAGAATGCAAATAATAGATTCATTTATCCTCAGAACGACAATCCCACTTCCTTAATTCCATTCAGTTATATCAGATCAACATGAATTTGACGGTAAAAAGAAGTAGAATTTATTTTCTCGTTTTTTTCTTTCTTAATAATTATTTTTCATTTTTATAAACAAAATTATTATTTATTAAATTATATTTTCGATAAAAGAAAATTAAATAAAAATTTATCTAACAGGACTCTCCACGATTTGTGATTGAAAATAAAATACTCAAAGGTAAAAAGATAACATTGTCAGATGATAAGACAATAGGAGAAAGAATTCTCGAAAATTTGAAGAAAAATCCCGAATTCGTTGGACTTGTAAGTTATTATATTTATTATGACTTCTGTAAAAGGCAAATCATGTCATAAATTTCATTTACTGCTCTTGTTAATACAATGATTTTCAATTTTTTACGTTATCTTATGTTTGTTATGAAAAAACATTCATATTCAATTTGTAATTGTTATCAATAATTAGTGATAAAACAGTAGCATTTGTCAGCCAATATACAAATTGAGATTTTTTTTATTAAATTTTAAAAATCATTAATTTTTCTTTTGTTTGTATTTATTTTCTATCTCAGTTTAAAATTATTTTAATTTTTGTTTAATCAATTCATTTATTTTATTTTTACTCCATTTAACTGATCATAAATTTCATTTTAAAAAAAAATTCTTTTTATCTAGTTTTTTAATTTTTCGGTCATTTAAATAATAATTATTTAATAATTTTATATTTACCTATAGTAGAAAAAATAAATTTTTCTTTCCAATTTCCAGATCGATGCTCAAACAGGTGAGACTTCCACATATAAAAAATTAGCTAATGACAGCATTAAATGTGCATTATGGTTAAAAAAACAAGGAATAACTTCCGACGATGTTGTCACAATTTGTTCTCATAATAATATTTCCCTTTGGGCATCGTTTTGTGCAATTTTCTACATTGGAGCAAATTTAAATCCATGGTACTATGATTGGTCCTTAGGTAAGATTATCTAAAAATAAGAATATGTTTAAAAATTAAAAACAACCTTTTTTTTCAATTAATTAATATATTTTAGAATCAGCCAAACATTTTCTTCATTTGACAAAGCCAAAAATTATTTTCGCCAATGTAAAAGCGGCTATTATGCTGAAAGAATTAGTTAAAAAAGAAAATGTAAAAACAAAAATTGTTGTTTTTGGCAATGTACCTGGATTAGAGTCGTTTGATGATATTATTAAAGAGTCAATAAATGTTGAGAATATTGAACAATTTCAATGCACTAAAGTCGATGCAAATCATGATTGTTTATTAATGTTTTCGTCTGGAAGTACCGGTCTACCAAAAGGTGTACAACACTCGAATCAAGGTGTTTATTATAATTCTTATAAATGGGGTATTTGCTTTGAAGAAACCCTTGGAAAACCAGCGATGTTCACTTCCACACCATATTGGATCACTGCCATTATCAGTATGACTCGTAATTTACTATTCTTTTGTCCAACTATCGTCATTAATGAGCCATCACCACGAGAATTTTGCCAAGTTATTGAAAAATATCATGTAATTCATTAATTATTTAATAATATTAATTTTGTCGAGGTAATTTTTGCCGAGACGTTTCCGTATTCTGAAAAAAATTAAAATAACATAAATAATAATAAATAAATTTTGTAGATTCAGTGGCTATTTACTGGAACGGGAATGACAAATGAAGTTTCCTTATTGGAAGATTTGTCTAAATATAATTTTTCATCTTTAAAATATTTTTTAACTGGAGGATCAAAAATAAGACTTGATGTTATTAAAAAAATGAATCAAGTGTTGAAAAACAATCAATTTACTGTGGCATACGGTTAGTTAAAAACAATAAAAATAAAAAAAAAAAATTTTATTATTCAAATCTAAAAATAAAATATTAAAAATTTTATTATTATTTTTTTAAGTAAAAAAAATAGGAAAAAATTAAATGTTTGCTTTTTATTTTTTAGGAACTACGGAATTAGGTGGCTGTGGCATCTATTTAGTGAATAATAAAACAAAAAATTACGAATCTACTGGTATTGTATTTTTAGATGTGGAATTAAAAATTTTAGATATTAACACCAATGAAATATTAAATCACAATCAATTGGGTGAACTTTATTTTAAACATAAATATATGTTGAAACATTATTTAAATAATCCGCAAGAAACTGCAAAAATTTATACCAGCGACGGTAATAATTTGCAAATATGAAAAAAAAAATTAATTATTCTAATTACAAATAATAAAAGAATATAATTTTCAATACAATTTTAAAGAGACATTTTTTTTTGTTCAGGATGGATTCGCAGTGGTGATCTAGGATATTACGATAAAGATGGTAATATTTTTTTAAAAGAGAGAATAAAGGAAATGATTAAATATAGAGGTCATCAAATATCTCCTATGGAAATTGAAAATATTCTTTTAAAACATCCAAAAATAATTGACGCTGTTGTTGTATCAATTCCTCATCCAGTGGATGATGAACATCCATTTGCATTTGTTATAAAAGAAAAAAATTCACAGGTATTCTTTAAATTAAAAAATAAATAAAATATAAATAATTGTTTCTAATTCTATTGTTTTTTTTAATAAAGGTAAAGAAAGATGAACTTTTACAATTGACATCAGTTTTGGGAGAAACAAAAAAACTACGAGGTGGATTAGTATTTTTAGATACATTCCCATTAAATACCTCGACAAAAATTGATAAGAAAAAATTAAAAGAAATGGCTATAGCCTATACAACTAAATAAGTAAGAAAATATTTAAGTTCATTTTTTTTTTTTAATATGTCAACGAACTTGTATTAATTTTCAAAAAATAAATCTTTACTTTATTTCCTTAAAATTTATTTCACTTTTATTTTTATATAACTATTACTTTTTTTTAATATGAGAGAAAAAGAAACACATCACAAAATTAATTTTCTAAAATTATTCGAATAATTGAAATAGATCTCTAAAAATAATTAATAATTTTGCAAAATGACAAATAAGGCGTTAATTTATAATTATTGTCAATACAAAAAAATGTCCCTTATAGAATAGTATTGAAAAGTATTTTCAGAAAAATAATCAGATTAATCTGATTTAACAAATATCAATAGAATTTTAAAAATTAAAAATTTAAATTTCTATTATTCATTATTTTTTCTCTTTTCTATATTATAAATCAATGTAACTAACATGATTGAATAATCATTTAAAACATTTAACAATTGATTAAACAATCATTTACAAAAATTAACAATTGTTTAGAATTATAAAATTCTATCAAAGAAATTTTTTCCACACATTTCATATAATAATTTGCATATTACATAAATTTCCCTCTGTATATATAAAATAACTAAAATTTAAGCGATTGTTAATAATTTTTTTTAATACCTGCTAATTGACTGTGGTTTTCATTTAAAATGAAATTATTTTGCCTCCTTGCTGTCACGATTTTCGTCGTCCAAGCTGTTGAACCTGTCGAAGTAAAAATACTTTTAATTTAATTGAAAAAAAAAAAAAATTATCTGAATTATTGTTATTACTATTGAAATAAATTATTTTGTGATTTTTAAATAGTTTTGAAAAATTAATTTCATTATAGGATTACAAAAGCAATAAGATCAACGATATATTAAATACACAATTTGAAGTAAAGCAAATACAGGAAGATATTAAAACTTATCAAGATACAATTCAGAAGGACATAAAAGAAATTTGTGATAAATATGAAAAACAATTTTTGAACGAGACTCTATCATTTAATGAAAAAACTACGGTAAGAATAAATAAAATAAAATTTGTCGATTAAATATTCTTCACATTCGATTATTTAATTTCTATAATGTAAATAAATATTTAAATTAATTTGAAATAATTTTCTAAAAATTATTATTTAAAACTGTAGAATATAGATTATACTTGTAAAAATAGAACAGCTGTGAACTTGTGTCTACAAACAACTGAATCAAAATTATCAACTTATAAAAAGATTATCGTGGATTATAAAATTTGTCTAAGCAAAGCACAAATTAAATATTATCAAGTTCCACTTGACGACTATTCATATCTTCTAGTACACGTGAGTAATGTTTAATTACATGAAAAGATAATTTAATTATTATTGATATAATATATTTCAATAATTTTTTTTTTTTTTAATTTGCAAATATTTAGATGATCGAAGCATTGGAAAAACATATAGATAATTTTGCCGAAGAATGTAATTATTGGGGTACGAAATCGATGATAGTTTTAACAATAGATGAATGTTTTAATTTAAAAAAACCAGGAATATCTGCAATATTGTATGGTTTGAGGAAAATGAATGTGCAAATGAAAAATTTAATGTATCGTTATGGAGAAAAAGTGAAATATGAATCTAAAATTTGTGCATCAGTTCAACAGATGAATCTACAGAGGGAACTTATAAATTTCCAACATAAAATGAATTCGTGTCTTGAAAATACCAATTAATGTATTAATTAAATATTAAAATATTTAACAAAATGTATATATATAAAAACTTAAAATAATTTATTATATGTAAAATAATTATTAAACTAAAATTTTAGAAATAAATTCATTTTTATTTAATAGCTTTTTTTCTAATTTAATTCGCGACATTTTAATTAATTATAAGATTTAATTTCACAAAAGATGATAAAATGTCAATGTTAAATAAATCGATAGAAAATTTTATTAATTTTTCACATGACGTAATATTATTAAAAAGAAAATTTCATGACTTTTGAACTTTATAAATACATTGTATATTTAACTTTCTTAGCAATTCCTGTTTTTAAAAGGAAACTTGTTTAGAATATTATCGATAAATAAACTATTTTTACTAGTTTTCAAAGTTACTGATAAAGTATATGAGGCAAAATTCCTGAAATGTCCGAACAAAAAATTAAAAGTTCTCGAATTTAATCCATACTTTTCTAAAATGTTGTTATTGTTGGTGAAAGTCTAAAAATCAATTATTATTGAATTTAATAAAATAGTTTTTAAATTACAACATTTTTAATTTTTGACTTTTGAAAAAAAAAATTTTTTTTAATGTACAATATTTATAAGTAGAATGCATAAAAGTTAACATATATATAATGATTTTTAAAGCTTTTTTGACGAGCTACACGCTGTTAATAAAATTTTTTTTTTTAAATAACATTTGACCTTGAAATTCAAGGTCAAAATGTTAATTTACATTTATCTCAAAATCGGATTTTTTAAAATTATTTTTAACTATCTCAATGGAAAGCTTGACTAAAAAAAAAAAAAATTAAAAATGTTGTAATTTAAAAACTATTTTATTAAATTCAATAATAATTGATTTTTAGACTTTCACCAACAATAACAACATTTTAGAAAAGTATGGATTAAATTCGAGAACTTTTAATTTTTTGTTCGGACATTTCAGGAATTTTGCCTCATATTTGTATAGTTAAAAAAATTTAATTTGCTATTAATCTTCCACACTGATATTTGTGGTGAGTTGAAACAAAAATTAAAAATAAAAACAATTGTAATTTTAACAAATGGTCATATTTTAAATTTTATTTTAAAATTTGTGATATTTTTATATCGTTTAATTTACGTCACTCAAATTTTAAACTCTTTAAAATGTAAACAAATGATAAATTTTTTTTTCAAATTGATATCAAAAAATAAGGTAAAAGACCTAATCGTTGGATTTGAGGAAAAAATTTATAAATTTTTTTTTCTTTAATACAAATTTGTTTTTGTTACATCTGGCTACATTTATATATAATTCTTTTCCTCTCTTCTCAAAAACAAGATAATATGTTTCCAAAAGTAATAATCTTTTTTAAACATTAATATAATGACAGTAAGGCCCAATAGAAATAAACTCTTAATGAGTTTTTCACCATTTTCTTTTGAATTTCTCCATTTTTCTTTTAAAGGGCCCAATGGCAAATTTTCTCAACCCCCTTTTTCACGCCTATGACAAAATTTTCCTCCTCTTTAAGAAATTTCCCCTTTTTCGCTATTTTCCCCCAGTATTAAAAATTCAAAAATTGTAGTAGGGACAAACCCTTAAAAACCTATGTTTCTGTACAATAGTCAGTCATTCCAAGTTTACAAATTCTTTCTTAAAAATCAAAATTCGAAAAAAAAACTCAATTCTACAAGTTATAAGTTTTTCTCAAATTTACAAGTACCAAGTTTAAATTTCAACAAATTTACAATTTATTTAATCAATTGAAGGAAGGAGAGATTTATATTCAAAGCAATTTTACATCTTCAGGAAACTTCTACAAATTAAATAAAAAGTAAGTGTCAAAAATTATAACTATTATTTCTATTTATTTCTTTTTGAAATCTTTTTCTAAAAACTACTAAAATCTTTCATTATTCCCAATTCCGAAGAATACTGCCGTTTAAAGCTGGCGGTTATTCTTCAATCGTATAAAAATTTAAAATTCTTTATGTGTTTCCAATTTAAATTACCTATCATTCCTAAATTTGTTAATGTCATTTTATAAGGTTGTGATTAACAAATTTTATTCCTTAAATTGTGTATTTCCTTAATTTCTATTATTTTTCTAAAAATTTAATATAAATAATAACCAAAATAATCCCGAGCTATTGGATGAGAATCCAGGCTCAAAATTAATTAAAGAAATTTTAATAATAATAATAATAATAGAAATTTTCTATAATTTTCTATTATATTTTATTATAATATATTTGTTATTAAAATTTTCTTATTAAAAAATTAATTTATGTTGCATTACGTAACATTTTTTATATTCTTGTTTACATTGTAAACAAAATATAAAAGAAATCTTATTTTACATTATTTTCTCAAATCACATAAAACAATTGAGTCGCTTACATTATTATCTTTAATTGATATTTAAAATTTTTTTTTTAAAATTATCTTTGTTTTTGTTAAATATTATTTTATCTGATTTGTAGAGCAGAAGCGTAAATAGTTTCTAGGACAATGCACCTTACTTTTATACTATGTATGTTCATTCAACTTTGTTGGACTAAGATAATCGATAAAAGGTGTGTATTTAAATTCAATATCAAAACTTAGATATCTTCTTTCACTTCAAAGACAGTTAATTATTAATCATGTACTACACTCATTAGAAAAAAAAAATTTACCTACAAAATTCATTAAGAAATTAATTACTGACTTATAAAAAAATTAATAGAATAAATAATAAATTCTGTATATAAACAATTTTTGTTTGATTCATAATTAAAGAATTAAATTGAATGTTGTTAAGAAAACGTGTCACATTATTTCTCAAAAAAAATTTATAAAATTCAATTAATTTGATAATGTCACAAAATGAGTAAGTAATGTTTTTAACTATATTTTTGTATAATTTATATATTAATTAAGATTTTTTAAAAAATTGATTTTCATTATTCAATGGAAAATTTCTATCTTTTCTTTTGTCAAGTATTTATTATCGTTGTTTTATTTATTTATATTAATTTATTATTTATTTGTGTATTACTAATTATGAAAAATATAAAATAAAAACGAACCTCTAAATTTCTCCACAGCAATACAAATTATTTGAAGAAGTCCCATAGTCTTGAACAAGTCACCTCGACATTTGGACTTTCAGAAGGACCTCATTGGGATGTTCATTCTCAAAAACTTTACTTCGTTCAAATATGGAAGCAACACATTTGTAGTTATAATCCAGCAACAGGAGAAGTCTTCTATGCTTTTATAAGTTTGTTCCAAATTAAAAACTAGAAAGAAAATAAAAATTGAATAATATAATAATTAATAATAAAAATGTTATAAATAATAATACTTATCGTTTTAAAAATTAATTTTTCCAAATTTTGTGTAGAAAATGGTCCCGTTAGTCTTGTAACAACTGTTGAAGGTGAACCGGGAAAATTACTGGCAACATCCGGAACTGATATTGTATTAGTCACATGGAACGGTGAAAATAATGATGAAAATCCTGAAATTAAATTATTAATTAGCGTCGAAAAAGGTAAAAAAGGCTTCAGATTTAATGATGGAAAAGTAGATGCAATTGGAAGACTATGGGCTGGTAATTAATACATTAAATTTTTATTATTCATTGAAAGTGAATTAAATTAAATAAATATTAAAATAATACTCACAATTTTATCAGGAACAATGTGTCAAATTGATGAAAAAAATATACCAGAAGTAGGAAGTCTTTATATTATCGATGAAAAATTGGATCCAAAAGTAAAAATTTCCTCAGTTTCAATAAGCAACGGTTTAGAATGGAGCAAAGATAATAAAAATTTTTACTTCATTGACACAACGACAAATAAAGTTTTTGCTTATGATTTTGATTTACCCTCTGGAAATATCTGTAAATAAAAAAAAAAAATTTCTAATTAGTTATACAGTTAAGCAAAAATAATGATTAATGAAAAATTATTTACCTTTTTTTTTACAGCGAATAAAAGAATTATTATTGATGTAAAAGAAAAAGGATTTCAAGGATTTCCTGATGGTATGACTATTGATACTGATGGAAATTTGTGGATAGCATTAGTCCATGGATCCAAGGTTAGAAAATTTTTTTATAGAAGAATTAAAGAAAATTAATTAACGTTAATTATTCATTTCTATAGTTAATTCGCGTGGATCCAGAAAATGGAAAAGTTCTCAAAGTTATTGATTTTCCAACAAAAATGGTAACAAGTGTTGCATTTGGAGGTGTTGATTTGGATATTTTATATGTGACAACAGCATCCTATGATTTTCCAACAAAAATTATTGATGCCAAAGGCGGTACAATTTTTGCTCTAAAAAATTTAGGAGTAAAAGGATATCCTCCAAATTCTTTTAAATTAAATAAACAATTCTAATTATTAAATTATTTCCCTCATCCTCTTCTTATCATAAAAGAAAGAATTCTTTTACTACAAAAAGAATTAATTTTTCTCAAAAAAAATTACTAGAAAATCAAAATATTTTTTTTTTTTTTGTATCAAATTTGCTATTTATTGTTACGCATTTAAGGAAAATATAAATAAACAATTATATATATGCGACTATGTTAACATTTATACACGAGTGAAGATAAATTATCACAAACTTTTCTTTGATACTTAAAGTATTCTTTATAAAATGTTAAATATTTTTCTTTTCACTAGAGACACTATAAACATTTAATGAACAATAAATTACATTTTTACAAATAAACTTAAAATTAATATTTTTTTTTTTGTATGATTATTTTGTGTCCTACAATAAAAGAGACATTGACGAAAATAATACTTATTAATTGCAATTTTCAGAAAATTAATTTCACTGTGACGTGTTTGAAATCATGATTAAATTTTTAATTATACTAATTTGTAATCTTCTTCAAAAGATGTATGTTTTTTTTTTCTTCATTTGTTATAAAATTTGTTTACTAGAAAAAATTTCTTTCTCTATTTTTAAAGTTTACTATCTACAAATATGATTAAAAATTTACTGTAAAAAAATATTTTCTACCTTCGTAATTTTTGCAAAAAAAAAAAAAAAATTTCTCTGTACAAAATAATATATCAAACTTGTTCATCGTTAAACTTGATTAATATAACGATCAACAAAAATTTATGCTTCGATTTCAATTTATACCCTTCCCCATCCCTTTTTTTTTTAAGTCACGATTCGGCAATTAAAAACAAAACAAAAAATCACAAATTTTATCGCCGAATCGTGAGATAATTTCAGTCGTCTAATGTTATAATTTCGACACTTTCTTTCGTTGCCGTTTTTTCATTTCTCTTATTACTATTATTATTTGTCGTTGGATTTGCACTTTTTTTTGTTATTTCAAATACAGAAAGATCACCTGATGATTTAAGACTCTCTGGCATACCTTGAGGCATACCATTTAATGATTTTGTGAGATTTTTTGCAAAATCCAAATTTTTTTGCTGTGGAATTATTTCAATTGAATTTTGTTGTTGTAATTGTGAAAGTGCCGTTAGTGTCTCATTAACTTTTGATTGAGACAAATTTGTTGTTGTTGATAATTCCTGGGATTTTTGTTTACGAAAAATGGGTGATTTGGAAGTTGGAAATTTGCCAACTGGATTTACAGAGACACTTAATTCCGATGGTAAATATGAATGTTGTGATGAAGATGACGAAAATTGTGTATGAAGATGATGATGATGATAATTTGATAATTGCGGGAAATTGGTAGTGGATTTTTGTGATTTTTTCACTGGATTCATAACACTTGATTGTTTCTTCGATTGTAATTTATGTTGCAATGTATTGCCGGCGCGATTCTGTTGCGTTGATGCTGATGTTGATGATGATGATGATGGAAGTGTCAGCATACTTGGAGTGACGACAGTATTGTTGCCCTTGAGAGATGTATACTGTGATGAATTGTGAGCAGGCTGAGGATTTGTCACTCGCATTTGTGATGATTGTTTTGTCGAAGGTGGTAAAGATTTCACCGGAGGGATTATTGATTTAGAAACCGGGGGTGGTTTTGGTGGCGTGGAACTTGATTTTATCGGAGGGATAGATTTTGTGGTATTTGATTTAGAAATTGGTTTCACAGGAGTAGAGAATGGTTTCACAGGTGGAATTGAAGGTGGAATTGAAGATGATGGAATAGATAATGTAGTTGGTGAATTTTTAAGTAGTGACATTTGTGATGTTTTTGATGTTTGAGGAAAATTGGAATTTGAGGGGAATTTTTGTTTATAGGATGATGAACCAACGGGTGTAATTGAGATGTCCGGTCGTTCCTTAATTGATGAGGTTGTTGTTGTTGTGGTTGATGATTGTTGATAGAGTGGCGATGATCGAGTTGTTGCTGAATTATTAGCCAGGTTTATCTTCTGTTTGACTGTTAAATTACTGTGATTATTTATGTTGGCAAACTGATTGATATTGGGGGTAGTGGTAATATTACTATTGTTACTAGTCGTGGTGCTCATCGTCGAAGCATTGTTCATGTTGGTCACATTGCTCGACGACGATGTATTACTGAGACTAGTTGCTAAATTCGTTATTGATGAGATATTACTTTGATATTGTCTGAAAATATCTTGATAGTTTCCCATCTGATTCAAGTAATTCATCGCAAAGTAAGGATCCATCACGCCACCGCCTACGCCAGAGGATAACATAGCGGCTAACATGGTTGGATCGAGTAACGGATTCAAACAGAATGGATTCATTAGTGAACGATTACCTGATGTTGTGCTATTGTGATAATTCGAATATGCTCCTTTAGAATTAAATTGATTACTCATACTGTCGTGCTGCAAACTTTGAAGATGCTGGTTCACATTCCTTGGACGTCCACGTGGTCGACCTGTCACCGATGACGTTGTCTTTGGCGGTTTTTTGCTCTGTGTCACCTGGGGAATACTTGTTGTCGACGTTGAATTCGTTGCAATTGTCTGAAATACAAAATTCAGAGCATTGACAAAAAATATAAATGAAAAGCAAAATTCTAAACAGAAAATAGAAAAGAAATTACGGAAACAGTTGTCGTAGCGGAAGTTGTAACAGTTGCAGAGGCAGTCAAAATGGAAATGGCTGCAATTTTGTTCGCCTGTTGGCAGTATTTCAGAGCAGCCTCAACGACATTTCCCTCCACGTTCTAAAAAAAAAGGAAAAAATTAATTTTTTGTTCTCTTGACAAAAATTAATTTAAAAAAGCACTTACTTTAGTTCCAATGTACGCTTTATAAGACTGAACCAATAAATTACGAGAATACGAAACTTGCGATTCCGACCATTGGGAATCTTTCTTGACAATTTGCTGATGAATATGATAAACGTCGAGTAAAGTTTGGGTTCTTTTATCACCTCTCGGCAATTGTGATACATCGGTCGTCGATGGTGGATCCATAGATTGAATTCTACTCCTAAGTGATTGTGCACAAAGTGTCCACGCTTGGCGAGAAAGTTGTTCTCTTTCCGAATCTCTCAAATATTTTCTAAAAAAAAAAAAAAAAACAAAATAAAAACACAATAATTAAATTGCAAAAATTGTAATGCAAATTAAAAAATCTTTACTTGTCAGATTCAGGAACTTTTTGAAGTTGAACACATATTTCCATGAGCATTTTACTGTCTCCTGTCTCTTTTAAAACTTGCATCAATAACACAACACATCTTGACATATGAGAGGCAAAACTTCCCGCTCTATCAACATCGGGACTCGGTATTCTCCAGACACCCTGATTAAGAAAATTATTTTCAATTCTAATAATAAATTAATTGAAAAAAAAGAACAATAATTAAATTGTGGAACTTACATTAAAAAAATTGGTACTTTTTCTATCGGCAAAAAGTCCTTGCACTGTTTGTGATTGATAAAATTGGCATGAATAAGTTTCCAATAATAATTGTCGGCATGTTGTTGAATTTTTGGCAATTTTGTTGTAATAAAAGAAATGCGCCATACGATATAACGATTTATAGTGTTCGGGAAATCTTAAAATACATTGTTCCAATCCAGCTAAACAGTGAGCGATCAGTAATGCAGTTTCGTTGTCGTTGAAACATTCTTCTACAATTAAAATATTTAAGATTAAATATAAAATTAATTATAAAATTAATTTTAATTACAAATTTTATTAATCACCTTCTTCAGAATTTTCGTTCTCTTTTTTCTTCTTTTCAATTTCACTTTCTGCAGATTCACTATCGCTATCACTGGAACTATCACTATCGGAACTATCTTCACTGCTCGTACTATCATCACTGCTACTTGAACTGGAATTATTCGTCTCAGTTGTGCTCGTTTGTGTTGTTGTACTTTCCTGCGAGCCCCTTCGAGCCAAAGCTCCCTCTTTTCTCAAAATTTTCTTCCTTTCGATCAATTTTTCCTTTATTTCCATCTCCTATAAATTAAGTAATAATAAAATACATAAAAAAAATAAAATTTAAAAAAGTAGATAAAAAAATACCTGTCCTTCATCCTTTCGTGGCTCAATTTTTCGTAAATCTTCTTCCATTGTTTGCATTTTTTCCCCCGATTCCATAATACCATTCTCATCAATCTCCATCAATTCGTTTCCATCAATAATCGCTTGTGATTTAATTTCATCATTTTCATCACTAGAGATAATTGTGATTTCATCACTGTTACCTTTATTTTGCATCGCAATCTCACAGACATTATCAATTAAATCATCAATCAATCCAACAACATCTTGCATTAATTGAAGATGAGAAACACCAGTTAATTTCATTTTCTTTCCATTATCAGATATTGGCTCATCGGAACATCGTTTACGATTATCCGTTTTCAAAGACTCAGTCACTTTATTTGCAGCCGATTTATCTACAATTTCAATTTCCTCAATACTACTCGAACGATTTTGCACAGCATTTGCTTTTACAATATTATTTTGTCCATGAAACGATTTAATCAACACTTTATCAAATTCAGGATTACAATTTAATTTCGATGGGAATTTCATAAATGAACTTTGTGCACATTTATTAAGATGTTCTTCAAATAATTTACCCAATGATTTTTTCAATGGTTTTCCCTCATTTTGTTCTAAATATTTGAGAATACTCGCATGAATACGATAATGAACCTCTAATGCTTCAACTGAAAGATTTTGTGGTGTTTTATGATTTATTCGTTCAGGATATTGTGCCTTACTTTGTTTTAATAATTCCGATGCTTTTGAATAATGTCCAAGAAATATGGGTGGATCTTCATTTTGTTTTTCGGCAATTTTTGCAAGCATATATTGACAAAGCCAACGATCATCCTGTATTTCATCAATTCCATCATAAGTCATGAAAATACGATTTGCCGATGAAAAACAATTTGCAGCTATTGTCAACATTTCATCTTTTCGCGTTTCTAAAACTTTAAATCTGTCTATATTCAATGATTCGCTTTCGGCTTTTAATAAACGCGAACAAAATGAATGAATCATATAAACAAAATTTCCATATTCTGTCCAAATTAACAAATTTGCCGGTGACAATTCAATTGCACGTTGAAAACTGCATTGTGCAAGTTTTGCTTTCACGAGAAATTTATCTTCTTTTCTGAAAAACAAAATTTTTATAAATAGAAATGAATTTGTTAAAAATAAAATTTAATACTCACATGTTTGGTCGACAATTGTTGAGCCATGTTTCAATTACTGTTGCCGTGGACATGGCCAATCCAACCCAGGAATTAACTTCCGTTGGTTGAAAGCACAAATGAAATAAATAATATCGAGCTGCGAGAATCCATTTTTGATATTTAAAATAATAATCAGCGAGTAAATAGTATAATGTTGAAATTTGATCATTTGGTAATTTTGCAACAATTGGCATTTCTTTCTTTTCACCCGTGATATAATCAGTCATGTCTTCTAACATTTGATTAGGATCAGTTTCCTGCGGTATAAATTTACTGATTCGCTTAAAAAGTGATTCAGTATCAATTGAAATTGATGACGCACGTGGAGTATCGAATTCTGGTAAAACATCAGGTTTATAAAAATCAAAAAGTAATTGTGCCGATTGCCATGTGATGTCAATTTGTGTAACTTCATGATCCTCGAGATGTTTTGGTCTTGCTTTATTTTGCCTCACTGGATGTCCAAAGAGACAATACAAAATTTGTTCTAAATATTTTGTCAATTTATCGCGAATATTTGAATATTGTGGACTACGAAGTTTTGGAATTATTAAATTCATTATAAAAATAAGAAGTTTCGCTTGATTCATTGTACACCAACGACGACGACCCAAAAAATCGTGAGCTATAAAAAGAACCATCAACGATGTTGGAATATCTTTGTCCTCATCTTCTTCGTCAGATTCTAAATTTTGCGATGATTGACTTTTATTCTTATCGGTGGTGTTTGATTTTGCTCGCTCTTTATCTTCTTCACTGAAATAATTAATGATTATTAATCAATAAATAGAAAAAGAAGAAAATGTTTTCTTGTTTAAACTTACAATTGTAAAATATAATGAAGAAGAATCCAGGGCAAGACAGTTTTAAAAGTCATTTCTGTGACATTATCAGGTACATCTAATTGATGACAAACAATGTGAACCAAATTTTGAACTAGACGAGATCGAAATTCCACATCTAAGTATTGCACTAAAATGTTATCTTCACTGCTACAAGCGTCCATTTTTTCAAGAATTTTTATAATCAAATTAGACCATTTCTTCTGTACGTCCTCATCTGAACTGTTTATGTAAGTTTTCCACGCTTCATTTAAACAAACCTCGGACCAAATATAACACTCCTGTAATAATAAAAAAATTAGATTATTTTTGTAAAAAGAAAAAAATAAAATTGTAAATTATTGTTTTCGAAATTATTTACCTCGTATTCTTTAAGTTTCCATAAACTGTCCAATAACATATGAAGTTGATCAATACGATCAACAATCACATCATTGTTAACACTACATCTGCTCGCTTGTTTTGCATACTGAAAAGTTTCTTTTAAAATTGCCACTAGCTCTACATATTTCTTTTCTTCGTAAAGTTTTTTGATTTCTTTTAATTTCTGACCCCTACAAAAAAAAATTAAAATGTTACTTTTTAGAAAAAAATTAAAATATTTAATTTTTTTTTAGTAAATTTCCAAACCTTTGAATTGACAGCAACAATTTTTCAACAGCTTTAATACTAATGTGAGAATGATATTTACAATTTTTAAGCTTGAGAAATGCACTAGGAATTTCGCCGTTCAACTGACGCATGTAATTCAACAACTGGAAAATATTTTATTCATTAACAAATACGTCAATTGGAAATTATTTTTTAAAACATTAATCAGTAAAAAAAAGAAGAATTTATTTAATATTATTATCTTATTATCATAATTAAGAACTTACCAATTCTAAAGTTTCGACAACAATATCCATTTCCCCTTGGCAAAGGAATATATTTGCTTTTAGCCACAAAACCCTTAACAAGAAAAGTATATTCTCCTCGTTAATTAAATTGTTTCTTACACTCGAGAAAATAATGTATCCAAGTTCTTCAGACGGCATTCCATTTCCAAATGATTGTAAACTAGAATTAAAGATACAATTTTTGAAATTCTAATTAAAACAAATATTTTTACAAATATAACTCTTACTTTGAAGGTGGAACAACTTCCGGTTTATTATCTAACCATCGATCAGTATAAAGTTCTCCAAATAGTAAAGACATTTCAGAATCTAATTTCAAAATTTCATCTTCCGATTCATCACCAAATGGAGAATGTGGAATGTGTTCTCTAAATTAGAAACAATATTTTTTATTAAAAATTCATTTTTCTCTAATGTATATTTCATTTAATTATTATTACTTGAATAAATTACACTGTAATTAAACTAATTTTACCAAAAAAATCTTTTTCAAATTAAAAAATTGAATTTAAATTAATTATTTTCTTACCTTGTGAATTTATAGGCTTGTAAGTATATTTCAGAAAGTCCTTTAGGCCATTCAAGATTCCATTTTGTGCACAAAAATTCCGTATATTTTGCTATGATGATCATTAAATTATTTTTACAACTATGTTCATTGATAAAAGCTTCGACATCAGCTTTTTCTAATTCTGAACCGAAATAATTTTGTTGTACGCTGTAAAAGAAAAATAATAATTAGTATTTTATAATTACTCGCGATTGCAATTTTTTTTATTCAATATATAAAAATAATTAATTACCAATCTTGAGGACTTGTTGGTTTTGAACTTTCTGCACTTGCAATTCCCTCAGTACTTTCTTTATTAGCAAATAATTGATATAAATCCATTGTGTCCATTGAATCGTCCATCGATTTTGAAGGTTCTTCTCGGGAAAATTTCACATTTTCAGATCTGAAACAAAAAATAATAAAATTAATAGTTAAAATAATTAAAAAAAATTTGCAAATTTGAATATTAAATACTTACAATAAACTGCTGGGAAAAATTCTTCGTAACGTTTCCTCCAAAAGAACATCATCTCTCTCGGCTTCCTTTCGATTGGACCCTCCACGAACTCTCGCTGATCTTCTCGTATTATTTGCACTCCAAGCCCATTGTTGCAAAAAACACAAAGAACTTCTTCGTCGTTTTTTCACTTTTTGACTCTCATCTTTATTCTCCGATTTATCATTCGATTTATCATTCGATTTATCATTTGATTTCTCATCAACCTTTGATGATTTATCATTGGATTTATCGTTTGATTTATCATTCTGCTTGATAGTATCATTATCATCAATTTTCTCCACATTCATTGATTTTTCAATAACAGAATCATTATTTTTCTTTGATTTATCAGCTTCCTTTTTTTCAATTTCCTTCTCTGTTGGCAATTTTTCAATTTCCTTTTCAATTGGCAATTTTTCGTTTTCCTTTTTAACTGATGCAATTTCAATTTCCGTAATTGGCAATTTTTCACTATCCTTCTCGTCGGACAATTTTTCCATTTCCATATCGGTATCGAAAAATTTAAAATCATTATCATCGTCCAAAAGAATATCGGATTCGGACAATTTGAGTGGATCCTCCAATTCAATAACTTGAATATCACTCGAACATGATTTAATATCGTCGTCGTTATCAATTTCCATTATGGCATCGTTATCAGAAACTGGAGTATCGTCGTCAATGTCAAACACTGGCGGCTCTTCTTCTCTCTTCTTTATTTCCTCTTCTTTTTTTATCTCTTCCTCCTTTTTTCGTTCTTCTTCCTTTTTCCTCTCTTCCTCTTTTTTATATTCTTCTTTCCTTTTTCGCTCTTCCTCCTTTTTACATTCTTCTTCTTCTTCTCTCTTTCGCTCTTCCTCCTTTTTACGTTCTTCTTCGTCTTCTTTCATATTTTGCTCCTCCTTTTTCAAATTAATCGATTCTTCATCAATTTTAATTTCAATATCGCCATCAATTTCCATATTTTCCTCATCCGATGTTTTTTTCTCAGCATCTTCTGAATTTTCAATAACAATGCTGACTTTACTCGCAAAACTGATATCATTTTTAAACACATACTCGTGTATATTAACTAAACGTTCGCCCAATTCAAACCAAGAATAATGAGAAAGTGGTTTATGAAATGACAATAGAGGCAAGGGAGTAAAATTAAATTCCGGTCGACAAACTTCGGCCCATTTTTCAGCAATTTCTTTCACTTCTTCCAAAAGTTTTTCCCCAATCACCTGATCATATTCAGTATCAAGAGGTGGATCCAATGCCCAATCGCTATTATAAAGTTTATAAGATTCCTCTAGACAAGGTACTTGTTTAAAAATTTGATTACGATACGCCAAGCCTCTAATATATGTTGAATCGCGTTCAAGTGCCATAGAAATATACAATAAACAATTCATATAATCAGGAACTGCATATAAAACTTTAATAATATTATCCAAACATGGCCAATGATTGGGATTACATTTTAATCCATATTTAAAAGCTGAACAAGCGAGTTCAAGATTTGCAATTTTCATCGCTAACATTCCAATTCTTTGCCAAAGTGTAACATCTGTATCATCTAAATTCGCAGCTTCCCAATAATTTTCAATTGCATCCTCATAATTTTCCAATTCTGTTTGTATACTACCAATATTTTTGAAACAAGCATATTTCAATGATAACATTGGTCGTGTTCTTCCATCAGGCACTTCTGGTTTCTCCACCTGATCTAATAGTTCTGTCTCAAGTAAATCTTTAAAAACAATCAAAGCATCTTCTTTTTTATTTTCTTGCATCAATTGTAATGCTCTATTATATTCAGTAAGGGCAATTTGTTCCTAAAAGAAGAAAATAATTTAATATAAAATCTTTTAATATCAGTGAAATCAAATTTAAAAAAAAAAAAACTTCAAAAACAGTTGGACAATAAAAAAAAAACTAATTTCATTTTCTTGTAATTAATTAAAAATACTAAATTTATAAATAATAATATGAATAAATAAAAATTATTTAAAATTGATTATAAATATTTTGATATATTGTTCATTGTTATAACAATTTGAGGTTATGTTCGCTTGGGAAATGCATATTAATTAGCTTGCAAAAATGTACCTCAGCCTCTTTTGTAATTGTTGTAACATCTTCTTCCTCATCTTCTCTGGTCGAAACCTCATTTAATGCTGTTATTTTTATCATTGTTTTTTAATTTGAAATTTATTTCAATAAAAAATCACGTTTGCAAAAACATTACAACCGGTTCATAGTTGTGTAGCACGTAGCACTAAACGCCATATTTGTAACTGCGCGCAATGAATTCTGTATATTTAATTTATCTTATAATAATCTGAAAGTTTTTCAGATGATTTTCCAAAACTGTACCTGTTAATAAATACAAACGACAAATTAATAAATAATGAAATTTCTTTGCTTAATAAAAGAAATGTTCTTCTTTTTCTAAAAAAAACAAATGGGCGGTAATTTTGAAAATAAAATTTAATATTGGCGGTAATTTGTAAAATTATCCTCTACTTATTTCATTTTTTATTTTATATTTATAAAATAATGAATTCAAAATAATATTCCTAATTTATTTTTCCTTAAAAATTTAATTTATTTACTTACTTTTTTAATTTTTCTAACAGTTTTCAATATATTTTGATTTATCTATAAATCGAGATGATTTGTATCTATAAACGAAGATGATTGGAAGGTTCTAATGTTGTTTTTGCAGTTTTTTGCGAACCTTTGACACTGTTTATCACGTGAGGAATAAATCAAGACTAAATAGTGCACACCAACTAGCCATAAAGTTTCAAAGATGAGAAAGAAATCCTTTTGTAAGTGTTTCCACGATTGGAGGAAAACAATAAATACATAAAATCTAATATAAAAAACAGAAGAAGAACTCCTATTGTTTTAAAAAGATTGAATGATTAAAATATAAAAAATAAATCATGCCGACTTTTTCAGGTAAAAACAAAATTTTATTACAAAAAAAAGTTTTATTTTTAATTATACTGACAAAAAAAAAAAGATTTCGTATTTATTTATCAATTTGGTTTATTTATCAAAAATCTTTATTTTTTGTTAATTGCGACGTTGATTGTAAGTAGTTATTAAAAGAAAATTTCTTAAACAAATAATTTTGTACAAAATGTAAATACTAACCTCAGATAAAATTAATTATTCATCTTTTTGATTCTGAAAGTTGTCTTTCATTTCGATAAAAAGATCCTCAATGACGTTAATTAAATTAAATTTCAGGAGATTTTTATGCGAATGAAAATAAATCATTGGATTCCCTGAATGAATTAAATTCTGAAAATACAAAAAACATTTTAATCAGAAAAATTCGTATGGCAAATTTTGGAATTTACAATCATTGGTTTAGAAAGTGTAAGAATTTTTTAATTATTTCTATAAATGTGTAAAGAAATAAATAATAAGTGTTTTTTAAATAAAAGAAAAAAATAATAATAAAAATTATTTTAAAGCTTCAGATAAATATGGAGCCGTGACGTATCTTTTACCTGTTGGTTCTGTATTTATTTTAACATTGATCATTTTACTCATGGTAAGAATATTTTAATTAGTAATTAATTTATTTAGTAATTATTAAAAATAAAAATTTATAGGTGATGTTTAAACGATGTCCACAATTGGTTGCGGCTATTGTTACTGGAATTTTGGGAACAATAGCAATATTCACTGTATTAGTGACTATAAATCATCCCGATGTTTATGAATAATTATTTTATTTTATTCTAGTATTTAAAATTCGCTTTCATTTTGTAAATAGAACATGTTCAATAGAAAATTTGCATTTACTTCTTTGTAAAAAAACGTTCCGTATTATTGTGATTTGTTAACTGTCACCACAATATATAACCTATAAAAGTGTCCTTAGATTTACCATAATTAAGACTGTAAAAATATTAAATCTATTTATATACATTAAACAAACAATTTTAATTAACATATGCTTTATAAATACCTGTTTCTATTTTTAATATCTTTTATTTAGAAGCGAAATGAAATAAAAAAATATTTGTTTACTTTTTCTTCAAGTGCCATCGCCGCCATTTTGAAAATCGAATGGATCGATGAATCGAAATTCAAATAAAAAAATGAATTCAATAGGTGGCTTCTTTTTTATTTTTTCTCACAAGTGGTAATTAAATTTATCAATTAATATATAAGAAAAATAAAAAAAAGATATTTTCGAAGTGGTTATCGCTTCACGGGAACATTTCGTTATTTAGAATGAAGTTAATTTCAAATTTCAAACTTCTTGTAGGCTCCATTGCCTCGAGGCGCGAAATTTAAAATTAATAACGGAATTTGCAGATAAAAAATCTTTCTCAATTTTCAAAATTAATTAAGTTGATTAGCGCTTGGGGTGAAAAGGGGATTTTCAAACTGGAGAATGAAATTATTAAAGTAACAATAATAAGTAATTGTAATTTGTAAAAAGCGGGTTAAAAAGATGATTGTGGATGAAATTTGAATTGTTGTTTGATGTCTTCTTATAAAAAGTTACTAAAACGGTACCATTGTTAAGAAAGAAAGAATGCATAAAAGCTGTTACTGAACTGAGCTGAATTGCTGATCTGTTCTTAATGAAAAAGAGTATACTCAAAAAGTGGTTGTTTAAACACAAAAAAGAATATGACAAAAAGCTGTTTAAAAAGATTCCATAATCCGAGAAAACAATTTCAATGATCAAAAGCGCAAAAATAATAATTGTAAAATTTGATAAATTAAACAGAAGAATTTCCTCTAATTACAAACCAACACTTGTCTTCTAATTAACGGAGAAAATTAAGAAAGATTGAATTTCTGTAACTTCAAAGTTCAAAGATTTCGAAGTCGTAGACCGATGAGAATAAACCACAATTTTTTTTCTTAATTTTTCTATAATTATTAAACTATTATAAATTAATTAACTTAGATTAAAGAGATTGGATGTAGAATTCAATCATCTTTGAAGCACCAATTAATTCATCTTTTCAAAATAGTATTCTAAACGAGGTTGTTTGCAAAACCTTTAAAATTGTTAATCACATTAAAAATAAATAAACAAATACAAATTAATGTTAAATTACAAAAGTTTTACTTTTATTTATAGTTACCAAAGTACGGTTCCTTTACAAAAAAAATGACTTTTGTCAATTTACGCTGCTTATTTCTAACTATATCATCAAATGATGACAACAATATTCAAATGAAAAAATTAAGTCAAATTAACAAATTATTAAAAATAAAGACCAACTTAACATAAAGTTGACAAATTCAATTAATTCTTGAACAATTATATTGCTTATAAAAATACTAACAAAATATTTTTAATTTTTTTGTAGTCAAATTATTGGCACACATTTTTTGACACTTGAAATTATTGTTAACTGTATTAAAAGTAAAATTATGTATAAATTAATATATGAACATTCAAGAAAAAAGTATTAAGTATTGTGAAGAAATTAAACACAAAAAAAAAAATATTTACAAGAAATTTCCACGGAAAAATAGTTCATTCTTTGTTGAAGACTTGTTTCTTTTATTTATAGTGAAAATCAATAAGATGTTGGGAATAAATTCAATTCTGAAATAATAAGAAACAATATTTCTATTAATTATTACTGAATAATTAATTGTTAATTTAAAATTTCAATTAACTTACTGTTAGGAAAGTGTTCTGTATTGTATCATATCAAGTGATACACGTTTTACAGTCTCGATATAATCTTCCAAAGTATCCTTCAAATCATCATAAGCCTGTAAAAAATAAAAATTACATTTATAGAAAATAATAATTATTATTTTTTACTATTTTGTAAAATAAATTTATACCTCGATATAGCTTGTATCTTCATTGCTCGCATGTTCTAATTCCAATAACAAGAGTTCCACAGTATTTAGCGGTAACCAAACAGGCGGTTTAGTGGCCACGAGGGGTGATTCAAAATCAAAATGTTCCATTCCCTTGCCCAAAATTGCTCGAATATAATCGATGGCGAGTTCACTTGCTTCGAGAATTCGTCCCATGTTTAATAAAAGACGTAATAGCTCAGCGGCATTTCGTTTCTAAAAAATTAAAATAAAATGTAAATTTTTTTTTTTTAAGAAAAGCAAAAATCAATTTTTACCTTGTAAGAAGACATAAGCCAAGCTGGAATAAATGCTCCATGATGAAGAAGTTTTCTAGCAACACCTTTATGTAATTCACTTTGATTTTCCTTCTCGTGTGTTAATGTTAAATGTTCCAATAATTTCCAAACAATATTCGCCACATTGGAAGCAGATAATGTAATATCTAAAAAAAATTCAAAAAAAAATTAATTTAAATTCTTTATATTTTAAGAAATAAAAATTCTAAATACCAACCAAAAACATCGTTTAGAATGAGCCAATCCCAAGCTTTTGGATCATCCTGTTGACTCAATCTAACGCATTGTGATGCTAAACTTTCAAGTACAGAACTTTTTCCAATACCAAATTGTTCACACAAATGCAATGCCGTCACGTATAATCCAACACTGGATAAAATAGCTATCAGTTCTTCAGGTCCTATATTTTTGCAAATTCAAAAATAAATAAAAAGAATAATCTTAATGATAGTAATAAGTAAAAATTAACTTACCAACTTGTGCGACAACAAGTAATTCAGAATTGAGTTTCGATAATTTTAATCTTGCATCAACGATATAATATTCTTTTTTAATATCCTTTAATTCGACAACTTCAACTTGTCTTTTCACTTTATAATGAAGTATTTCTTTTCCATCAATGCTTCGTTTTGACTTTGGATTTTTTTCTTCATAAAAAGTTTGATCAATAACTGGTCGTACAATCCAACGGTATTTTTCATTAGCCAAACATAAACAATTAATACAAGCCAATAGGCATTGTGCTTGTTTAGAAATAATTGGCGCCGAATGTGATTCTTGTCCCAAACGTATTGCTTGCTCATACATTACAGATGCAGCTAAAAAATAATTCAAAATTAATTAACATTAAAAAAATGTTAAACAAATTTTACAAAAGCAAAATTACCTTTTCTGAAATTTCCCTTATTAACATGAAAACTATATAAGAAATTATAATAATTATTCTCCATTAAATCAACACTTCTTGCTCTACCCTCAACAATTCTTTCCAAATCCTCATACATTTCAACATAAGGAAATAAAATAAGATCAACAAGTTTCTTTCTTTCAAACAGTGTAACAACAAGTTGCCGTAAACAATCGACACGTCTCGCTGAATCGGGATTTAAATTTAAACAATGATAAGCTTCCACATGATGTCCCAAATTAAGATGTTGTGCAAAAACAATGGAATGTAATGTTGGTAAATTTGGATCATCTTTATCGGCAATTGCAATTGCAGTTTCAGCCAGTTCAATAACACAATCTGATGCATTATGTTGATCAAAGAGTTCAATTACTTTTAGATAATAATTGACGAGTGCATTATTTTCCGATATTGGATTTGGCTCAAGAAATGTTTCGGCAATAAAACGATCAGTTAAAACGCCATTAGACGAACGAAAAAATTGATCGCATGCCTTTTGTGGTTCACCCATTTCTAAAAGTGACACGGCAAGAATAAATTTTCTTGATACAATATTCCATTCGCACCATGTACTCAAAAGACGAACGTATTCTTGAACAAGAAGAAATTGACAGCTCGACAATAACCATTCGGGGAAGACGAAATTTCCCGATCTTGGCCAACTAAATTGTTTATTAAGGATAAATAATTTTTTAAAATGATTTGTTTAACTTAAACAAAGTTTTAAATAAAGTTTTAAAAAAATTGACATTAAAAAAAAGGATACACAAGTTGTGCAATGAGTGTTGCATGCGTGAGCATTCCATAGTGCCATAAAATTAAAGCCGATTGTTCCGGTAATGTATTTGCCAATAATTTCTGTGCGTGCTTCGCACCTCCACTTTGAATAAAAAGTTCCAATAAAGACAGTGATCTTTGCTGTCGTTGCATTACACTCACTTTTGAATCCGTTAATTTCAATAATGAGAGTCTCTGCATACTCGTTTCTCTATAAAAATTAAAAATATTTAACCATTTATCTATTTTTTTTTTTTTAAATCAGACTTACAATAAGGCTGGTGAAAGATTGGAAGTAGCATTAGATCCACATATCCAAATGACAACAAAATAAGCTTGTGTAAGTTTAACAGTTCTTGGCGCCAATGACGATCTTATTGCTTGTAACGATGAAGAATTAAATAATTCCGGTCTCGTCAAAATAATCTGCTGAAGGATCAACAAATCGCGACAAATTGAAAATCTCAAGAGAGTAATTTGCGACACACTCTCAGCTATTGTTGATATTCCCAATTGACTGCCAAATAAATGACTCACATGCATTAATGCACGCGACGCTTCCTGATTATCAAGAAGATCCAATTTATTCGGTTGTCCCAAATCATAAGTCAATGCCTCCAATAGCATCGCCATTGCTTTCGAAACGTCCTTTACATTCTTTAATCTTTGATTTAATTCCGTTTGAAAATCATAGTCCAATAGCTGAAAAATTCAATAAATTAGAAAAAATAAATAAACTATTTCAAAAAAAACAAAAACATACCGGATCGTCAGTTTCTAATATCAATTTCGAAAGCATATCCTCAATAATAATATCCGGACTTTTAAGATTATACAATTCCCTCTCAATATTCGCCTTCAATTCCTCGGATATCTGATCCTCCAACATAACAAGTGACGACATCAACATTATCAAATCCTGACAAATATTATCATCCTGAGAGAGTACAGGCGTTGTTTTAAAACGCGATACATAACTTCTTTCATTTGACAACATTAAATGCTCCAATGCCTCCATTGGTCGTAAAAGTGAGAAAGATGATTTTTTCAATAGTGCAACACCATAAACATTTTGTAACAATAATAATCCAACGGGTCGTGAACCATTCACATGATATTGCACCACACACGAATAAAATTTCGACCAACAACGATTTGCTATTTCCAAATAATCCTCATCCATTAATTCATAATCCATAACTTCAGCTTGTATATCAGCTTCAACTGCCATACAAACACGTTCTTTTAATACGGCCGGCGATAAACTTATATCAGCAATTAAATTCGATCGTCGATAAATGCTAAGCGCTCTTGTTATATCGGCTAGTGAAAATTGTCCCGGATGAAAGATAAAATTAACATAAGCTTGCCGTGGATCCGTACCCGGATCACTGACAATATAATCCCTATCCGGTGGTTGTTCAAGAATCGCCGTTTCCCATTCGGAACTAATTTGCGCACCGTTCAATGGCAATTGTGCATGTGTCACCGCAACTGTATCATTGTCCGTTGTTCTCCAAACGGCCCAAAGTCTCGTTGCCGTGAACGAAAAATCCACCAAGTGTTGCTACAAATGAATTTTCGATAGTAAAAATCGATAGGTAAAAAATAGAAGAAAAATGAATTTACTTACATCGGGTGCAAATAGTGTGCAAACACGTATAAATTTAAAAACCCCAGCGTCTTGAATTGGTTTCAAAATACTGAATTCGCAACCATTTCGAAATTTTAGATACGTTCCAAGATAGAGTTCATTTTCGGAGCTAACAGCTTTTCTTAGAACATGACCCTGTGCACCTTGTGAAGCAATTTTATTATCAATAGCAACATCAGTGACGGCGATACATTGTGCTTTATTTGTTGACCACATGCGAACATTTCCCTCGCGGCATAAAGCAAATAAATACGTATCATTGCCACATGTGTGAATTTCAAGTGCCATTGGTACCTGACCCTCGGTACTTCGTCCACGAAAAGCCGTTGCAATTCCACTCAAAAAACGTGGTACTATTGAATCTTGTTTTAATTCGCTGCTGTGAACAAGACCCGTCCATATATCTAAGCGTAATATTAATATTGTACCCGAACTGTAAGCCAATGCATAAAGTGCTTCCTCCTGTGGTAGCATTAGCCATGATGCCGCCGCATGTGGAACCGGAGAATCTAAAAATTCAAATTAATAAATTTTAAAAAAGTTAAAAAAATTTTTTTATAATATTCAAAAAAAAAGAATCAAATACTTGTAGTTCCAGCGGTTGGTATAACGTGGAATGTATGAGGATCCCTTGCTTCGCTGAAAATTGACTGAATACTAAGATCTGGATGTGAACCAAGTAAAGGTTCCTGGAGTAAATAAAAAATAACGGTTAGTATTTGAAAAAAAATCTCCATTACATAAAATAAATATATTTTACCTGTCTGTGAATTTTGTCAGGATGTGGAAAACTCAATTTATGAATACTAGAAACCGTGGCAATTAAAATAACAACTGAATTTGCAGTTTCATGAATTGTAATTCCATCTAAAATTGGCGTATCAGTGAATTTATAACGTACTCGACAATTCGCTAAATTAACGTCCAAACTATGTTCAACTAATTCAAGAATATCGTGACATATTCTCCAATAAATAAAACGATTCCTTGTGAAATATTTCGAGCAATCTTTATACGAATAACCACCCGCTCTCTCTGGTACTTTAATATCCTGTAGTGTACTTTGGCTTCCACCTGTAATTTTTTTTAATTTATAATAATAAAGTAAAAATAATCAAAAATTAAAAAAAATTGAAGGTTAAGTCACGTTGAAATTCGTTATACAAAAAAATATAATACTTAAACAAACGTAATTTATAACGTTAAGAAACAATAATAACAATTAAAAACAATACTCTACGATTACTAATCTATGGAAAAGAGTATATATTTCAAAGATATAATAAATAAAATCAATTATATATTGAAGGTTAAGTTTAACAAACCGGTATTGAGGGTGATCTCCTTCCACTTCTCGGGTACAGTTTGGTCTGGAATGACTTCCCTGTAGCCGAGGGGAAACTCCATTGTTTATTTATCACTATTTATCACTTCTTTTAATTAAATTTTCATTTAAATAAGCACAAAAAATGAAATTTTCCAAACGTTTATAACCGTTAAGCGCGCCAACAAGCACATTTGTTACATAGTTTCTCTAAATTGCCGCTAGAAGCGCTCAAAAAAAATTATAGCAGAAGAACAAAAATAAACAAATTTTCAAATAATTATTAATTTGAAAATTTAATACATTTCTAGTCAGTCTGTAAATACTTAAATGAGATTAATTTAATTTTAAAACTAGTGATTAATATGATTATATACCGAAAAGTGTTTAAATATTGTTATTGTGATAGATATTCAAATAATTCAAATTTCAATTCCTAACCTAAGAGAAGAAGTGTCAAAATTATAAATAAAAACAAAGAAACAACAATCAAAAATGAATAGAAAAATATTGACAACGTGTTATTTAATATTGAATGTATTTTTTTCAATAATGATTGTCCTTTTAAATAAATGGCTTTACGTTCAAATTGAATTTCCAAATATGACACTGTCAATGATACATTTTGTTATAACATTCATGGGATTAATAATATGTGAGAAATTGGATGTTTTTTGTATAAAAAATGTTCCTTTAAAAGAAATGATTTTAATAGCAATGTCATTTTGTGGATTTGTTGTATTGACAAATTTAAGTTTAGCGCACAATACTGTTGGAACTTATCAAATTGCAAAAATGTTGACAACACCATGTGTTATTTTTATGCAAATAATTTTTTACAATAAATCATTTTCGATAACGGTAATGTTGACATTAATACCGATTATCGTAGGTGTTATTTTGAATTTTTACTATGATATTCAATTTAATATATTGGGAACTGTTTACGCTACTTTAGGCGTACTTGTGACTTCTTTATATCAAGTCGTAAGAGATTTATTTAAAAATATTTAATTCATTTTATAAATAATTAGTTTTAATTGATTACATTTTTTTTCAGCTGGTTAATAGAAAACAGAGGGAATTTCAAATGGATCCAATGCAATTGTTGTATTATCAGGCACCATTGTCGGCAATTATGTTGTGCATTGTTATTCCTTTTTTCGAACCTCTGGGAAATACTTTTACTTTTAAATGGTCTTTTTTCGATTTAGTAAGTGTGAATTCTTTTTTATATTTAATTACATTTAGGGAAAATGTTTAATATTTGCATTTTTTGTAGATAATGGTTCTTTTATCAGGAGTTATTGCATTTTTCGTGAATCTAACATCCTATTGGATAATTGGATATACATCGCCTTTAACGTATCCTTTTTTCAAAATAGATTTAAATTTCTATACTTATAATATTTTTTTGAAATTTTAAATATTGTTATTTAGATAGATATATTTCTTAACTAAAAAAATAGATACAACATGGTGGGACATTCCAAGTTTTGTTTGCTGCTTTTAGGAGGATCACTCATATTTCATGAATCTCTAGCGATTAATCAATTAATGGGAATCACATTGACACTAGTTGGTATTATTTTATATGCTCACGTTAAGGTAAGTAAATAAATTGCCGCGAGCTAATTTTTCATTTTTTTTTTTAAATAAAAAATAAACACTAATAGTTCTACTTTCAGATGAAAGACAACAAGACTTTATTGCCGCAATCGTCAACTGAAGAACGAAAGCCTTTACATAAAAAAAAGCAATTGCCATTTTTTACACAATCTGTAAAAGATTGATTTAAATATATATTATTTTTTTAAACAATTTGGTGAACTTTTTCAAATTTCACGTTAAACTTTAAATATTTAGAAACTTTTTTTTAAAACATTATTGAATTATAATAAATTTTGTCAATATTTGAACATTTTCATATGAATCTAACATTAAAGAAGATTATTAATTTTTTTTTCTATAACTTGTTTTAATTTTTCATTTAAAAATTAAATTTCTATTTAAATAATAAAAAAATTTTTTTAAAAAATCATTGTTTACGGAAGCAAAAGGTCAAAGTTACACCTAGGGCAGGGACTGTTGATTACAACCGAAGTAGAATAGCTTATTTGTGATTCAAACATATCATGGCTCATATCATAGCTTTTTTCCCAGGTGCATCGGACCCTGTTGAATGAAACCTCTCATCGCTCTTATATATCGCCCAACATGTTTTTTCACCGCTTACGAGTAAGAATTTCAATTGCTACATCGTCGTGAGACATCTTTTGATTCTTAAAAAAACCTTATTACATTCTCCATAAACCATAAGGCACAAGAATATACCAATCGGCAAATGAAATTTTCTCTTACGGTATCCCTACCGCTGGTAAAAGTCTTGCAGTATGCTCTATTGATCGTGAGTCACACGCATGTGTCTGATTACGCAATGACCGCGAGAATTTCAAACAAATTCATTCTTTCTTAATTTATTTTTTAAAATATTTAAAATAAAGATAAAATTTAGCGAAACTTAATTAAAAAAAAAGGTAGAGGTAATTAAATTAAACAAATCGTTTTACTCTAAAATCCACTAATGATGTTTTATTAATATAAGATTTCTAATGTTAAAAAACATACATATTTCGTTAAAGACAATTAGTCCCCAAAAATTTATGTCTACAATTCTTAATTCCGAAAATCTGATAAATCGTGACAAAAAAAAACTGTAAATAGAATCAAATTCTACAAAAAAAAAAAAAGAGTTCATTGCAATTGAAAATCAAGCTTACAAATAATATTTGCCCTTTTTTTTACATTGACAATGAAACTTAACGTCAAGTCGCAATGAATTGTATAAATTCTTTTTTTTTCTTTTACGGTAAATACACAATTATATGATAATTTGATCTTCGTATTATTGCTAATATACAAGAAAAATATTTTCATATAAGAAAAAAAAGATTACGGTGAGCCAGAACGTGAGCGTGATCCACTTTTAGGGGTTGCTGACCTTGAACGTGATCCACTCTTTCTTGAACCAGATCTCGAACGTGATCCACTTTTTCTCGAACCAGATCTTGAACGTGATCCACTTTTTCTTGAACCTGATCGTGATCGTGAGCCATCACTTTTCCTCGAGCCTGATCTCGATCGTGAACCACCACTTTTTCTTGAACCCGATCTCGATCGACTTTTCCTCGATCCCGATCTTGATCGTGAACGTGATACCGATCGCGATCTTGATTTAGATCTCGAGTGTCTTGATCCAGAACGTGAACGTGATCCCGTGCCAGAACGTGAACTTTTCCTCGAGCCAGATCGTGATCTCGATCGTGATTTTCGTGAACCAGAACGTGAACGTGACTTTCTTGAGCCACTGTTTGATCTTGACGATGATCTTGATCTTGATCGTGAACTTTTTCGCGAACCTGATCGTGATCTTGAACGTGAGCCAGATTTTCGCGAGCCCGATCGTGATCTTGAACTTGATCGGGATTTACTTTTAACGGATCGAGAACGTGATCGTGAACGTGATCCATCTGAATCGGAGACAATTCTTCGTTTTCCACTTGGTCCTTCTTTCTCGCTGTCGTCTCTGTAAAGTAGGCAATAAATAAAATAAAATGAAAAATATGATAGAAAAATTGGAAAATTTTTGCTCACCCTCCAGAAGCTTTTCGTCGATTATCATCACTGTCCGATTCGCTTGTTGAAATAGTTTCTTTGGATATGATTCGTCCCTTTTTGGGCGTCTCTGCTTGAAACTTTCTCGATTTTTTCGAACTTCCCAATTTCTTTCCTCGTTTAGCTTTTGGTCGATCACTTTCGGATCCTTGTTTTTGGAAAAAAAAGAGATTAGGATCAATTTGAAAAAATATTTTTTGCAAAAAGAAGATTAAATAAAAAAAATACCTCCGGCACTGTCACCACTGCCAACTCTTCTCTTTCTTCCTCTACCACGTGGCTTTCTCTCGGCACTCGATTTCCTTTTGCGTTTCTTCTCACGAGGTACGTCCTCTCTTCGTTCGCCACCATCCGAACCACTGTCACTGACGTATTGATCAGTTCTGACCTTCTTTCCTTTTCCTTTCTTTTCTGACGGCATATCCGAGAACAATAAAACATTCTTTGTCTTCTCCCTGTACTCGTGACGTTTCTGCAACATTTCCTCCTCCTTCTGCCGGCGTAATTCCTCCATTTTTTGTTGCTCCTCTGTTTGACGAAGCTTAAACGCTTGCCTAGAAGAAAAAATAAATTAATTAAATAAGTAAGAAATTTTTTAAGTAATTATTTTCATTTACCGTTCTTCCTCTTGTTTTTTCCGAAGAAGTTTTTCTTCCTCGTCCAATCGTCGAGCTCGCGCCACATGATATTGCGCTTGTGACAATAAATCTTGACATCTTCGTGATTCTGTTTCAGATAGTGTTTCCATGCGATCACCATGTGAGCCTAAATATTGGAAATATTTATTCGACAATCCAAGTTCATGAACTGCTTGCAATACAGTTGTCAAAGTTGATTTCTCGTCTTTTAAAATTGAAGTCGCGAGTCTTTGCAATACGAGCGCAATATTATAAAGCAAAACAGTATCCTGAGGTGCCACTTTACGAGCCTGGAAATCAAATAAGTTTTATTAATTTAATTTAACAAAATTTGTTTTTCTAATTTACCTTCAAGAGAGTCATTTTTGCTTCATGGAGTTTTCCCGCTTTAAAGTAAGCTCGTCCTAAATATTGCAACACTTCCACATGATGATATTTGTAGAACTTTCGCAAACAATTTTCATACTGAAAAAAAATTGTATTAAATTAAAATTGTTCGATAGTTGTTTCGATTTAATTTTTTGAATCTTACCATTTGAATGGCACTGACATATTGCTTCTGCTCAACATAAATATGAGCGATATTTAACCAAACATCACAAAAATCAGCAGTCGCTTCACGCACCTGAGCGAAAATATCACGCGCTTCATTAATACATCCCTTGTGTGCCAATACAGCACCAATTCCATTTGCAGCCCAAATATTTTTTGGATCAGTTCTCAAAACCTAAAAAAATTTTTTTTACCTTACTTATAAAAGAAAATTCAAAATTTTTAAATCAATTTTACCTGTTTATACATGGCTAAAGCACGATCCTGATGTCTCTTCTCACGATCTTTATCCTTTCCACTTTGATGTAATGTCTGCAGCCAAATATTACCCAAAGCAATCAATGAATAGGCATCAGTACTTGTTGTTGGATTCTTTAAAATTCTTTCAAATTTCTTTTGACCCGGTCCCCATTCCATTTTTGCTAAATGAAGATTACCCAACAATGACCATGCATCTGGATGTTCATTATTAATTCTCAATGCATCCTTAAACCAATCGGAAGCCTCGTAAATTTGTCCCTTATCACGTGCCATACAACCAAGTCGTAAATAACAATCAACATAATTTGGATGTTCTTTTAAAATATCTTTATACAATTTTTCTGCCTTATCAAATGTACACAAGGCTTCGTTCAATCTCGCTAAATTATACGTGGTTGTCACTGATATTGAATTATAATAGCCTGGATCGTGTTCTGCCTCTTGATTTGAGCGCGATAATGATTCCTCCAAATTTTTTCTCGCCTCCTCCAAATTTCCGAGACTAAATAAATTTTGGATAAAAATATTTTTAAAAATTGTATTATAATTTATTTTAAAAATTATAAATAAATTAAAATATACCGATAGTGTAAAGAGCCGACATTATTGAGAATTTCCGGTGGAATATCAACACCGACTTTGTCCTTGAGAATTTTTGTTGCAATTCCATAGGCATTTAAAGCGCCATTTAAATCAGATTGTTCAAGAATTTGTGCTAATTCAATCCAAGCTTCCACATCATCCGGAAGTTGTTCAGTTACTTTTTTCAAATGATTCTTAGCAATATCTCGTTTCGATTGAGAAGTTGAATTAGCATACAATGAACCTAGAATCTTCATCGTTTCATAATTTCCCGGTTGAGCTTTGAGTACTTTTTCAAAACATTGAGCCGCCTAGAAAAAAAAAATTTATATTATCTTTTCTTTTTTATCTTCATTTTCAAAAAATTAATTATTTCTCACATTTTCAGAATCTCCTCGATAGATGTACATTTGACCTAAACCAAAATGCGGAAGCACAAACACAGGCGGTGCAAATTGTGTTGCTTGATAATAATATTGAAAAGCCTGATCGTAATCGCCCTTTAAAAGAAAAAAAATTCGTAAATTTTTGTTCATATTTTTGTTTAAAAAAAATTTATTTTAATTTTTACCTGAACATGAAAAGCTCTTGCTAGTTGATAACAACTTTCAGCACGCATCGCTTCATTTTCAGTATTATGAAAAGCATGAAGCGCAAGATGTTGAACTTTATTGTAATCTTTTTTAAAGAAAAAATGATTTGCCAAATGATTTAGAACCATGGGATTTGTTGAATCAATTGTATACGCTTTAGAGAGCATTTGAACACCAGATTTTATACTATCGGGTAATTGTTGATTTAATTTCAATATTGATAATCCAACGAGAGCACCAACACATTGACTGTCTAATTCAAGTGCTCTTTCAAAAGCTAATCGTGCTTTCTCTGGATTATTCATTTTCATAAAACAATGTCCCATTCCTAATCTAACGGCAGCTGGACATTTTGGATTTGTTCTCAATGCTTTTTTATAGAATGCCAATGCGCCACGATAATCTTTCTTATTAAATGCAATACACGCTTTACCCAATAATGATGGAATATTATTTGGCGATTGATTTAAAACAAAATTAAATTGCGCGTCAGCTTGATCCATTTTATCGCCTTCCAAAAGGCAAAAATAGGCGCGTCCCAATAAATGATTCTAGAAGAAAAATTAAATTTTTATTTTATTAAAAAAAAAAAAGGATAAAATGGATTATAATTTAAAAAAGAATTTTTAATTATTGCAGTGATTACCTGATCATACATGATGATTTTGTCAGCTGTTGTATAAAGTAAAGTTGCTTTCGTGAAGAGATCACGTTTTTTGTCCTTATTTTTCTCGCGATTCGCCTCCTGGACATAATAAGCAGCCAACATGTCAAGGGCTCGCATTTGATCTTTCTCAAAGTCTCGATAATTGGTGTTTGCATCGAGACGTGATGATTCCAGTATTTTGATGAAATCATCAATTTTTGTTTGTTTATAATACTCCAGCTATAAAATGAAAACATAAATGTACCTAGAAATTTCTATTAAATTAGACATTTAAATAAAAAAATACTCACGGCCAAGCTGACCCAGATATGAAGGCTTGCATTTTCTTGCCGTAAAATTCCAAGAACTTCATCACCGTCAGGAAGTTGATCGGGATATAACTCGATCACCTTATTTGAAAGAAAAAAACAACAAAAATTAGCAAAATATAATTATAAGAAAATATATTTTTATTTATATCAAAAACGTACCTCATCCGTATCACGAAGCGGGATCTCGATGGCCGCCATCGCAATTAGCGATTTAGACCAATTTGTCTAGAAAAAAAAGTAAATAAAACTTTTTAGTCTTACATTAATAAAAAACAATCATTGACAATTATTTTTTTTTATAAAATAAAAGCATACTACAATCAAAATAAAACAAACAACAAAATAAAATCACAAGAATTTTCACAATTTCCTTATTTTCCGAAACTTATGGCTTAATTAACAATTTGTTTTCGATATTAAATCCATATGTTAATCAACATTTTTTTTTTTTTAATTATCTTTCACATAATTATAGTAACTTTTCTATTAATTTTTAATTTCCACATTTAGTGATAATACTGTTTACTATATTTTAATTAAATTTATTTTTATTTAAAATAAAAAGAACTCACTTTTAAATCCAATCAATCGATTTAAATATTAACAAAAGCTAAATTATTCGCAACAATCATGGGTTTGACAACTTTTTAATTTTTTTTATCACTTCTGAACAGTTTTTTCTACTATAAATCACTGTTTAAAACTTAATAAATAATTATCAATTGAATAAACTCACCGTTTATTTATTTAGTAGCCAGGTTTTATAATTTTATATAAATAAACCGGTTTCAAAATTCATAATCTCACGAAAATAACCTCACTTTTGCGGAGTTATTTTCATGAAAAAAAAATATGACGACAGCGTCCATCGTCCTTCCGTTCGCCATGACAGATTTATGACGACATAATCGTGACGACAATTCCGATTGGTTTATTTTGGCGCTTAAATTTTAATCTGCTGGAAAACTAAAAAAAAATCTATTTTATTAGAACTAGAAAAAAATTTCATAATATTCTTTTAATGAATAAATTATTCCACTACATGTGATTTATTTTGTTAGATAAAAATTTACATAATTAAATATTAGAAAATTTAGTTAAATTTGAATTTGCCGCGTTGCAGTAATGATGCAGTGCTGCACTCTTACGTCACATCCGGCTAAAAGAACAGGGTAGTGTAGGTTGATAAAGTCAACAATTCAACAAAAACACATTATCACTATCGTGCAGTGAGAAATTTCTCGTGTTTTCTAATTTTTCTATAAACAGTGAAACATTATTATTCTGCCTTGAAAAAGTAGAATGGTTAATTGATAATAAAATCAAGTATAATAAGTTTTTAGTTCCATTTTTGGACGCGCGTCATTTGGAGTGGAGAAATAGCGTTCCTTTAACGCAGTATATATTCGAGCTTTTGGAAAAAGTGAATCAAAGTTGCTTTGATGAAAACCTAAATTTATAACACGACGATGACATTGATAGTGAATTTACGAATTGGATCAGTAATTGATGGTGATCGAATGATTTTCGAAGCAGCTCATTTTGGCGGGTGACGTGTTGTTTCTGTTTTTGATCGACTATCATCGTCGACGACGACGACGACAACGAAGACAGTGACGGGGGGTGGGGTGGGCGGCCTTCGGTGGATCGTGGAAAGCACGCGCCGTGAAAGAAGAACACGTGGTGCGACACGGGGCAAGGATACCTGATTGTCAAGAATTCCCGACGATGTCACGTTGGTTAATTTGTGTGATCCTTGAAGGCGCCTGTCCAGTAAATATGAGATCCTCCGTGGTCAGTTTTCAGCGTTAGGGGGGCAATGCACTGTGGGAAGTATTTGCGACACGCGCATGCGCATTTCAGTTTACAGTTGGAGTTTGGAAGAAAATGGCGTCAGCTAAGTTTCTGGAGGAAGCTCTCAGCACGGACGTCGACGAATCCGCAGTAAACGCAATTGTGGGCTCACTCGAAACGCAATTAGTGACGTCGACGCCAACGATTGCCGTTCATCAGCCAACTTCCGTCGCGATCAGTCAACAGAATCACCAGGTGAACTCAACTATTTCAAACGGGGGCACTATCTCCGCTGTCTTACAGACACAGAAACATGGGGTTGCCAACGGCGGCAGTCAGACCTCCGTTAACAGTTTGATGACTCAGGAGGTTCCAAAATCCATTACAACGAGTACTTTACTCCCGGTAAATGTCGTCACGACAAATGCTGTGGCGCCACAGGTTACCGCTCAGCAACAACAACAGCAGCAACAGCAGCAGCAACATCTCCAACAGCAAAATCAGTCGACAGTTGCAGCCACGTATATCAACCAGGTAACCTCAAATCAAACTGTTCCTGCTCTCACCAAGACACATGAACAAGTGAAAATTATTTATTCGGGCGCGGGACAGGTTATCGCGACAACCGGAGTTGTTAATGCTAATAATAAAATTACATTTCCTGCCCAAAATGTTGGGCAACTCGCGAACGGTACTCTAGGTGTTACGACACAGACGGTCCTGCAGACGGCAAATGTTGTCACAAATACCGGCACAGTGGTTCAACAAAATAATCAGGGTGTTAATGTGAATAAACCGACAGGTACTGCTTTAGTGATAAAGAGTAGTGGAACACCAGGTGGTATGGTCTCCGTCCCGTTGTCAGTTCCTGTCTCAGTTGGTGGTAACGCTGTTAATACGACTCTCCAAAGTAAAGCGGGAGTAACGTCAACAATTGTACCCAGTAATATGCAGATTCTCAATATGAATACAATAAGGCAAGGAACTCCTGTTGCGGGTCAGCAAGGTGGTAAACAAGTCGCTCCAAGACTTGTCATCGGACAACCAATGGTGGGAGCAAGACCTGGTGCTCCAGTAAGTATTTCAATTTCTCTATTTTGTAAACATTACCTCTCACCAACATTAAGAAATCACGCACATTTACCTTGATCATGTGAGTGTTTTCTAATTATATACAGCGCTCTCTGCCATTGCACCTTTCAAGTTCCCGTGACTAATTTCATAAGGATGATTTAAAAAACAAAAAAAAATTTAACCAAAATTTTGACACTATAACCTCAAAGTACATTTTACAAGTTTCTTGTCAATCTATTACATGGGTTGTTGAAAAACAATTATATCTGTAAAAAAAAACAACATTAGCTGAGACCTTGAATTTTAATAGTATAACTTATTAATTCAGTTGCAATACTTGTTTGGTTTTTCTTGTTCCTTTCGAAACTTATCAAGGTATTTTTCTTTCGACAAATGATCAAAATGTCAAATATTCAGAGATGATAATATAATTTATCAGCTCAGAAATTATCTTACATTCTTATCATATATTGATATACTAATTTTCAATCTAGAAAATTCCTTTTTTTTGAAAATATATTTCAAATCTTCTAACTCCATCTGTCAAAATGTAAGTCTGAGTCTAGCTGTCAGTTTTCTGAAATTTATCTTTTTTCTCTGGATTTTTAAAAGAAAAAAATTTAATAAAGGTAGGGAGGATTTTAAATTGTTCATTGTTCTAAGAATAAATATTCTTCATTCATCAATTTAAGTTTTGATAACATTTATAATATATGTATATATACGTGTCTCTTGATTTTAGCCTCTTGTCAATGTCTTTTTCTCAAGATTCTTGGAATTTCTAATACAAAATTATCATTGAAAGTTTCAGTCAGTGTTTGTGTTCGAAGCAAAGCTCACTTATAATCAATTCTCTGATAGATAACAATTAGTTGTGCTGTTGTTTTAATTTTATTACACAGTTTATTTTCATCAAGAAAATTACTATACAATGTACGTTATTAATGACAAGGATTATCATGGAGTGAGTTTTTCTTTAAAAATAATGTGAAAGTGATTCATTAATTATTTTCAATTTTTCATTCTATTATCAATTATTATTTATTTTAATTATTTTTATTACATCTGTAATTCATTCATTAATTTGTTACATTTTATTAATGTGAATTTATTTTCATCTTTTATTCAATGTTTTTGTGAAATGATGCAAAATAATAAATTAACATAACCTTAAAATCTTTCATACAATTTCAACCTTGGGATTGGTATTAGTGTTTATTAAAGTTAGTAAATAAATGAAAGTAAATAAATTTGATATGTGAAAATAATAATTTTACTTCTTTTAATGATTATTAATAATTTTTTTTTGTGTATTGAACTGACGAGTACTTTTTTAATTGTTATTAACATTATTATGAATTGTTTTCTTTATGAGAATTAATTTTTTAATAAAATTTTTTTTGGAAAAAAATTTTGTGATTATATACTAAAATTATTGGATCTTTTTCAGATAACGTTGCAAGCATTCCATGGTCTTCAAATACAGGGAAATTTAATTGTGAAAACGGAAAATGGACAATATCAATGTATAAGGGTGGCAGCCCCAGCTTCCGCAGCACCAGGAGGCACAGCTGTGACTCCAAATAGTATAGGCGCGAATACGATGGTTGCGACACCAACTGGAGGCACGACTTATCGCCTCGCGTCTGTGCCGGTTGTAAGTAGGCTGAACACTCAGTTCACTGGCCCGCCACTCGCCACCCTAAGAAAACCCATGCAGGTGACGCACTCTCATACCTCATACGAGACTCGATGTAGTGCTGTTGTAGAATTTTCATACGTTTTCTTTTTTGTATTTTTTTTTTTTTTGTTAATTTTAGTTCACTTGGAATGGTGTTACCATTTGCATTTTCTTGTCCTGCATCGAATTTATAACCTTGGGTCTTCTGTAGGAATTGTTTTTTTTGTATTATGTATAAATATCTGCCTTTTTTTTCTTTTTCATTTAAATATAATGTTTCAATACCAATCTAAACACAGGTCCATTTCTCTCATCTCTCGCAAAATCATTTTATTTGATTTTTTTTTATTCAAAAGAAAAGTGGTTACTTATTTTTGCCTATAGTTGATTTTGTAAAATTGTAATCTCTTTTAATTATTCAACTTTAAATTCGGAATTTAAGTATTTTAGAAATAAAAACAACTTTCTATTAGAAAAATTCAATTTGAGAAAATTCAAGATCAATTGAGACACGAGTCTGTATACAAGGTGTAAGTGCGTCAATTTTATTTTAACAGAAAAAAAAGGTATAATATTTACTAAATCTGTGTTTAGTTAGTATTTTTCGTGAATGTCAATCTTTTTTATTTATGTATTTTTTAATTAAAAAAGAAAACATCCTTTCCCGTAGAAAATTATTCTATAAAAAAAGTGCTGTTCAGTGAGTTGCATGATCAAAAAAAAGAGTGCTTTAATTTGATTTATTTTGATATTTCTTTGTCTGAAATTTTTTTTTGAAAATTATTGCATTGAATGACGATTATTTAGAAAACTTTTGTATTTTACAAGAGTGTTGCAGTATTTTGTTTCTATTGTTTTTAGATTGAACGCAAGATTTCTATTTTTTCATGAAATGTACAGAAAATTTGAGTTTTCTGTATAAATTTATAATAATTTAAGCATGAGTATTGGCTTAGGGTGAATTTTTTTTTCCTGTCGTTGAAATTTTGTTTATAAAATTGAGAAGTACAAAAATGTTTTTTTTTTTTTGGAAAAAAAGAGATAGAGACGAGAAACATCGACGCAAGGTTTGAGAATCTTTTTTTTTTTAAATTTTCTTTGCATTTAATTTTGTTTAGACCGCACAAGCAAGTGTGACTTCTGTAACTCCAAATGCAACTGTTACTCAATCAGCTCCGACCACTGTTCCTGTTACTACACAGAATGCTAATGTTACAACAGGCCAAACGGGACAAGCTCCTGTACAGGTAAAAATCACTGGTTTTTGTTTTTAATTTTTATCACAGTTTTAATTTTTTGAATGTGAAATATAAAAAATGTAAATTGTTTAACGTATTAAATTTTTTTTTTTTTAATTTCAGCGTCAGACCACAGATAATACCAAAGAAAAGTGCCGTAAATTTTTAGCAAACTTATTAGAGTTGTCTAGTCGAGAACCTAAACATGTGGAAATAAAGGTTCGGACGTTGATTCAAGAATTAATTGATACTAAAGTTGAACCCGAGCAGTTTTGTGATAGACTTGAAAAATTATTAAACGCATCTCCTCAACCATGTTTAATCGGTTTTCTCAAGAAAAGTTTGCCTCTTCTTCGGCAGTCCCTCGTTACAAAGGAACTTGTTATAGAAGGAATAAGACCACCTCCCGCAAATGTTGTTTTCTGTATAGCTTCCGCAACTCCAGCTACTGTACAAGTAAGTTTATTTTTTTTTACAATTAAAAGAATTTTCATTTTTAAAAAAATAATTATTATTTTTCTGTGATGTTTTGTAAATACTTTTATTTCAAAAAGAGAGTCGAAATTTTTAAATTTTACACTAAAAAAACAAAAATTAGGTTTAAAAAATTGATACATGTGTGTAAAAAGGAAATTAAAAATTGTATTTATGGAATTATTGAAGTGAAATATCGCTACATTGAATCAAATTAGAAATAGTTTCTCATGAATATCATTTCGTTTGACATTTATTTGATAAGGGAGTGTTAAATAAGTTATCATGGATATTCTTTAGATATTGTGTCTACATTGCTCCGATAATGAGATGTCAGAGATCAAAGAGCATGGACTTATCGATAATAAAAAAAAATGTAATTTATGAACAAATGAATTACATTGATCGAGAATTTTTTTTTTTCATTAATTTGTCAGATCATTGATTTTTAATATTTTAAACTGACAATCATAGAATCTTAATTTTTTTTTTATTTGTAATTTTCAATTGTATTTTATAAAAAATTTGTAAATTGTGGGTAATACGTTATTTTTTAGAAAATAAATTGAAGGAAAATTAATAATTAATAGAATATGAAGGAAAATTATTTGTAAATTGTAAATTTATTTTTCACAGCCTCAGTTGAGGAATACTGTAGCCGTCTTTCCTGTGTCAGTGGCAGCAGTTGCTACTGCGGGTACTCCAATTCCCTCTGCAACTGCAACCGCAACAACGCAAGTTAGGTTGATGACACCGCAAAATACTGTCGCAACTGCCGCTCCTAGAGGAGTGCAACAGGTTCAACAAAGGCTTGTAAGTCTCTTCTTTTCTAAGATTACTAAAAAGAAAATCATGATTTTAAAATTTTAACCCCCAAGTTAAAAAAGTTTATATTTAAAAGTTTGAAAAATAAATTTAAAAAATTGTAGTTAAAAGAAAATATGTAAAATTTATAGATTCGACCAATAACGACGGTGGCTCGTACTCAAGCAACCGCTATTAGATCGGCAATGGCTGTAAGTACAATTCGACCTTCGGCAACGGTTGTTCAAAAAACAGCAACGACAACTGTTCTCAAAACAATCGCTGCTGCCGCTCAGGGAAAAGCAGTTAATGCGACTACTACGCTCAACAAACAAGTTGTAGTGCCTTCAGTTCAATCAAAACCGACAATTAAGGAGAAAGAGAAAAAAACATTTTCCTCAGCTGGCTATACGTAAGTGTTATTGAAATAAAATTTTCTTTTCTTAAATTAAAGCCTTTATCATGAAAATTCCGAAAATATTTAAATCTGTCTATGTAGGGGCGATGACGATATAAACGATGTCGCGGCAATGGGAGGCGTCAATCTCGCAGAGGAATCTCAAAGAATCCTCGGATCCACAGAATTTGTCGGGACTCAAATTAGATCTTGTAAAGATGAAGCCTTTTTACATTTGTCACCTCTGCAGCAAAGAATAAAACAAATAGGTAATTTTATTTTTAATACCAACAAAGTAGTAATACTCTAATTTAATAAAAAAAAATAATTTAAGCAATAAATTAAACTTTTTATAATTTCAGTGTTAAAATATGGTTTGGAGGAACCAAATCAAGAAGTATCGACCTTAATTTCTCACGCTGTACAAGAAAGGTTAAAAAATTTAGTTGAAAAACTTGCAATCATAGGAGAACATAGGGTAGATCTCAATAAAGTATGTATATTAAGATTTTGAAAATTAGTATTTTGAGATAAAAGGAATTTTTTTTATATTTATTCATTTATATTATTTTGCAGATGGATCCTAGGTACGAAATTTCTCAGGATGTGAGAGGGCAACTTAAGTTTCTCGAAGACTTAGACAGGGTAGAACGTAAGAGGCACGAAGAACACGAGAGGGAAATGCTCCTGCGAGCTGCAAAAAGTCGCGCAAAAACTGAAGATCCCGAACAAGCAAAATTAAAAGCAAAAGCAAAAGAGGTAATAAAATCAATAATTTCGGTTTTATTTTACATTAAATTAAAATCAAAATTAATATCCATAATTTTTATTCAAAATTAATGTTTGATTATAATTTTTAGATGCAACGAGCAGAAATGGAAGAATTAAGGCAACGTGAAGCTAATTTAACAGCTTTACAAGCCATTGGACCACGAAAAAAACCAAAACTCGATACAGGCGGTGCAACAGCGAGTCCTGCGAGTTCTGGATTAAATGCAACATCTTCTGGCATGAATCGTCAAATGTCAATGAGACCGAGAGTGAAAAGGGTAAATATAAGAGACATGTTATTTCTATTGGAACAAGAAAAAGATACGTGTCGAAGTACAACACTTTATAAATCGTATCTAAAGTGATGTTCTGCAATGGGCAGGAACACAAGTGATACGCCACTAAAATGGCGTTTTACTTGTATGGTCTTGTGTGAGCTGGTCTCAATAGATCTCAAATTTCGTGACGCGCTCCTGTGGCACCTTCAAAAAGTGCCTGACAAATTGCGTGCAATTGAAGCTCGATGCCAATTTGGCTTGGAGTTATCTACACATTTTTTCCAACAAAACTTTATTGCAAAAAAAAAAAAGAAAAAAAAGAAAAAAAAAGAAAAGCGTCGATACTAAGCTTCCCAACTACTTGTAAATGACTGAAGTTTTTTAAGATTGTAATATACAAAAAAAAAATGTAATAAATTGTTCTTTATTTTTTAACTCGAGATCACGTCTGTATAGAGAAAAAAAAAGAAAAAGAAAACGATGTGTATGAAGCACATCGTTCATTTTTCTTTAAGGACAACATTGTCCATTATCTAAAAGAGGTTGTATTGCGCGCGAATGTTTCCCAAAAAAAAAAATGAATAAATGAATTGAACGGGTGAAAAAAAGATTTTTTTTTGTATGTAATTTGGTTTTTGTTTTGTATATGCCTGCTCGTAATATTTGACTTGTACTTTTGGACATTGTAAATCGTATTTTTGCAAAAAAAAAAAATAAATTCCGCGATAAGTGTTATCTTACCAATTGAAAAGAGAGAAAGTGAATGAAAGAGAGTGAGAGAGAATAAAAAAAAAGCACTGTCCAAACAGTATAGAAGAAAAATATTATTTGTACAGTTTAAATGACACATAAAACTATTGTAGGGATAATTTTCAATGTTGGTACAACAAAATATAGCTACTCGACTATTCTCTAAAATAAGAATGGAATTGTTATCAGTATATTATGTTGTAATCTACATTTTCAGTGTTTATAAAAAATTAGCTGTTACGTTTTTTATTAAAGAAAGATTTACGAAACTAAGAATCACGAATATTTTTTCGATCAAAATATTAATTTATTATTTAATGAAAAAATGGGGAAAAAAAAAAGAAAAGTAACTCGTTGCCGCTACTTAGGAGTAAAGGAAACATTGTGCTTCATGAAAAAAATAGTGAATTGAAAAAGAAAAAAAGAAAAAAAAAATGCAAAAAAAAAAAAAATAAGAAAAATGTGTGTACCTGATTTGTATGTAAAAGATCCGCTCTGCTGAAAATACGTGGGTGCCTATTGTACAGATTTTTCTTCTTTCTTTCGTTACGTCCGACATTTCTCAAATATTCTGTGCTGTCAAAAATGTTTTCAAATTTTTTTTAACAACGGACTGCGAATCAAATCAAAAATTACATTGTAAATCAGCGCGTTCCTTTAAATTTTTTTTTACAAACGCGTCTTTTTTACAAAGTTCAAAAAAATTTTCTAAAAAGAAAAAAATTTTTACAATATCAGTGTGCAAAATTGAATAATTTTTGTTTTTTTTTTTTTATTAGATATAAAAAGTAGAAAAGGGAAAAATTGCGGCAATAGAGTCTCTAATATAAATATAAATAAAGAAAAACGACAAAAAAAAAAATAACTAAATAAATAAAAAAAAAGTTTAACGAGAAATTTCTAGTAGTGTATAGATAGGAAAGTTGACTGTAAATATAGTTATTAAAAAAAAAAAATTGCGGTGACGTTTTATCGCAATTATCAGAAAATCTTCCTAAATCGATAAGGAAGATCCGAATCATCCCTTGTAAATAGATCATTTTTCCATAAAAACAAAAAAAAAATTATTTCCTGTCAATGCGAAGTACCATTGTACTATACCTTAAAAAACATTTGTTGCGATTACACATTTAGGTTTTTTTTACACCGTGAGAAAGAAAATTATTGCTCTTTATACTGCCACCTAAAGTGGAATTTCACAAAGGAAAAAGAAAAAAAAAAAATGAAAAAAAAAGATGTGTAAAATTTACGGTATAGCAATTTTGGTACAGTACCTATGCTATTTTTACAAATTGTATTAATAAGCAGTAGCCAGAGCAAATAAATAAACATGAAAAGATTTAACGCAGCCAATTAACTATTTCTCTTAATTTTTCTTTTACTTCATCTCATTTGTCTTCGTTTATATTTAATTACCGTTTTCGTTTCTGTAAATTAATTTATCTTTAATTAAAATTGTCGTTTAAAATTTTTTTTTTTTTTGAAAATTAATTTCTTATATTTGTAAATGTTATGAAATAATTTTAAAAATTATTTTAATTTTTAATGAAATTAATTTTTTAATAACATTATTTACGTTTAATGAAATCGAATGGAATTTGCCTTAAATAAATACGCTCTATTTAATTTTTTTTTTCTTTAATTCGTCTTAATTAAATTTCCTACTTGAAAACCTCAAGAATTTGTTTTTCAATTTTTATTTCATTTATTTAAATTCTATTAATGAAATGTATTTCTTTCAAAGGAAAATTATTATCTGCGATCATTATTCGAATTTATTATATTTTTCGATTTAATTAAATTTTGTGCTCTCTATTTTAATTAGAATTATTTTTTTTTTTTTATAAATTATTTTAATTAAAGTGAATAAATTTTTTTTGGAATTTTATGCAAAATTAGTTTACGATTAGCATTTGCGAATTTCAAAAGGGGGGAAAAAAAGAATTATAACGTCGAAAGAGAAAATAGAGGGAAATTAAAAGCGATTCAAGTTCTCTCCTTTGAAATTGTGTGCAAATCTTGAGAGCACGCGCACATACAATTGGTTTGAGGGCGAATTCTCGAATTTCAAACTGTCTTCCTACGCGTGCCAAAGGCTATTTTGCGTTTGTGGGGTATATATATTGAGGATCGAAAAATTTTCCCTTCGGGCAATATAGAAATGGAATATAATCAGCTAGAGAACCAGAGCTTGGCGGCAGCGGCGGATTCCAAGGATGACAGCCTCCGGCTACTATTCCTTGAGGCAACATGGATATTGAGTTCACCGTAACCATGGCAACTTCCTCGAGGCGGTAACGCTTGTACGCTTTGTAGTACGCTTATCCCTTTTCCTGCGGTTACGTTATCAACGCAATGTTGCCTGGTACCATTTCCGCGTTAATTCCTCGACCTCGCGATTCTATTCTTTCTTTTATATATCGAAGACGCAAAATAAAATCAAAATTACTTTTTTTTTTTTGGCAAAATTATAAAAATTTTTGAATAATAAACACTTTTTATTTATACTTTCAAATCTGGACCGTTATTAGGTACATTATTTTTAACATCGCATTGTGCACCTGTTTTGTATTATATCACCTTTGCCACCTAATCTTATAATATTTATATGAAAGCAAAGCGATTGGCCTTCTGAAATAATTCTAGTTGACAATATGAGATCAACGGTCGTTTCGTTGTCTTCAGATCACGAGATACAATAGATTCGCCATTTTATAATATAAAGAAAATTATTTACAATTATTAGTAAATTTTTAAATACAGATATACACCTTATTTATATATAATAAAGAATTTAAAATAACAAAAACAATCGCCTTGTAAAATGCCATTTTTTTGCAGTGAATTCAAAGAAACAAAAAAAAATGTTATTTTTGACATATTCAACAATATAATTTCTAGATAATACAAAAAACTCTTTTTTATCACTGCTTTGCGAAAATTTATACAATTCGAGCTTTGAAGAGATTTTGCCAGTCTTTTTTTTGATTAAATTACTCAATATCAGAATCGCGTTGACTCCGAATTGTCCTCGAAGATGTTTTTCGAGGCGTTGATGTACTTTGTCAAGTGTTGGCAGCTTGTCTAACAAATAAATATTCGGAAAATTGTTGACCATCAACACCGCCACCGTTACTTGCGACAACATTAAATCCCGCATTTAACAACCTAGTGATTGCCTGAACGGAATTTAATTTACAATAACCATTAAGTGGAAAACGAATAACGTGCCTCGCATCCTGTTGATGCCATGCGACACCTGATCTTGCATCAATCACAGCTTGTGTTGATTCGGGAAAAACCTCATCGAGAAGTGATCTTCCACCGGAGAGCATTACACGTTCACCAAGATCAGGACTCACGTGTAATGCAACACATTCGTAGCATTCGTTGCGTTTCTCTTGATCTCTTATGGGTGGAATTATTCCTCCACCGCCTCCACCACGACCACCGCTAAGACTCGGTGGTGGGCTTGGAGACGAGGTCGTCGCGCCATTCTTTATGCGATCCTTTTTCATTTGCTCCAGCTGCCGGCACATTGCTGCAAGATATACATTTTTGAATTAGTCAATTTTTAAATAGCTCCAATATAGCAAATTGACAAAAACAAAAAAAAAAATACTGAAAGTTAGAAAAATAATACATTGAGCTAATTTTAATCAATTTTTTTCCAATGCTTTTGGACAATCATTTATAGAGAAGTGAACTATAATCCTGTAAAAAAGAAATTTTAATGTATTAAACCTTTTTATAAGAAATTACCTATAAACACTATTTTGCTTCTATTATGTGGAAAGAGTACTTTAAAATTCTGTTTAATAATAATTAATAATCCATTAAAAACTTACGTCAAAAAATTAATATTTATATGTAAAATTCGAAAAACCTTCATTTTCACTTTTATCTAGGTATAATTCCACATATTTATTTATTCTTTAGTATCTCTGCTTGTATTTTCTTCTCATTCAGAGTAAAATCATTTTATTTTGAAATTAAATTATAAAAATAGATTTTGTTTACATGTTTCTTTCACTATTAGTAAAAAAGTAGGGTTTAATACTAAAAACCAAATAGTACATAATTATAACGATAAATCAGCTTTCAGATTTAATTAATAGTTATTTTTAGGATAATTGAGTGTAATTATTTAGCGATTTAAATGTTTTGACACTTAGGTTATAAACAAATATATAATTTCTCCCCCCCCCCACTTTGCCAATCAAAAAGTGTCACATTTCGGATATTCTACTCTATTGGACAAGCCTGTTTTCCACGACTCTACCTTGTCTGCCATGCCATTTATCGTGGATGCACCGTGTAAAAGCTTCGTAATTGTTTAAATAATAAAAAAATAGCTATTTAGTAACGTGAAAAATAGTTTTTCAACGATTGTGCTTCGATTTCCCACAAAAGCCCAAGGTAAGTCTTTTTATTAATCAGTATTAATATATTTATTAAACAACATTGAAACCATTTTATTTTCCAATTTTTGTTAAAATTTCCGTTCCTTTATATAAAAAATCATTATATTATTGTGTTTTGTGCTTAATTTATCTTTAAAATTGCTAATATTTAGCGCAATAATTACATTTTTGGATATTGTGATAATTAACAGTGTTGTATCATGTCCGAATTTTTTTTATCAATTCAGGTTAATAATCGCAAAAATATTAATTTTATATTTATAAATTTGAAAAATCTTGAGTAAAGGGAACGGGAAATCATTTCCGGTTGCATTCCGGAAGTGCAAATCATTTCCGATTGCATTCCGGAAGTGCAACCATGAGTATGCAACCTTAAACTCGTGACTTCCCAACCCTGCATAAAGTTCTCGGCGTCCCTTTTCCAGCGACCCAACCTTGCTTTTCATTGCTCGAGATAGCTACGCACTGTGCACATCGGCGTCCTAATAATTGAGACTTTTTTTACATTTCTCATTGTTTAATTAACCAAATATTGATGAAAAAGCTGTTCCTTCATGCTGGTGATGATTCTTATCAAATGGAGAAGGTAAAACTTTATAATTATTCTTAAATAATAATTTCTTATTGGTCGCAAAAATTTTTGCTTTATTTTATTAATTCCGAAAAAATATTTTTAATACTATAAAAAAACGATTTAATACTCAAAAATTTGCAATTACTTTACAATTATTTATAAATTAATTATAATTAATTATATCATAATAATTATTCGAATATCATAATTGTTAAATCAGTAAAATAAAAATTTATTTAATTTCCATATTATTGATTTTCCGTTTGAAAAAGATTTAAAATATCTAAACAAAGTTGTAATGAAAAGGGTTGATCATTTCCGGTTGCATTCCGGAAGTATAGCCATCAGTACGTATATACCCTTAAACTCGTGACTTCCTAACCCTGCATAAAGTTCTCGGCGTCCCTTTTCCAGCGTCCCAACCTTGCTTTTCATTGCTCGAGATAGCTACGCACAGTTCGCATCGACGTCCCATTTATTCAATCTTTTTTTATATTTCTCGTTATTTAATTAATCCAATATTGATGAAAAAGCTTTTTCTTCAAGCTGATGGCCAATTCTCATCAAATGGAAAAGGTAAATCTTTATAATTATTGTTAAATAATAATTGCCTATTGGTCGCAAAAATTTTTACTTTTTTTCATTAATTCCGAAGAAATATTCTTAATATTATAAAAAAAAGTTTTAGTACTTAAAAACTTGCAATTATTTTATAATTAATCATAAATTAATTATAATTAATTAATTATATAATAATAATTATGCGATATATAATAATAATAATCATAATTGTCAAATGAGCAAAAAAAAGTTTTGATTTTCCGTTTGAAAAAAATTTAAAATATCTGAGCAAAGTTGTAAAAAAAGGGTAGATTCATTCCGGTTGTATTCCGGAAGTAGAGACCTGCTTCACAACCTTGCTTATAGTTACATGTTCATTTTCTTGTGACTCATCCCTGCTTTTCATTGCTCAAATTGGCGCGCACTGTTCACAATGGAGTCCTGATTATTTTGTTTCTTTTTGCATTTCTAATTGTTAAAATAATCTGATATTGAGAAGAAAAGTCTTTTATTTGAGCTAGTGATTCATTTTTATCAAGTGGAGTTGGTAAGTCTTTATATTTATTGGTGAATAATAATAATATATAGACGACGAAAAAAATTTCCCCTGTTTAAGGTTAAATTTTGTGTCAAATTTTTTTTTTTAATAAAATATTTCATAAAGTTTTGAAATAATCGCAATCTTTTGTGTCCCAATTATCTATAAAAAAGTGATAATTGAAATATTTTTTTGGTTATGTCTATCGAGATGATTGACGATTATCGTTCTATGTTCGTCTTGCTTGGGAAAAATTATAAATCTGAATATTTTGGTAAAATATTAATATTAGTTATTCTAATAAATAAAAACTAATATATTTTGCCATTTATGAATAAATTTTGTTTTTGTTTTTGCCTTGGAAAAAATTATAAATCTGAATATTTTGATAAAATATTAATATTAGTTATTCTAATAAATAAAAACTAATATATTTTGCCATTTATGAATAAATTTTATTTTTGTCTTCATTTTTAATAGAATAAATGTTATTTTTGCATTGTATATATGCAATTGGTATAAATTTTTAGATTAGAATCTTTGTTATCGGCATGTAGGGAGAAAATTTTAATTCATGTTGAGTTTTTTTCCAAATCGCAAAAAATAATTTTTTAATAACTTTTTTAAGGTTATGATTTATTTGTATTTTGAAGTATATAGGTAAAATCTAATTATTATTATTATTTTAGAGAAAATTTCTTTTTACAGGTTATGTTCACAATATCAACAATGTATTTTTTCATATTTCAGTAATGATTTTTATATTTAATTTGTATAAATAGTATGACAATTTTTTTTAAAAATACTTACGTGCAATGTCAAAATATCTTGCCTCCTCGAGAAGGAGATCCAAATCGGCAAAATTATCAGGAATAAGTAAACGTGAATTTCGCATAAAATTGAGAATATGACGAAACATTCCACCGTCCCTGTCAATAAAATAATGTTGTTTCAAAGAATCCAAAACAATAGGTATACTTCCGTTGAATAGTTTTGCTAGCCTCGATTCCGGATACCTGAAAATTGAAAAAAAAGACATTTCTAAAAATAATTCCAACGGATTCTTTGAAGGATCTAATTCGAATTATTTTCATTCTCTTCGACAAAAGATTTTTTTTTTTTTGTGTTTTCTGTGCCCCTGTATATATATATAGAAATAAAGTGAATCAGGCAGGTGACCAATGTATTCGGCACCTGCTTACATAGCCCGCGGGTTAGTTTTGCCTAGGGCACAAAATTTGCAGCAGCTGATTCCATCGAAAATTTTTTTTACAAGCTTCTCTTATTATTTTTTTTTCTTTTACTAATTAATGACGTGCCATGTCGATAAAATATCGAATCTTCCAATATTACTCCCTATAGGAGCCCAATAGATTTTATCAATTTTATCAAGACTCATTTTTTTATAATTATATTACTTTTGTTTATCTAAGGATTAAAATTTTGTTTACTTTTTTACTAATAACAAAATCAATATATTTCAGATAACGAAAAAATCATTGTTCAGGAATTATAAAAAAGGGGAAAAAAATGGAGAAAATATAATTTTACGATTCACAAAAAAAGGAAATCGAAGATAAACGAGTATTCCAAGCAAAGCTGTTAAGCAAAAGCCCTGAACAATGCAATTTATTCTTATGATTTCTTGCTTGCGGTAAATAACGGAGTTCGATTATCGTCATATCCTGAGGACTTTATTTGAAGCGGCGCCTCGAGAAAGGTAAGCCTCCTTCATCTTTGTGAAAGCTGGCGGAACGGATATGTTTCTAATAATAAAAAAAAATAATACAAAAAAAAAAATATATATAGAAATTAAAAAAAAAGAAACAAAAAGAATTATCAAAATATATCTCTATCTCTCAATTTGCAACTGAATGGAAAATCAGAATGAAATATAGATAAGAGTGACAGGAAAATATAGGGGAAAAATGTCAGTTCGTAGATCAAGTTGCGTTCACTTTCTGATGGAAAGTGTGACGCTGATTTTAAAAAGAGATTTGAAAGAAAATTTAGCGTTTGCAATGATTGATGTATGAATTTTTTATTTTTCTTTTTCGCTTCTGTGAGATTATTTAATATTATATTTGATAAACGTTTATATTAATTTTACTTTATTATCATTATTATTGCTATTATTTTTATTATTTACTGAAATTAAATTTCAGGCGAAATTTTTCAATTTTGTCCAAGTAGAAATTTTAAATAAAAATTCTCTTTAACGAAAATTTAGTTAAATAAAAATTCTGTTTAATATAAATTTGAATTTTTCAAAAAGAATATATATTTTTTACATCGAGTATCTGAAGTTTACTTTTTTTTCGACAATTTTTTTTTTTTTTTTCTCGAATGTTTAAGAGCAAAATGACGTAGATACGCCCGAGGTAACAATATTCTTGGTTCATAAGATTTTAGAAATTGTAAAATTTATCATTTAAAATATTAATCCTCAAGGTCATTGTATAATGGAAACCATTATATATATATATATATATGCATATATGCACTTTAAGTTGATTCTCTTGGTATATATATAAAATAACGTGTATATATTATGAACCCGTGCAAAAAGAAGGACTTTCTGTTCTCGTCGTTGTACCTCGTCGTGCGTTATGGCACAACGAGGGAGGAGTAAGGTACCTTCGGGCCGGTTCCCATACCCTCCTCTTCGCGATAACGTATAATAACGACGGCCTCGTGTTGCTCGAGGCGTTCGTCTTCTAGAGAGATACCGCAGGGTAACTATACCTGGTGAGAGACCAACTCGATGGTGCCAGATATGTAATGTTTTTGCGTCCTTGGTACCAGGTTAGAGTTTCATACTTATACATACATATATAAAGCCACTGGCATTTAGGAAAAAGACGAAAAAAAAAATAGAGGAAAAAAAGAAAACTTTTTTTTTTTGAAGATTGATGTAACTTTTGTTATAAAGTTTAGAACAGTTTTTTTCGAGATGACTATACAGTTTTATGAAGATTGTCAATTTATTAAAAGTTTAAGTGGAGTTTAAGTTTTGAGATTTTATTAAAAAAAAGAAAAAAAAAATGTTGGCTAGTTTAGAAAAAAAAACTCATCTACGGGATTAGAATCTTATTTTTTCATGTGGGGGTTAGATATAATAAAACTGATTGTTTTAGAAAATTACTCAATTTTTTATTCTGTATTACAAATAATAATTACAATCATAAATTTATTAAATTGTACTAATTCGTTAGTAAAAATTTTTCTCTACTATTAATTAGTTAAATTTTACTAATTTGTTTGTGAAAAAATGTTTTCTTACTATTAATTAGTTAAATTTTAATAATTCGTTAGTAAACAAAATTTTTTCTTACTATTAATTAGTTAAATTTTACTAATTCGTTAGTAAACAAATTTTTTACTATAATTTGGTCACATTTTACTAATTCGGTGGCAAAAAAAAAAAAAATTTTTCTTAATTAGTCAAAATTTATTAATTCGTTAGTAAAAATTTTTGTCTACTATTAATTAGTTAAATTTTAATAATTCGCTAGCAAATAAATTTTTTTTAATTAGTTAAATTTTACAAATTTCTTAGTAATATTTTTTTACTATAATTTGGTCAAATTTTACTAATTCGGTAGCAAAAAAATTTTTCTTTACTATTAATTAGTTAAATTTTACTAATTTGTTTGTAAAAAAAATGTTTTCTTACTATTAATTAGTTAAATTTTAATAATTCGTTAGTAAACAAATTCTTTTCTTACTATTAATTAGTTAAAATTTTACTAATTCGTTAGTAAACAAATTTTTTACTATAATTTGGTCAAATTTTACTAATTCGGTATCAAAAAAAAAAAAAAAATTTCCTTAATTAGTCAAAATTTATTAATTCGTTAGTAAAAATTTTTGTCTACTATTAATTAGTTAAATTTTAATAATTCGTTAGTAAATAAATTTTGTTTAATTAGTTAAATTTTACTAATTTCTTAGGAATATTTTTTTTACTATAATTTGGTCAAATTTTACTAATTCGGTAGCAAAAAAAAAATTTTCTTTACTATTAATTAGTTAAAATTTACTAATTCGTTTCTAAAAATATTTTTTTTTACTATTAGTTAATTGTTACCAATTCAAGAGAAAAAAGACAATTCGAAAATTTAATTTTTTTTTTTAATTAATTCAGATTTGGAGATTGTATGGACAAACATTGAAGTTAATAAAAAAAAAAAAAAAAATTATAATCGATTATTAGTTGAGAGTTTGATGATGTGCGGGTGGAAAGAGGGACTATATAGGGATATAGGGATCAGGGAGAATTTTTTGAAAGAGATAGAGCGAAAATGAAACGGGACCAGAGGCGGAGGACGAGAGGCCGTGATTACCTCAGGGCACTGTTGGGCCCACCGTCGACCAAGCGGGGTCCGATCCCGGGTCAGATCCACTCGCTATGGGAAAACACTAAACGATCGGCTCACATCACTCAGATCCCTTTTGCTCTGCTTTTGTATATATGTCTATATACCGGGTGTCCAGCCCAGTAAATTATGTACAACCCCCTTCCTCTCTCCTCCAACCCCCTTTGGTCAAGACTCGCGCGCGAATATGTGTCTTGATCGGCGATTGACTTTTTTAAAAAATAATAAATCAAGTTTGTGTGGTAAAAAAAAATTTCTTCAATAAAAATAGATTAACTGAAATTAGATAAAATATTTATTATTTAATAATAAAAATAGATACAAATTTAAATTTAACAGAATTTTTATATGTAAAACAATTTTTTATTTAATTAATTTTTGATTAAACGAATTTTAATTTGGCAGGATTTTTTTTGGCAAAATTTCCTTTTAGGGAAATTTTTATTTTACTGACTTTGCATTTATTTAAATTAATTAATTATTAACATTGGAATTTTTTGCACTAAAAAATTTAATTAGTTTTTTTTTGATGATTTGTGATTGGTGAATTTTGATATTTTTTAATGAATGCGATGTTAATTTTATGTAGGTTTTCAATTATACAGAACATAACGGAAGTTAGTTAAATGTAATCATTTATATATAAAGTTGAGGTGTTTGTATTTTTTTTTTTATTACTTTTTTTTTACCGATTGCGGATCGTTTCTCCCTGGCAGTTAAAATGTATATATGTACAAATACATCCATACACTTTATGTATATATGTATATATAATCTCACATATATCGGGAATTGATTACGATTCGTCTCATTACGGCCGTACATCGATTTCTGCGTAGCTTCGCGGCTGTCGTTCATCACGGGCAAAAAAATTCCGCAAATAGCAAACAAATTGATCGTCTAGAAAGTACCGCAGGGGGAAAATAGTTAAACTAATAGTATATACTGATATTAATCAAAGAATTTAATAACGCGTGTGTGTGTTCAGTTTGTTTTCCTATATATGTATATAAATGGAGAAATAAATTATTTCAATTATTTTTTTTTTTGTTGAAAGTTGTAGAAATTTTATATTACGGTATTTCTTGATTTTGTTCGGAAATTTGCATATTTTTATTTAGGTTACGTGAAATAGAATAATATTTTCTAAATTCTGTTTTTTAGTTATATTTCCATTGTCGTTTGACTTATCCAAAAGAAATGATTTTTCAGCATTTTTTTTTCTCGATGAAGAAGGGGGTGAGATGCAATTTAGAAAAATGCTTTTCGATCGCTAATAGGGATTTTATTTTTTGTAAAATTCTTCAGATGATACCCTGTTAGCCTCGAGTTTCATTGTTTTAATATATTCTTTGACTTTGAAATGTGTCAATTTATTTTCAAATAAAAGTGTCATCGATTTAGTCGACACGTTTTTTTTTTGCTGTTTTTATATGTTTAGATATACACATGAATAGCATTGATATGAATCTGGAATGCGCGATATGTCGAGTTACTTTCAAACAAAACATTAAGGTCAACAGCATGTAATGAGGGAAGGTGCAACGAAGCGTGGCTCTATGTGTATTAGATATTGGCAAGTCAAATTCCTTCGCGTTTCAAAATTTTTTTTTTGACGTGACGTCTTATTTCGAGGTCTAGGGAGAGTCTGTTTTGATATTATTCCGGTGCATTTCAGCAATTGTCAATTTCGTTTCGAAAATTTTTAATGTTTTGAAATTTTGTTTAAGTACAAAATAGATACTAAATAAAAATCGTATAAAATGAATATTAATTAATTTTTCTTTTTGTAGATTCTATCCTCGATGGCCTGTGGTGTCAGTTCAAAGATAAAGACGAAAGGAAGAAAGGATATCTTATTTTGAAGGACACAGAATTCTCATGCAGACTATGGTTCGGTCTATTTTGACGGTTATTTTTCACATTTTCCAAATGGAAATTTAACTTGAAAGTAGGGATCTCCGAGGGCTATTTAAAGAATCTCTTGGAAGCTGAAAATTTATAATTATGGTAAATATTTTATTTTATTGAAAGAATTTTATTACACAAAAAATTTAGTTTTAGTTCAGTAAAATCATTAATGTTTTTTTAATATTCTAATATCGCTTAATAGTCGCGCTCACGTGCAACACTTGTTCCCCTTACATATATATCTCGTCTCCTAGATAGAATCTCCTCTGGCGTACTTGCGTATTTCGTTACGGGATTACTTTGCGGATTATATCGTTGTATATATAAAACGGATTTCTCTTCTAACCACTCCGTTAACTTAAATTGACATTGTTGTATAGTAAAATATACTAGGCTTATACTGTCAACCTTGAGATGCATTTATTATACTGTTATTGCGGGACTTTTTTACTGGCAGTAAAAAGTCACAGTTTAGGCGCAGTAAAAAGGGAAATCTTGTTGCAAGATTAGTTATTTTTTTATAAAAAATTTTTTTTTAGAAATATTATTTTGATATAAGTAAATTTGGTCTTAATTTAATCAAAGAGTATTAATTACATTAATATAAAAAAGGGGTTTATTTAATATTAAATAAATTTAAAAATCTTAAAATAATATTTTTATAAAATAAAAATTTGTTTTAAAATAGGAATTTAAAAAAAAAATGTTTCTTACTTGGTTAGAGTTTCTAATGACGAGGTGTATATCGTGCCACCAACGTCGATGTGAACGGGGGCTGTGTATCGTGATGCGGCGGCTACACAGGGGATTCCCGTCATTTTTTGATTATAGACGGGCGCTACTGGCGCGGGAGGTGTTGGCGATGATGAATTTGACATCGTAGGTGATGTTGCCGGCGAACTGCACGGTGACAGCAATCTAATAAAAATATTTTCAAATTTTATTTTATTTTATTTTTTTTTATATAAATAATATAATAATAATTATTATATTAAGAATTACGTCTTTTCGAATCTGATTTGAGAATGTATTTGCAATTGTTGAAATGAGTAAGTGTGTTGACAGGTGTAAATATTAATAAGGACGAGTACATACCTCATTTTAATTTGAGCGCTAGGGAACATATTGCGTTGCGCCGTTAGCTCTGCTTTCGCCTCCTTCCCGTCAACCTCACATTTCCGCCTGTAATAGAATTCTCTGTTACTCTCATCATTATCATCTTTCATGTACTAATTATTTCTAATCCCTTTTGCCATAGTTTAAAAAAAAAAAAATTAAAATTTCGATATGAATTTTTGAAAACAGAAAAGTCAATTTTAGATCTTGAGGTAAAACACATAAATAGAAAATGAGTCTCTGTTTGAAAATTTTCCTCTTCTTGGTCACCATTTTATGTATCTCATTTCCGGATTTCTTATTAATTTTTCGTTATGCGTTTGTTAAATATTATTTTACCGCTAATTGCCTTATTAATACATATGAAAATTATGAATTAATGTAGGCGATGCATGAATATTATAGTCGAACAGAGAGAGAGAGAGAGGAATAACATAACGTTAAATCGTTATGGCTTATCATGCGTTTATAATATAGCTATCGTTAAATTATTTTGTTATTTACCCGCATCGTAAACCGGAAAAGCTTGGAAAAATAAACAAGAGTCAAAATATGAGGTAGCCTTGTGTTTATAGTTAAATGTAAATTTCAACGAGATATAATGGAAAATGAGATTATTATTTATTTACATTCAATGAGTGTTTGCGGTGGTAATAATTTTAGTAATTGGATTACACTTTAAAGAATTATCAAAAAGCAGTATTAATGGAATTAAAATGATGTAATTGGAATATTTAAAAAAAATACTATATATATTTGTAAAGTATATATATAATAATAAAAATCTTGTCTGCAATAAATTCTGATCTTTTTCAAGTTTCTTATGTCGCACTCTCATTTCATGTTTCAGGTTTTTTTATATTATATGAGTTTTTACGAGCTGAACGAGTTTCCTTCGCGGTGGGTCATCTGACAGCAATTCACCTGATGGCAGTTGGACAACTTGTAACTGTATATAATTACTCCAAGAGATCTCATTCTCTAAAATTCGTCACTTGGTGAGTTTTGTTTAGTTATTTTTTTTTAAGGTTCCCTAAATTCGGATTAATAAAAATTTCTTTTTAAATGAAAAATAATAAGTTTAAATATTATTTAGTTTTGTTGAGAATTTTCTCTTTATCGTGAATATTAGCTATAAGGCGATTTTATTTTGAAGGCAGGAAATTTTTTTTTTAATGGAATGTAAATCAGAATTATAGTATTCACTTGCGAGTGAAACGAGCTTATCAGTGAAGTAGTTGTGGTTTGAGTTTTGAGCCGTCGGTTATTCCGCCCACGTGGTATCTCTTTCTTTCTTTCTTTCTTTATACCAGATCGGCTTAAAGGCACACCCTATAACCTAAAGTTCTTGTCCCAACGAGAAAGACGTAGGGATATATGGTTGGGTCCATTATTTCCAGTACTGGTTTTCTTCCGCCATCAGTTGATATCGCCGCAGGAGACATTAAGTGCACACGCATGCCTATACTTGTCTTTTCTTCATGTCCATTTTATGTCGCACGCACATGAATGTTTATATATGAACGCGAGAAGATACTTGCAACAATTTAACGATGAACAAGAACCGCAAAAGAACGCGACAAATTAAGCTGACTTTTCGTTGTAATTTATTTCATGGAAATAAACTTCAAGACCGGAGGCATTGATTATTATCATTTTTTTCTCTTCTGCAACTTCATATTTTTTTTTTCAAATCAAGGGGTAGGAAAGATTTAAAAAAAATTTTTTTTATCGTTTTATAATAAATATAGATTCTTTTATATTAATTACAAAAGATTTTAATTTGTACGAAAAAGTAGCGGATTTTTTTTTGGAAAAAAAGAGTTCTTAGAACAATGGTTTGGTTTTTTTTTTCATTTTAAAGTGGCAAAAGTGGAACCATTTAATTTTGTGTATTTTTTTTTTGGTGAAAGGATGCAGAAGGACGAGAGAAGATAAATAATTGACAAGCATGTAAAGTGTTATATTATGAAAGAGGTCTATCCGTGTTTAGCCCCTATATTATGCTAAATTAAACATATCAGCTTGACTAACGCGCGTCGTTTAACGGATGTAAATTAGCATGATGGTTTTAAAAAAAAAAAAAAAGATCTTATGAAAGTTAACTGTTTGACCTGAAGTGTTATTACAGACCATCTCAGACGAGACTAGGCCATGTTTATATATTCGCTTTCGAGCGTCCTTGGCAATATTCTGATCTTCTCCTTCTGACCATTTCACGACGCGCCATACTTCCGGGCTATTGAAATCAGTTTCATGGTTTCGTTTCGTTTTTTTTTTATTTTTTAAAAAAGAGGAAAAATTAATTTTTTAGTAGTTGCGTTTAAAAAATTTTTAATTTTCTATAAAAAATTTATTTGATTCAAATACTCGATTACTTAAGTATTATTCAAATAAATATTTACTTGAACCAAATAATTTTTATTTGAATTAAATAAATTGTATTCGAACCAATAATTTTTGTATTTGTAACAAATTAATTGATTCAAATAATAATTATTTAATACAAATATTTATTTAATAATAGTCAAGTAATCGAGTATTTGAATCAAATAAATTTTTTTTTCAGTGTAGTATATAGAAACATTACAGTCTTTAAAGTAGAATAGGTTAATTTTTGTCAGACAGTTTATCCTCAACTAGAAGAAACATATATGACTCATTTAAAAATTCTACTTTAAAATTAGAAATGGTATTCAATTTTTATGCAATCAGAGAAATTATATATTTGTCTGAGAGCCAAATAAATATTTATTTGATTTAAATAGAAATTTTATTTGTCATAAATAAAATTTTTATTTACGCCAAATAATTGGCTATTCGTCTCTTGAGACTTTTATTTAACTCAATTTTTATTTGGTTCAAATAAAAAATTTAATTTAGTGCAAATAAAATTTTTATTTAAACAAAAATAAAATTTTTTTAATATAAATCTTATTTAAGCCAAATAAAATTTATTTGAAACAAATATTTATTTGGCTCTAAATATATAATTTCTAAACTCAGAGAAATGGTATATTTGTCTCCGAGCCTACTAACTCATTTATTTGTTGCAAATATATTTCATTTCATTAAAATAAAAAGTTTATTTGAGCCAAAGAAAAATTTATTTCTGACAAATAAAATTTTTATTTACGCCAAATAAATAAGTTAGTAGGCTCTGAGACAAATATACGTTTATTTAACTCAAATATATACTTTATTTGGTTCAAATAAATCATTTCTCTGGGTGTATGTATTATTTTAATTGTAAAAAAAATTGACAATATTTTTTAAATAAATTATTTTGCAATGAAAAAAAATACTTTTGATGATAAATATATGATGAAAATAATTTAGAGTAGTGAAGATGCGTCCCTGTTGGAATCCTGAGGGCAAAGTGTACCCCCGTCAGGTATATAGAAGCGTCCAATGGCTCCGGGGCCAGTTGTACATCCGTAGATATATACATATATACGATTGCTAAAGTATAAGTCTATATAATATTTGAGTGTATATGTTTATATGTGCATATATGACCATATTGAGGTGTATATATATGTATATTGTGAGCACTCCAGCCAAGTCACATTCCACTCGGTTTCAGGTATGGGATATATGATTGTTGAGGACACTTTTGCCTTCGGGCCACTCCCGCATACGAATGCAAATTCGAAAATGCCTCATTTTCTTTCGCGGAGGTTTATTCAAATGTACACGCAGGCGCTAAATACTATATAATATATATATATAATATGCCAAAGGTCATACGAGCGAATTTTTTTTTTTTTGCCCATTATATTCGTTGCTTTGTATATTTCAAAAGTTATATACTTGACGTGATAATTTATACTTATATTAACTGAAAATGTGAATTCAAATCAGGCCCGCGATGTTGCGCATAGTATCAGTTATAACTCTCGAATTCAATTATTATTTATGAGTCACTTTCACTTGCTTCTCGATATAAATAGTACTGATTTAATTATTTTTTCTTCTTTACTTGATTTGTTTATAATTGGTGTATAATTTCCGCTTGGTCAGGCAATTTGTGGAAACAAAATTTCGTTCTATTTGATAAACGAGATTGCGATAGATTTATTATTAATGTTTCAATATTGGAAATTTATATACTTTTCTGATTTTATACTGGAAAAGAAGTTTATTTGATTCAAGTAATCGGTTATTGACTATTACTAAATAAATATTTATTTGAACGAAATAATTTTTGAAATAATGGTTATTTGAAAAAAATATTTTTCTATGAAAAATTTAAATGAACCAAATTTTTTTATGGTCTATTTGAAAGCCCATTAAGGCGATTTATTTTAATTTTCTAAAGCAGTGGTAATTTTAGTCTATAATAAATCATAGGTCTAATGTTTAAAATTTTCTTATTTTATGTTTAAAGTTTGAGCAATTATGACTTTCATCTTTTCTAATTAGATGAACTAGATAAAAGATAATCGATCCTTATAATATATATAATATATATATATATATATATATATATATGAAATCATCGTAAGAAAATTGTGTTTCTTACGGTAAATGATAATAACTCGCTTGACTTAAAATATGATTAAGTGCGTTTAACAGTAAATTTTGAATAGAAAAAGACTGATAAATTGGTGTCATAATGAGTGTGATTCATTAAAAAATTAATTGACGTTTTTGCCGTTATATTCCAATATTGATTTTTATTTCTAATTTATTATTGATTCGTCTCAATTTAATATTCATTTGATGATAAAATAATTTTTTTCATTAATAAAATAATTTCTTTATTAATAAAATAATTTCTTTATTAATAAAATAATTTTTTTATTAATAAAATAATTTTTTTATTAATAAAATTATTTTTTTATTAATAAAATTATTTTTTTATTAATAAAATTATTTTTTTTTATTAATAAAAAAAAAGAGTATTAGGTAGATTTTGCTATATATAGGTGAGAAAAATTATGCGGAAGTCCTTGCATTACTCTCTAAAGGCAATTGAATTGAATTGGTATATATATAGTAAAGAGTAGCGAGTCATTGGTTCTGATGGACGACGGGCTACAGAAGCCTCATTAAGTCCCTGT